GGGGGAAGAGGAGCGAGGCTGATACGGCTCGGGCTCGGGCTCGCGTTCACGTTCGCGTTCGGCTTCACGGTAGTGCTCGCGTTCGCGTTCAGGCTCACGATAGTGCTCATCTTCCGGCTCTTCGGGCTCCGGTGGCTCGGGAATGTAGTGGATCACGGGGGGCTGCTTGTCCGCGAAACGGACGGTCGGTCTGGGCGGGGGAGACGACGAGGAGACGGAGCTCGGGGGCGAAGGCACGGAGTCCTTGTCCGAGGGGGAAGGTGACGAGGATGCTGACGAGGCAGCTGAGTAGGACGAGGAGGTGTCCGAGGAGGCACTCGACAGCGAGGACGAAGTGCGCGTGAGCGGCTTGTGGGCGTCATCCTGGGTGGCGTCGAAGCTGCGGTCGAAGATGGACGAGGCTTCGTCTTCGCTCTCGTCGTAGTCTTCGACTGTGGGCTGGTAGCGCTTCAAGGATTCCTTGGAGAAGGTGTCTGAGAGAGGCGTGGGAGGGCCATTGTCTGAGGAGACGCCGTGGCCAGAGGCTGTATCGTTGACTATTTACCATGTTAGTATACTAGGTAGTTCAATATATAGATTCCCTTTTGTGAGATTCGACTTACGCTCGCCCTTCACTTTGGCCACCAGTTCGTCCAGCCACCGTGAGTTCCACTCCTCCATGGCGAGCCCCCTGACAACATCCTCGACTTGTCTGTCCTTGTCCTTCATGTCCTTTCCCCTTTCCCGCTCTTTGGTATCCGGGTTCTTAGTATCTGAAGAAGCCGGAGCCGAGGCCGAAGCAGACGTCAAAGCAGACAAGTCGCTCCTAGTCATGACGGAAAGCACAGACTTGATGATATCCCTATACGGAAACGACGACGACGACGATGAAGGCCTTGCCGACGGCTCTCTGTCTTCCTCTCTCCGGTAGGACCTGGCCTCTCTTTTATCCTGCTCGCGATAACTCGACTGGCTGTCTCGCCTCTGCTGGTACTGGTGCTCTCTGGAGGTGTGCAGGGACCTGCTGCTGCTGCTCCTCTCGTCACCGCCGCGCGACGTTGGCGAGCTTGTGTTTCCGTGTGCCGACGGCAGAGGGCCGTGTAGGACGGTCGCCTCGGCAGACATTTTTAGTTGCTGTGTTGTGTTGGGTTTGTTGTGTTGTTCTTTTTGCTCCGGGGGAGGACAACGGAAGGAGTGTTCTTTTTTGGAGTTGAGGAAACACTGCGTTTTGGAAAAGAGGTGTAGCCGGTGTGTCCAAGTTTTGGAAACGTTTAAGGGTTATTGGGTGAGTTTTTTTCTTGCGGTGTGTGGTTTTGGTTGGTTAAACCGGATTGACGGTGTTTGACGTGCCCGTTGGTGTGGTTGAGCAAGATAGAGTATTAGAGATTTGAGATGAGATTTGAGAAAGAGGCGGTGGCGAAGAAGAGGAGGAGGAGGAGGAGGAGGAAGAGCGAAACGAAATCCGGCGTTCTGCTGAGGGATGAAAGGAGGAGTAGTTCGAGTGGGTGAGAGTGTGAGTGTAAGTTGGTTGTCCCTTTGTGAGAGCGATGATCAAGAGAGAGGATAGAAGGTGTAGTGAGCTTCGACAAGAGAGGAGCGTTGTGCCCGTCTTTTTGAGGCTTCACAAGCGTGAGGGAAAGGTCGGCTTGCACAAGAGTTGTACACGAGCACAAGCACGAGCACAAAACAGGGGGGGGCCGGTTATGATAGGTGAGAAGAGGGAAAACCAAGTTGGGGAAGCACGAGGAGGTATTTGATGAAGTGTCAGTCGGTCTCAAGCGGGAAAGGTGTGTTCAGTGGAACGAAGTCTGCATGTGTGTTGCTGCTTGGGGCCCTGTCCTGGTGTCCTTGTATATAAGAGAAGTTGGTGAGGTGGGCAGGGGGGGGGGGAAGGAGATCAAGTTGAGAGTGAGGTTGAGTGGCTACGAGAGAGGGAAGCACAACATGATGACATCGCGGGCCCTTGTTCTTTTTTCTTGTTCAAGGGTTATCAAAAATTTTCTCTTCTTTTTTTTCTGTTCTATTCTGCCCTTTCCTTGGGTTGTCATTCGTCGCCCTTCTTTTTTTCCTGATTGTACCCGGGGTCTTGGGCGCGAACAGAGACAGAAGCAACCACGAAAGCACCGGGGCGAACCCAAAAAAAGAAACCGGACTGGCGTCTGTCTATCCTGTCCCGATCCTAATCCTCGTTTTCTTCACGGTACATGGCTCTGCTGCGCGTTGTTAATGTAACCTGCATGTACATTTCGTTTCGCCCCTGGCATATGATGGATCCTCGAGCACTCCGTAGACGAAGGACGAGAAAGGAACCTGATTTGGTTGTCTCTGTTCTTCCATTTGCCTTGGCTTTTGGCCGTTTGGCCACTTGGGCTCGGTTTTGGGTTTTCCATGCCGCACTATTACGTGGTCCTAGCACGAGGACAAGAACAAGGGTCCTGCTAGAGGGGTTGGATTTGCCGGGAGAGAAGAGAGCAGGGTTGCATTGGTGTTCGTATGCTGTTTTTCTTCTTCTTCTGGTTGTTTCGGGGCTGCCCAAAGGGCGATACGCCTTTTGCTCTGATGTTTCTTGTTGCTGGGGCTGGGGGGCTGGCTGTTCTTTGTCGTCCTGTCCTCTGTGCTGTTGTGTGCTTGGGTGAGACCAGGGCATGTCGGCTTGGTTGGCAAGGTTGGTCCCAAGGTGGAGCCAGCTGGACAGGGGGGAAGGGAGACCCATAGAAGATTTGCATCATGGGCTGTTTTTTTTGCTTCGCTTCTTGGCTTCTTTGATGCGTGGTCGATCTGGGTTGGTTGGGCTTCTGTGGCGGGAGTTGGGTCGACGTGCATGAGAAGTGATGTAAGTTGGCCGAGTGGAGGGGGGAGGGGGGCGCCTCGGGGCTTGGACGAGAGAGGCTGAGGCTGCATTTCTGCTGTGATGGCTTCGGGGGGTTCTTGGGGATGTGATAGGAGCGGCTTTGGTTTTGTCAGTCTTTTTTCCTTTGTGATTGTAGCGTGCAGCATGTAGATGTAGGGGAGATATCATGCTGAGATTTTGTATGTATGTTACAGAAGGGGGAGCAGCATGTGAAATGTGTGTAGGTATGTGCAGTGCGAGTATGTATATCAGACCACGGTTCAGCATACGTGTACCAACTATATAGAGCAGAAAGGGTATAAGTCAGAGAGAGGCTTCACAGCAGCAGCAGCACAGCCTGGGCACAACAAGGACAACAGCCCCCCGGCTACTGGGATACATCCTCCTCCTCCTCCTCCTCCTCCTCCTTCCTCTTCCCTCTTCATCCTCACTTCAGCTAACTTCTTCCTCGGTTAAAATCATCTGAACAGCTCAGAGAACCCAAAGTCGAGATAGTAAACACAACCGTGCCATCTGTCCACTCAAGCCCGTCGCCACATCTGCAAGCCTCACTTTCCCTTCGCCTTTTCGTCTTTCCTCCTCCTCCTCCTCCTCCTCCTCCCCCTCCCTTGCTCCATCCTCCCCGGCTGGCCGTCCTGCACACTAGACTCGAACCGTGTATGTTACAATCCTAGCACCAGACACTAAGTCCACAGCATCCCCCCTTAGGCCCGGTTTTTAGGGAATAGCATCAAACCAACCCTCCATCAGCTCCGACGACCATCCAGATTCGCTGGTGTAACGATGAAGTAAGCCAGAGCCAGCAAGGCCGACCCCGACCATGGCTGAGAATGCAAGGGATGGGCCAAATACGAAATACACATCTCACGACGTTGCCCATTCCATCGGATAATTCTTTTTACTAGATACTACTACGACTACTAGCCTTACCTGTCTTGTCCTGTCTTGTCATGCTCTGCCCTGACTTCTGACGGCCGCACTGACCTGGCCTGGCCTGGCTTAGTAGCTAATACTACTGCACATGTACGGTACAGGTGAAGCAAAACCCAAGCAAGGTACGAAAAGAACCAACCAAGGGCGTCCGTTCCGAGTGCTGCATGTCGTCATACTTGTAGCAAGCTGTCTTGCCTTGTTTTGGCTCTACTACTACCTACGATACGATGATGATGGGGGAGCGAAAAGTTGAGGGTGACGGAAGCATCGGTCTTGTGATTTTCAGCTCTTCCAGCTCGAAAGTGTTTCGATTCGTTTGTTTTGGTGTCATTCTCATGCACATGCAATGGGAATCCTTCTGCATAAAGGGATTCATACATCATAACGCGCATGAGATGTGCATTCATGTACTGATATGTATGGTTATCGACGGATAATCATCATCACCATAAGCAGCACAACTCGACTCCAAACCTCACTCTCACAAGATATACTAACACTAACCCCAATGCTCACCCACCCATCCACCTTCAAAAACCGTTGGATTTACTTACATAGTCCCTTTAACACCGCACATCTTTCCCAGACTCTCTCTCACACTCTGTCCATCATAGTTTGCCACAGTCTTTTCAAACCGAAGAGACACAGCATCCATAGTAACGCACCCATGCGGTGGAAAGAAAACACCGGAATGATCGCCATACAAAAAGCACCAAATTCAGTGTAAGCCAGTCCGGTGTTTTCCTTCCACCACTTGCGCATTTACACAACACACACACTGACTCTGATCTCGTAGCCCAAAGTTCGCCATCGCCATCGCCATCGCCAGACAAGTGCTAAGCTTTTCAATCCAATCCAAGAATGCACACGCCTTTGCCGATCGCCTCGTCCTCAGGCGTCCACGTAGCGAATCCCCCGTCCCTTTGATCCGATTAGGAAGGCATCTGGCCTTGTCTTGCTTTCTTCTTTCTTCTCACCCCTTGTCCCCCCCCCCCCCCCCCCCCCCCCCCCCCCCCCCCCCCCCCCCCCCCCGTCCCAGTTCTGCTCTTCAAAACCCATCAGTTCGCCGGCCGGGCCGATGCACATGATAGTTTTAGCCTTGGCTTGATCGTAGCCCGTAGCGTAGCTCCGTGCTTTTCGTGCAATACTCCATATACTACATACATACAGGCAGGCGATTTCTTGGCTTGCCGATAAGCTGTGGATGTAGGACCATCTCTGCCATCGTACATACATGGGCTAGTTCGGCTATCAAGCTATGGAATCGTGTTGGCGTTCGTGAGGGGGGAATTTTCCCCCCATCCAAGCCCATCCTAGTACACACTGAAGACAAAGATGCAAATCACAAAAACAGCATCATGCAGGACCCAAAGCACTGCTGTATGAGAAAAAAAAAAAAGGGGGGGAAACGGCGGAGAAAAGGGTCCAAGCGACGATGCTCTCCGTGGTCTCGCATCTCGAGAGTTCATGCACCCCGTCGTACCTGCAAGGCGGCCAACAAGAACAGCAAATGCCCCCTTCTGAACAGAGAGTACGGAAGGACGGAGTTAGTTCACAAAAAGAGGCATAACATTTGATGATAGTAGTACGTAGTAGTAGACAGTTTGCACAGAAACGCGGACGAGTGAGTCACGCAGACGGCAGCAAGCTTCAAACACACCTTCAAATCCCATGACAAGTGCCAAAGGAGACAAACATCCGATCAAAGACAACGAACCCGGAGAACAGCACAAAGAGGACCGGGTGGCGGTGAGCATGTGGAGCAGAGCTGGAAACGACAGCAGCATGAATGTCCTAGAGAAAGAATGAGGCTGTCTCGCGTTGATTGGACATTGGCAGCATTGTTTGCCTCTGTTCCCCTCCGATGCCGTACATACAGTACATGCTCTGTGCTGTCGTTTGGGGAGTGCATGTGCGTTACAGCTCAGCGTGAGGCAGGGCGATGGATGCCAACAAGGGGGACCGTCAACGGGTGGATTCCATGGATACCTGCAGACGGCGATGCAGATGGGGAGGGAATCGATCGACTTGCTCATCAAGCATGTGCATGTGTCGTGGTAGTGGTATGTAAGTGTTCGTGTTCGTGTCTGTCTGTGTCTGTGTCTAGCAGGAGGCACGGGCTGTGCAACCCGGCAGCGGCATCGCCAGGCTTGCACCATGATCCCTGTTTCTCTGTCTCTCCTTTGTCTTCATGTGCTGCCGTGTTGTGGCCCAGCTATCCAGAAAGTACATACATGTGAATAAGGAACAAGGTTGAAGGTATGGAGTAATCAGGGAATGATGAAGCAGTAAGACAAGAAAAGCGAAGAGAAGAGAGACGAGAGATGAGAACAAAGCAGAAAAGAGAGGGCGATTCGAGCAACCCCAAGTCAGCAGAACCAGCAGAACCAGAAAAAAAAACAGCCCATCAAAACGCCATCAGACACACACGCAGCGCACTCACACAAGACGCACCTCGTCCTTTACACGACGCCAAAGTCACATCATACCTTGTACAGCAAATCGAGAAACCCGGTAGCCAGATCAACAACGACCCCCTTGTTCGGCAGCGATCCCGCCACGCCGTACAGCGCAGCCGAATCGCCCATCGCCTTGCCCTTGGCCCCCTTGCCCTCCACCAGCCGCACCCTCTCCTTCTCACGCTCTTCTTCCACCACCGCCTCCAGGTCGCTCACCAGCCGCTCCCACACCTTGACGATGGGCATCGTCACGGCGACGTGGATAGCCGGCGGGCTCTGCAGCGCGTTGAGGTGCCAGCCCTTGGCCGACATGCCGTCCGCAATGTCGTACACGTCCAGGTTCTTGGCCGAAAAGGCCACGACGGAGACGAGCGGCTTGCCGAGCAGCTCCAGCTCGCTGCTGAGCACGGGGCCGTTTTGGATCGCCTCGGCAATCTTCTTGGTCGTCCCCACAATCTTGACGCAGGCGTCCACGTAGCCCGTCTCGCCCAGCCGCATCATGCTAGCCCAGCAACCGGCTATCAGCGCTCCAGGCCGCGATCCCGCCATGCCAGGCGAGGCGTAGACGCCGCCGGCCCAGTCGGGCGAGACAAAGTACTGGTACGACCGCAGCTCCGCCGTGCGGTACAGGACCGTCGAGCTGCCCTTGGGCGCGAACCCGTACTTGTGCGTGTCGCAGCTGATGCTCGTCACCCCCTTGAGCCGGAAGTCGAACGGCTGCGTCTCGAAGCCCGCCTTGTCCAGGCAGGCAATGACAAACGAGCCGAGGCAGCAGTCCACGTGCAGGCACAGCTTCTTGCGAAGCGCCAGCTTGCTCAGAGCCGAGATGTCGTCGATGATGCCGTGCGGGAAGTTGGGCGCAGAGCCCACCAGCAGCACCGTGTTGCGGTTGACCAGGCGGGCGACCCTGCGGACGTCTACTTGGTATGTGGGAGCAGGGCAGTCTACGTAGTGGATCTTGATCTTGAAGTACTCGCCAGCCTTGCGGAAAGCCGTGTGGGCAGTTGCCGGCAGGATCCTAAGAAAGCGAGTATCAGTATTCCGTAGGTTTGCTTGCAGAGAGCAGACGCCCCAACTTACATCTCAGGCTCCGTAATCCCACGCTCGTGATAGGCCTTTTGGCGCGCAGACAGCACAGCCATCAGGATGCTCTCGGTTCCGCCCGAGGTCGTCACACCGGCAGCACCAACAGGGGCATGGAACAGGTTGAGCACCATGCTCACAATCTCGGCCTCCATCTTGCGCACGCCCGGGAAGACGTCCGGGTGGATCGGGTTCGCCACGGTAAATTTGCCAAAGGCCTCCGTCTGCAGCTTCAGTAGGTCGTCCTCGCCGTGATACACCGCGCCGGAGACGTAGCCGTCCTCCCAGCGGGTGTGATCCATGTTGGCCAGGGCGTCGAGCTCCGCGCGCACCGCCTCGTCCGTCAAGCCCTCCTTGGGCAGCGCCAGGTACTTTGTCTGGCCGGGAGGTACCAGCTTGTTGGCCATCTTGTCGAGGGATTCCTGGACCTTCTTCTGCACCTGGCCGCGCACGCCCGGCGCTCGTAGGAAGTAGCCATACAGCGTGCGTTCAATGTCGCGGTACAGCTCGAGAATGGCGCCGATGATGCCGCGGCCCTTGAGCTTCCACCAGAGACGCCGGGTCCACCGGAGGACGAAGTAGAAGAAGATGATGTTCTTGATGCTGTTTGCAAGACAGAGGTCAGCGCAAGAGCGTACGCAGCAATTGGAACCAAATGATAGCCGCAGAGACCGTCATTACAGAGCTCACAACTCACAGGTCGATGTTAATGATGCTGAGCGACAGCGCCTGTCTCCGGCGCTTGACGCTCTCCAGACTGCCGCGGAGGCTCTGGGGAATGCGCGAGCTCCCGGGCATCGTGGCGGCCGTTTGTCGTGTACTCGGATACAGTCGCGAGGATCACAGAGTCACGTATCGAACGATGAGGAAGATGCTGAGCAGCGGGTCAATTCCTCGCAGCCGGCATTATACAAGAGAGGCCCCAAGCTTCCCTGTCCAGAGGAGAGTATCGAATGGTTTGTTGAGGAATGGAAGAGGGAAGTTTATCTCGTCCGGGAGCAGCAGAGATGATGCACCTTCAGCTTGAAGTTGCCACTAACACGAGCTACGTCAGACGCAAGTACCGCTACCGCCATATTGCTGCTGCAGAGTACACTGTTCCCGCCGCAGCTGATAGTGCGGGTATGTACTCTGTACGTCGAGCTATGCCGCACATGATGCGTGCTCGGGAAAGAGCAACCTGCCACCTCGGCTGAGACCAACTGAAATGTTGATAAATGCCACGCCGAGCTGATGTGCTGAGCCAATGAGAAGCGTCAGAGTTGCTGAGAGGTGGCCATTAGATACTTGATGGGGGTTAGTGCCAGAATTGGAACGCATCTTCACGTGTGCGGAGGGGAGCGAAGCTAAGCCTAGATGGGATGACTGTGGAGGGCAGAAGAAACCCGCCAGCCCGCGGACGCCGTGATGGAGGTGGAAGAACCGGAGACACTGAATTTGATGACATGAGATTGACTGCTTCATTGGCCTTGGTGCTGAATACGAGTGACATTAGACATGTTGTTACGGAGTAGTTCTGAATAAAACCCGCAATCTCAAGACTTGATGTGCAGGGCGTGAGATGGACATTCGTTAGCGGGGGGAGCAAGACCGGCCAAGTACATCAATTGGACATCTGCTTTGTATGTATCACACACCGAAGAGCAATTGCACCTGATCAGAGAATAGAGTAACACAAGAAGGATTGCGATAACAGAATGCAGACGAGGACTTGTGATGGAAGTCGTATGCCAGGGAGTATTTTGATGTTGAGACACCCTCTAATTGCTCTCTGGTCTAGACAGAGAATACATAGATGTATCAGTCAGCTCTTCCTATAAACATCAGAGAGCCTCGATGCGGCAAATCTCTGCTACAATCTGAAGTAATGTTTCTCTTTAATTCATGGGCAAGCTCTAGTATACTTTACCACAAATTCGTTGATCCTAACCCCTCAGAGTAGGTAGCCATAGCCGAACCGGGCAGAAAGAATTGTAAGAACAGATCATAAACCACGTAGAACTGAATCTTCATGCCAACTAGGTATTCGATACAAGAACAATACGGAAAGACATAATTCATCAGCATAATACAAAACCAAGAAAGCGTACCTATTCGCTTGGATCCCACAGCCACCCTTCGAATATACCTAATACTTGGCGATATAAACCTCCAGTAATCAACTCTCCAACTCGCTGTTGTCTCTTCCTTCGTCTCGCTAGTCTCGATCTACCAGTCGCGCCATAAACCTGTGATCATCTCTTTGTTTTAGCAGTTCATCCTCCAAGAAACCGTCAACGACACGACACGTTTGTTCAACCCAGATAACGCCGTGGATATAGACTCCAGAGGATATATGCTCCGAACGAACGCCGGTATTACGCAAGTTGTTTCTGATTCCCTTGCCGTCCGCCGCCGCCGTCCGCCCGCTGCCCCTCCATATGTTTCCCAGTCTTCTTTATGTCTTTCCCTTGTTTCTGTTTTGTAATTATTTTTAGCCCATAATGTGCCTCCCGATCCTTCGTTCCCCGTGTTCGCCGGATATAGATAAAATTTCAAGGTCTCTTCCCATGTTGATGGATCACACTGACGAGCTCCATTTCTGATAGTAGTTTGCAGACTCGGTCTCGCAGCTCTGGGGCCCCGATTTGGCGCAGCCGGTGAACATGACGACAAAGTCGCCGTCTTGGTAGGCGTCGCCTTGGTCGGTTCGCGTGTAGGGGCCGAGCGCGCGTTGCGGCACGAGTGCCAGCTTCGAGAGAATGGTGGGATGCCATTGGACGATGTGTTCCTGCGTTCTTGAATCAGTCTCTTCATTTCGTCCAATTCCATGACTGTCGAATTTGTAGTACTCACCAGAGCATGTCTCTCGGCCTTCTGGAAATTGTAGCTTCGGTAAAGAGGATCCATCCACGTCTCGAGCAAGAACTTGCCCCATTGGCTGTTCCTAACCACAATGCTTCCGGCCACCAAGCCCGAGCTGTCCTGGCTGACAATGAGATCGACCTCATCTGCCCTTAGGTGCGAAAATGTCTTGATGATGCTGTCGGGCGGCACGACTGGGTAGTTTTTGATCATCAGGCTCTCCAGTCTTCCACGATTCAGGAGCTGTTCCTCCAGCGACCTGTTCATGTCCATGATATAGGCGTCCTGGTCGAGGTACCAGACGAAGCGGCACTCCGGGAACTTGCTCAGCGCATGTCGCATGGCCATGAGTTTCGACCAGGACTGCGGCGCTCCCTGGGTGTCGTAGTCGTAGGCCTTGACGATAAATGCCTCGTATCCTAAAGATTATGCATGTCAATGACTGGGCACAGCATAGACCAAATCGAATCCTCAGTGGGGGAGATCAAGGCTACCCACCATGTTTGGCGGCATACTGCTCGCGGTTCTCCTTGATCGTCTTCAGGTAGGCATTGGGATATTGCGTCGGGTCGATGACAGTCACCAGCACGACTGGCGGCCGGCCTGAGGGCACGCGCTCAGGATCGGGGCGCGGGACCCGCGGATTTGAGAAGAGCCAGAGCGTCGCGAGCACCAGGAACAGGACAATGCCAATCGTCTTGATGCGACTCCTCCGCAGGCCGGGCAGCCGTGTGGATCGAGGGCGGAAGGGCGGCGGGTTGGAGCTCTTGCGGGAGGGATATGCGAAATGCATCTTGTCGGTCGAGGCGAGGTCAGACGAGATGAAGCGGCGGGATCGTGGACGGTTCGGCTCCGTGACGGCCGTGTGTGTCGGCTGGGGTCAATTCGATTCTGGCGTGTCTGCCGTCGTCTTCGTATCCTCGCGGTCTTGCAAAGGCGAATTGCGCCGCGATTGTCTAGGGACGGATATTGTGGGATGCAGGCGGCTGGGACAAGGTATGTCGTTCTCCTGAGCCGCTCTCGATCGTGCGGCTGAGGCCAGCTGTGCGACAACCGCGATGAGCAGGGCGGGGGATCCGAGAGTCCTATATCGATAGCCGATGATCCTCCCAGTTCCTCAAAACGAGTGGCAGAGGCGACGCAAAGCAAGGGAAAGTGAGTCTGACGGGCCGCTGCGAAAGGCGTTCGCGCGCGGTGAGGCGATGGCGATCCCTTATGCTTATGACATTTGTGGCCATGTTGCTAGGGGTTCTTTTTTTGGGGGTACCTTTTGCCTGGGAACACGAGCCGCTGGCCTGGACTCGGGGCCGGAGGTACGAATCGCCGGGCCAGCCAATTGATGCCATCAAGATTAGGTTCGGTTTGATTGCAAAACGCCGTCCTCGTATTACTGCAGGCTGCATATACGGAGCTTGAGATTGCGGCTAGTACCAAGCTGGAGATGTTATTCAAGTGCCGTTGAGAGTGGGTGGGCTGGTATGTTGATAAGGGGTTGTGACCGTGACGATGTTGTTGGTGATTAAGTCAGTTTGCAACTTGGGGAGCTCAATGGGCAGATATTCTCGGATTGCATCATTCACGTCCATACAATTATAAAACTTGGGGCACAGATGTTGGGATGATTGATCATCTTGTATTCAAAAGAAGCAGTCATGTTTATTCGCAGAATGTGCCGGGCTGTCCCACTGACGCTGCTCAGGACAAGTGTACATGAGGCGTACGGAGCAGATACTTGAGGGATGCGAACGTCTTGGACACCCGAAGGCATCCTCAACGTCACGCAGACGCACCGGCAAATCTCACACCAGGCCAGCGAGCAGAGGACCAAGACGGCCGCTGCTCAAGGCGCTGGCGGAGCGTCGCTATCTGCACGCAGACTAGTTGACTTGACACGGAAGAGCGAGTTCGAGGCAACTTAAGAGTGTGCAAGGGGGCAGTTCATAGGAAGAACGCTGCGCCCAGTAAACATAAAGAGTAAGATCGCTTCAAAACAGAGATTCATCATATATCCTTCTTCGCTTCGGGTATTCCGTCGTCGCCGTGTTCATCGGCATCGCCGTCGTCACCATCCACGTCCAGGACTCTCTCACTCACGTTCTTCAGCAGGCGCTCACTCAACTTCCTGACTCCTTTCCAGATCCCCACGAGGGTGGTAAAGGCTCCCATGAGTACAAAAAAGAGACTGATGTTCTCCACTCTGGCCCTCCCAGTGCCCTGGCGTCTGCCAGTTCCCGTCATGCTGCGCAGGTTCCACCAGTGCCAGGGCGAGAGCGCAAACATGGACTTGAAGATGCCAACGAGACCGAGAGAAAAGAAACCCTTGACAAAGTGTTCGGCCCACGTCGTCGGGGGTTCCCAGTCTGGCTCCCTCAACGCTTCAATATCCGTTACGACGCTTGTAACGGCATCGGCAACGGTACCGACAGGGTCGAACCAAAGGTTGTAGAGCGGATCTGCCAGGAAACCAAGGAAGAAGATGCTCGTCAAAAGGATCAATACTGTCAGGCCAGCTTGGGCCCATTTGCTGCTTAGCATCGAGGCCCAGTGGAGGCGAACCAGCCGGTAGGAAAACTTGCACGTCGGGCATTGCCAATAGTTTCTCTTGACAGTTGGATTCGATAGGCGCCAAGCATTGAGACACCCCTCGTGAACGTACTTTTGCGATCCCTTGCACTTGCAGGGGGACAGAAGTTTTCCTAGCTCAGGGTCGTCGGACACGTAAGTTGGCCTGGTCGACTGGGACGAGTTGCGAGGAAATCTTGGCTCCACGGTATCCAGGCAGATCCGACATGTTCGTGGATTGTATCGCCTGTGCGAACGCCTGGCGTCTGGCGACGGTTGAGCTTGAGCAGACGTATGCTCTCCGGCGCTGTCAGATGTCGGATGTTCATCGCGATATGCCGCCGTCCTCTCGTGAACCGTCGCTTGATACGGGGTTCGCTCCCTCTCTCCGAACCATTCCATCACGGCTGATGTCTCGGCGACGAATATAGGAATCTAAGATTCAAAGTGTGACACGCCAACAGGATATTGCTTCTGGAATAGCTGACGAAAGAAAGCAGCTTTGAAAGACAAAGATAGTGAGTGGTGTGCTTCACATGGTAGAAGATCTCGGCAAGCTGTTGGTCAAGCAGCAACGCGAGAAGGAGAAACTGGAAGAAAACGGGGGGAAAGGCACGCGCCAAGTCTTCACAGAGACGGAACTAGAAGAGGCCACTTCATCGCTTTCAGCCTCACATTCCGGCTAGCCGATTCCTCCGACTGCGTGACCGCGAGAGATGTATGAATGTGCTGGGCTGGGGTGGAATATTTGTTGGAACCAGGAAAAGCTGCACCAAATTGATTCAGTGGGCGGGAAAAGAGGGCGCCATGGAGCTCCCCCACCGGAGTCCGGCCGAACAGTAAGTCCGCCGCCCACTGGCTGGCCCGAGCTTGACGCGCAGCTTGAGTGTGCCTGGCCTTGATGCTGGAGGTGGGATTGCATTATGGCATACCTGAGCAGGGCAGAATAGCTTCACCTCCAGCTCCCGCAAACGCATTGCAGCACCGCATCTCTTCGCCCGACCAGCCCGCACAACAGCCGACTCGCATCCAGCCATGGCGGACAGATACTCCTTCTCCCTCACAACCTTCTCGCCCAGGTACGCCGTGGATGACGTCCCCAGCTGCCAAAGACCCCTCTACTGACTGCTTGTGATGATGATAGCGGCAAGCTGGTGCAAATCGGTACGCACTTTCCTGGGCAGCCTGCCCCTGCCATGTCAAGGCACCGAATGAAATATTTGGGCTGGAACGAGACTAACATGCAGCTTTCCTCTCGCAGAGTATGCTCTGAATGCCGTCAACCAGGGCATCACTGCGCTGGGTATCAAAGGTAGGCTGGACTGCCCCTCGCAGGCGACATGATCGACCAGGTAGCTAACGCTGCAGCCGCACAGCTACGAACGGCATCGTCCTCGCTACCGAAAAGAAGTCCTCGTCTCCCCTCGCCGACCAGAGCAGCCTGTCCAAGATCAGCCACATCACCCCCAACATCGGCACCGTCTACTCCGGCATGGGACCCGACTACAGAGTGCTTGTCGACAGAGCGCGCAAGGTCTCCCACACAGGCTACAAGCGCATCTACAACGAATACCCTCCCACCAGAATACTCGTGCAGGACGTGGCCAGAGTCATGCAGGAGGCCACCCAGTCGGCTGGTGTCCGGCCATACGGCGTCAGCATGCTGATTGCTGGCTGGGACGAGGGCATCGACCCTGAGGAGGACGAGACTGAGGTTAAGGAGGGCGAGGAGGTGAAGAAGACAAAAAAGACGGGCGGCATCCACAAGGGAGGACCCATGCTGTACCAGGTCGACCCGACAGGCAGCTATTTCCCGTGGAAGGCCACGGCCATTGGCAAGAGCGCAACCAAGGCAAAGACCTTCCTGGAGAAGAGATACTCGGAGGAGCTCGAGCTGGAGGATGCCATCCACATTGCTCTGCTGACGCTCAAGGACAACATTGAGGGCGAGATGAATGGTGACTCGATCGAGATTGGTAGGTCCCCCGCCATTTGCTATTGATTCGCGGCTGGTGATTGGTACTGACCTTCCTTCAACTAGGCATTGTTGGCCCCCCAGCTGACCACCTACTGGGCGTCGAGGGAGTCGAGGGTGCCACGGGCCCCCGGTTTAGAAAGTTGACTCCTCAGGAGATTGAGGATTACCTGTCAAGTCTATAATAGACATTGCCGTATGCGGAATGATGATGAGCAGGCTTTGATGTACAATAATGAGGCATAAAGCTTAATAAACAAAAGAATTTGGCATGCAGCGTGGTATCATGTTCTCTATTTTCCGTCTTTCTGGCTCGTAACATGCGGCTGGATGAGGTTCTGGCGGAACTTTAACCGGGCTGTGAGAATCAAGAACATCTATCTTTTGGCTGTAAGGATAAAGGACGACCGTGGACCCGCCGCGACTCCCACAATGCTGAAGCCCTCAGGAGCCTCGAACCGATGCTTGAGCCATCCGCTGGTATTCCAGACTCCCCTACCAAGCTCGCCCAGTCCCAGCTGGCTGTTGACATTCTCGCCAATGACATAGACAAGCCCATCTGCCGTCAGCGCAATGGCATGGCCCTCACCCAGAGCAACATCCACGACGTCCTTTCCGCCGTCAATCTCGGTGTAGTTGGGAATACTAGAGAGTTCCGTGAAGCCATGCCCCGGGCGATGATGATGAGGTGTTTCTGCTGCCTTTGATGATGATGACGACGAGAGCGTCCGCGAGCCCCAGACGTAGACGCTGCCGCTGGTCGTCAGCGCCGCGACGGCGGATCCGCCTGCCGTGACGTGTTTCATGGGGTCTTCCGCGGAGGCGATTTCGTGGAGATCGGGTACCGGGCCCGGGAGGTTCGGCGGGCTTTTTAGCTCCGGTGGCCCGGGTCAGTACTTTTGATCTGGGTGATGGCCCGGCTCTACGATCCCGGGACGTCCCCAATGGAGATGCGGGTGGATGATGTGGATGACTGGAGAGGGAGTTGACTTACGGGTTTGGCGCATCAGTGTCTCTTCCGAGACAAGCTTCAAAGCGAGGATCGCCAAAGGTCGAGACGGTGCCGTCGGCGTGGAGGATGACGAAGCCGGTGTTGAAGGCGGCGATCTGGCGTGCTTTGGGGTGGCAGGTGAATACTGACTCTGGGTTTGCGCCGGAGGACCAGGAGGATAGGGAGGCGTGCTTGACTAGCTTGTTGCTGTCAGGATCTCCATCTTGCTGAGGAGGATCTTGGACGATGGTTAGGAGTTCGCCGGTTGCGGTTTCGGCTGACGCGTAGAGACGCTCCAGGTTGTGCTGCGAGGGGCCGTGGCCGGCGAGGATGAGGTCGCCATCTTTTCGGACTGGAGGGAATCTTTTGTCAGTTTGAGGCTCTCTACGCTGAATCAGGGCCGTATAAGGTAGTCAAGGGGATGTGATAGGGTATGAGTTGTGGTTTGATATACCGATGGTGTAAGTGAGGCGGGATACCGGCCGTTCAATGGTTGCGGCGGAAAGAACTTTGGTGAACCCGTAGAGGTCATCTGGTTCCTCTGGGAGGTTGTCCTGGGAGAAGGAGAGCTGGTTCCAGGCGTTGAAGCCTGTTGCGAAAAGTTCCATGGTGGAGGGATTGTGATATGTGGATCGTTACATTATGGTTGGATGTTTGGTTGAGGCTGAATTACGATGGATCAAAATTGATGGACATCACCAGAGGTTGCCCACCTGGGCACTAGCTGCTACAACCGCCTACAAACACAATTCCTGACTGTCTATTCTTCTTCCAAATAATCATTTTTTGACCCCAGAATTGACAACCTTCAAATTCCGAAAAGAGGTGTTCAGACTACCCAGTTGCAGGTAGGCAGACTCGGTGCCATCGTCAAAAGTGTAACGCTGAGCAATCACCTGCGGTTTCTGTGACGTAGCTAACGGTTGGACTGAAGTTGAGCAGGGAGAGGCTCCAACTGTGACTCGTGGCATAACCTATTACAAGTATATCCTTGCAGTTTCTACTTTCAGTGATTTCGGCCCTACTACCTTAATGCAATTGCACGTTCTTAACCATGAAGCTACGAGGAGTCATAGCTGTCATAGAGGCTACGTGTAAGTCCGCATTTCTCGCAAATGAAGGATTCACGCTCTACGTATGGCATGGATCAGTAATCCTGGACACAGTAAAGCCACATGGCTTTTCTGTATGACTCTTCTCTGACTCTTCAAGCTCGCTCGGTGTTTAGAATGAGGAAACGTAGTAGGACAAAGGACTGGTAGGACAAAAGTTCCTTCTGGCATTCAGGCGAGATCCGCGACGGCGGTTGGGTGGGTCGTCAAGTGCCGGGAACTGTGGCTTGTCATCTCGGGAGGTTTGGAAGCGGTGATTACGGTCTGCAAAGAGACACGATGTTTCTTTTCACCTACTTACCTACTGTGTAGTATTGAGTTCGATATGGTATTGGGCAAAAACTTGAAACCTGTCAGTCATGACTTGTGACGATGCATTGGGCACTGCTACCCATATTACTATGCTTTAGGCTGAGGGTGAGGGTGGTCAATCATGTGAAGCTTTGAAGGACCTCGCACTATTCAGCCTTTTGTACCAATGGGCATGAGACCTCAAGTTCCTCGGGAAACTGTACCAAGAAAGACACGGGATGAAATATAGACTACTATCTGAATAATCCCATCCCGATTCTTCCGTTGGCTTTTGGATACCTGGTTTCTCGCAAAGCTATCAACGTTTCAGTTTAGTCCTACCGGGTAAATTGTTTGTGAGGCCAAGACATCAAGCCCTGCCTCATCTTGTCCTGACGGCTTCAACCATTTTTGTAGCTATTAGAAAGAACCTGAGATTATGGTAATGGATTCGGTTTGATTCATCATGTCTAAGTTGCTAAAGCGTGAAAGTGTTGGGACTGCGAATAACGTGAAAGCATCAGATAAGGTCAGGCCGTGAATATAGCTGCCGACGCTAACGGTGACGGTTACGATTCTAACGCAGCGGCTCACTATCAAGCAGCGAAACAAGCATCAACAGCCCGGACAAGTGAATTGTATCCGGAGCTCTGCATGAGTGGCTGCATTAACCAACAGACAAGCACTCTTTCGCCGTTTTCTGTAGATCAACCTGATGTAGAAACCTTCACGCACTGTCTGTAGCTTGTTGACTTTATTTGCCGGTCTGGTTTGACGTTGCAGTTGTATTCACTCGACCAGCTTCCCCCCACGTCACCCAATTGCGTCTCCTCCGCCTACACCTCGGAGGTAGACTTTGTAGGCCTCCCAGACAAGAGTCGACGTTCCAGCCGCCCAACAAAAGAACATAAGGCCTTGTCCTACTTGCGGGGAAACGATGCCTGTGATACACGAGCCGTGACGCCTCATCCGTTGACGCCTCTCTGCCTTCTCCTCCCCGTCGATGCTGCTAAGCTCCCCGCGGATCGAACAATCCAAGCTTCGCTAACCCGCGAGGACTACGACTTGCTCTTCTTAGCTTCCAGTCGCAGTCATACGAACCAGCGGCCCTCCGCCGTGCAGGGGCATGAATCCAGCAGCAGATCCAGGTGCAAATCTGCGTCCCAGCCCGTCATCAGTCTCGGCTCCCAGTCGCCAACCCCGCAACCAGCTCCGTCGTCGTCGTGAGGCTTCGCGAGCCGGGATCCATGCGCAGCTAATCGCTCGATACGCACTCATTGCGTCTGCCCGACACGTCAGGATACGCTCGGTGAGGCTGCGGGTGCTTCGCAGGGGCTGCTGCCTGAGTCACACCCCGGGAGCGCCAAACTGCCGCCGTCGCCATTCCATGTTGCAGCTAGCGGCGGCTGTCGTGCAGTCGGGTGGCCCTGCGCTGGAGCCTGGGCCTGGGCCTGATTCTGGCCTTGCTTCGGCTGCTGCTCCGTGCCTGGCGAGTGATGGCGATGACGTGCTAAAGGTGCGCCCACGCTCGTCGTCAGACGCGGGATCGTGGACGTCTTGCTCCTCTGGAGACGTGGCTCCATCCCAGGACTACGAGTCTGGTCACACTGTCGAGAGATGGGCGGGCACGACCACGGGGACGGGTGAGGCTGCCGCGGACGAGGCTGTCGAGCCTGAGGCTGATATCAAGGAGCATACGCCCGTTCAAGATGGAGCCATTCCGACGTCCTCAGGCTCCCAGGCAGCACCGCTGGACGAAGAGGGAGAGCAGATCAAAGTCATGAGGGCCTATCAGATCGAGATGCTCGACAAGAGCCTCAAGCACAATGCCATTGTTGCTGTATGTTGGAATTTCTGTCCTTCCCCTTTCTTCCCCCTGCTGTCGTTGTTTCGACTTGAGAGACATGTCCATTGATCAAGGGGAGTATCGTACACTAGATGGACACCGGAAGTGGCAAAACTCAAGTGTAAGTCGCATGCCTGCGATGTCGGCTCTTGTACTCTGAGCCAGCCTTTGCCACCTGTTCTTGACGAAAGACTGATTTGGAGGGTTGTATCAGAGCCGTGCTTCGTATCAAGAAAGAGCTGGAAACTTGCGATGCGACAAAGGTAAGCCACCGCCTGTATACGTATGCACACGGCATAAACAGTAGCACTGATACATACACATCAGATTATATGGTTCATCGCCACGACGGTTGCGCTGTGTGAACAGCAACACGACGTGCTCAAGCTGCAGATACCTGCTGTGCCCATGATGACACTGGCTGGTAATTCCAATGTCGATACTTGGGGGCCGGATATTTGGAAGACTCTTCTCGAAAAGGTTCGAGTCGTCATCTCGACACCCCAGATTCTGCTCGATGCTCTTGATCACGCTTACCTCAACATGGATATTCTGGCGTTGCTTGTGTTTGATGAAGGTATGGCTGGCCTGCTATCACTTCGTTAAGGGAAAGGGGTAAACATTTGCAGATTGCTGACGTGACTGCTGCACAAGTCCACAACTGCATTGGCAAAAGTCCAGGCGGCAAGATCATGCTCAACCATTACCATCCGCACAAGGCGGCTGGTAACAGCGTGCCTGCTATTCTGGGCTTGACGGCAACTCCAAGCATTCAATCTGAGCGCCAAGATCTCGATGCCTTGGAATGGCTGATGGACGCAAGATGCGTCTCGCCCACTCTCCATCGGGACGAACTTCTCAAATGCGTCAAGAGGCCCAAGATCAAGCACGTCATCTACTTTCCCGGCGAAGAAGACTTTATGACTCCCACTATGCGCGACCTGGACCGGGTTTATCGAGAGCTGGACATTCGAGAAGATCCCTACATCCTCATGCTGCGCAACGACCTCTCGGACCGGAATAAGCGGAGCTTGGTCAAGGCGCTTGAGAAGTATGACACCTACACGCAGAATCATATGAAGTCCTTCTGCGCCCGGTCGAGAGAGGTATGCAGGCAGCTTGGCCCCTGGGTTGCTGACCTGTACATCTGGAAGGCCATCTCATCTTACTTGGAGAATATGGACAAGAAAAAAGATGGAGTCGATGAGTATGGTAACAAGTGGTCGTCGGGCCCCCCGACGAGCTACCTGGAAAAGAAACACCTGGCCGACATCTATCGCCGCGTCAAAGTCCAACCTCCTCCCGAGGTGCCACAGGCCTTTGACGACATTTCGGACAAAGTTGGCCGACTGCTCACCGAGCTGCTATCGATAGAAGAGGCCACAGTGGGCATCATTTTCGTCCAGGAGCGAGTCATGGTGGCCATGCTGGCCGAGGTCCTCTCCATCAACCAGGCCGTCACGTCTCGGTATCGAATCGGGACCATGGTTGGAACCTCGAAGCATGCTGCACGAAAAAAGGCCGTCCACGAGTTTGACCAGAAGACGGACTATAAGGATCTGCAGAGCTTCCGCTCTGGCAAGATCAACCTGCTGATTGCGACGTCAGTGTTGGAGGAGGGCATCGACGTGCCTGCCTGCAACCTCGTTATATGCTTCGATGAGCCCACGACCCCAAAGGCGTTTATTCAGCGGCGCGGACGGGCTCGCTCCAAGGACTCGAGACTCGTTCTTTTCTTTGACCACGCCAACCCTGCTATACAACAGTGGCAGGCTAGAGAGGAGGAAATGAATAAGATTTTTGAAGACGAAGAGAGGGCGGCACGTGAGCTCAGCAGACTGGAAGACTCGGAGGGCCCGAGCAGCATGTTCTTCATCGTCCCGTCCACCGGCGCAAGGCTGGAGTTTGACAATGCTAAGCAGCACCTCGAGCACTTCTGCAGAGTCTTGTGCCCGTCAGATTATGTGGACAGCCGCCCGGACTACATCATCCAGAACGAGGGCGACTCTTATTTGAAGGCCACCGTGCTGCTCCCTCCATTTCTGCCGGTGAAGCTGAGGCAGCACACCAGTGCTTCCCCTTGGCGCTCCGAGAAGAACGCTACCAAGGATGCCGCATATCAGGCGTATCTCGCCTTATATGACGCGAAGCTGGTCAACGACAATTTGCTGCCCTTAAAGTCCAGCGACATGTTGTCCGGACTCGATAAGCGAGTATCCGAGGTGCCGGTTGAGCCGTTGATGAAGCCATGGCATCATGTTGCTCCTGCATGGCGGGAAGCTGGCGACAAGTGGCTTTACTCCGTGAGTTGCGTTGAGGAGGATGGCCGAGTGAGTGCCGAGTACGAGATTCTTCTGCCGGTCTGGCTGAACCAGCCCCAACCTTTGCGAATGTTCCTCGACCGCAACCACATTGTGGAGCTCCGGCTGGGGGCTGGGAAACCCGTGCCGCATGAACAGGTTGCGTCCTTGCCAGATCATACCTCGACTCTGCTGGCGCTGCACTTTGGTCACCGGTGGCCGGTTGAGCAAAGAGAGCACGTAATTCGTGTCTGGGCGAAAGATCAGTCATTATCGATGGACCAAATTGGCGACGTCACATACGATCCCCAGAATGAGAGATTCAACCAGGGAGAGTTCCTCATCCGGGACAACACCAAAGCCCCCTATCTGTACAAGGACACTATCGCGTTCAAGCCCGAAGCGAGCCAGGTCCAGAATACCTTTTACGAGTATGACAAGGCGCCCGAAAACGTGCCCTATCTCGTGCTCACCAAGTGGACGCGGCGGACAGACTTTCTGCACCCCCTTCAGGGAGATCCCACCAAGAACGAGGTCAGCAGCAAGCCGTACGCGCGCGTGTATCCGCTGCAGTTGGCGACCGTCGATTCCATCCCGGCCAGGCATGCCCAGTTTGGCATGTTGATCCCGAGCCTGATACACGAGCTCGGCGTCATGCTCTTGGCTAAAGAGCTGGCCCACTCCGTTCTGCAAAGAATTGGTATTTCGGATCTGTATCTGGTCAAGGAGGCCATCAGCGCGCGGAGTGCCTCGGAGCCGGTGAACTACGAAAGGTTGGAGTTTCTGGGCGATTCGATTCTCAAGTTCTGTGCCTGTATGCGCGCTGCTGCTGAAAGTAGGTTGCTGGTTGCTTTGATACTGCGCACCCATCTCTTGCTGTCTGAACGCTTGCTGACCACGGTGATGCTGCCACTTAGAGCCCGATTATCCTGAGGGCTATCTCTCATTCTGGCGGGACCGGCTCGTTTCCAACTCCAGGCTGTACAAAGCCGCTCTCGAGTTTGGGCTGCCGCGATTCATGGTAACAAAGCCCTTTACCGGCCAAAAGTGGCGTCCATTTTACTTGGATGATGTCCTCCAAGAAGGGGACGGCGCTGTTCCAGAGAAGAGGAAACTATCTACAAAGACACTCGCAGATGTGGTTGAAGCACTGATTGGGGCATCGTACGTTGATGGGGGTCTTGCCAAGGCGGTGACTTGCATCTCCACGTTCATCCCCGAAGGCTTGTGGACAAGTGTGGATGCAGACAGGGAGTCTCTTTACGCGAGAATGCCAGAGGACGAGCCTCTTCCGCCGACGTTGGAGCCGTTGGAGACCCTGATTGGATACAAGTTTCGAAAGAAGGCTCTCTTGATTGAGGCCCTGACGCATGCCTCCTACGCGGCAGACACAGGAAAACGGTCTCTCGAGAGGCTGGAATTCATAGGAGACGCTGTCCTGGACAACATAATCGTTACGAAGCTGTTTAAACTGAAGCCGGCGCTGGCCCACTTTCGGATGCATACACTGAAAACGGGCTTGGTGAATGGCGAGTTCCTTGCTTTTATGACGATGGAGCACGGGGTGCAACTGGCGGCGAACCTTGTGGTGAAGGACGATGGTTCCATGGAGACCCCGGATGACGTCTCCTACTTGTGGTCCTTTATGAGGCATGCCTCGTTTCCCATTGCTATCGAGCAGAAAGAGACGACAAAGCGGCACGCGGCTCTGAGAGAGCAGATTCTCGACGCCATGGAGAAGGATGACCACTACCCCTGGGCCCTTCTGGCCGCGCTGAACCCCAAGAAGTTTTACTCGGACCTGTTCGAGGCCGTTCTGGGCGCCGTGTGGATCGACTCTGGGTCGCTGGCGGCGTGCGAGGGGATGGTTGCGCAGTTTGGGATACTAAAGTACATGGATCGGCTGCTGCGTGACGAAGTCCGTGTGCAGCATCCTAAGGAGGAGCTGGGCATGTGGGCGAACACGGAGACTGTGACGTACGAGCTGGAAGTCAAGGACAGCGAGCAGAGCGCGGGGGAGAAGGAGTACTTTTGCAAGGTGTTTGTTGGGAAGCGGGAGGTTGTGGTTGTGCGCGGGGGGGTCAATAAGGAGGAGGTGAAGACGAAGGGTGCGACGGAGGCGTTACGGATTTTGAGGGAGGAGAAGAGGCTTAGTACCGGGGATGTGGTGATGGTGGGATTGTGATTGCAGAGAGAGGCGGGAGATGATGTTGAGGGTCGTGGGTGAGTTGATGTTGGATGAGTATTTAGTGTTTGGAACTTGTGAAAGATCATGAGCGATTAAGGGACGGGACTAGACTGTCTGCAGCTGATATTGGCAATTTTCGTTTCTCTTCATTTTGATATACGAGGGTGATGAACGACTATGGTGTCTTGTATAGATCCTTTGCCCTTTCTCAGCTGAATATCCAGCACTCATCTATAGACTAAGCATACTTCTTCAGCTCCTCCAGCAACAAATCCACCATCCACGTCAGAGTAGTCTCCATATCACCATCCAGGGGCTCCCCTTCGGGCACCCGAATCCCCTCCCTCTCAAGCACATCCGCCCTGAACCTGCCCTCGACATTTCCGTCCTCAAACAGCCACGCATGCGCCTCGACGTAGTTTGGCCAGACAATCTTGTCCACGTAGCCCGGCGGATCGGCCCAGAAGCCCTCGAGGGTGACGTAGCCGTCTCTTGCCTCGCGGCGGGCCTTGGCTTGGGCGTAGGAGGCGCGGAGGAAGATTTTGAGGTCGAGATGGGGTTGGATGGAGGACATTGCCGGGGTGAAGAGGAGGAAGCCGTCGAGGATGCATATTCTGAGCGCTGATGCCGATGATGATGATGACGATGATGTTGTTGTTGTTTCGTCGTCCTGGGATTGATGGGATTGATGAGAGAGGAGGAGGGGGTGGGAGGGGGGCAGGTGGGAGAGGACTTTTTGTTTGAGGGTTTCTGTGAGGGTGGGGGGGATGGGGGAGGGGCCGACTGAGTTTTGGTCTTCTTTTGAGTCGAGGGTTGGCTTTTGGGGGGTTGGAGATGTCAGTTTGCGTTTTGTCTTGTGAGGGGAGTTTGTGAGGAGGGATACGGACGGGAAAAGAGGCGTTTTCGCGGATGTAGGCGAGGGCGGATGCCATGGCGGGTATGTCGATGGATTCGGGACAGTCCCAGTCCACGAGGCCGTTTTTCACGGGAAGCCTAACATGGTTTCAAAACATGATTCAAATTGTATCAGAAGAGAGAGTTTTCAGAAGAGAAAACATAAGACTTGTGGCAAGGAACTCACTCGGCTTCGGGGCGGTAAAAGTCATCTTCGTGCAGGATGAAGGTGTTGGGGAAGATGTCGCGGAGCAGGCGGGCGAGGGTGGTTTTCCCGCTGGAGGAGCAGCCGGAGAGGGCGATGACGAGGGCCTTTTTGGGGGGCATTTGGGGGCTTTTTCTCTCTTTTGTGTTGTGTTGTGTTGGTGTTGTTTTGGTGTGAGAGGAGATGGGATGAGAGTTGAGTTGATATCCGGGTTGATATGGATGGGCGGATGGCGGGGATCGTGTAGGCGAAGCGGGCTCGAAGTCGATAGAGGTTCGGCAGATACGGGCAGGGGTTTAGCGGCTGGACGTGGGGGGTTGGAGGGGAAGATTCAGGGCAGGATGGCGCTGGTTCTAGGGAGTTACAGGGCGTCTGTCTAATGCGTATGACGGCCTGGGTCACATCAGGTTGGCCGCGTGCATGTGCTTTTTTCTTCGTGGCTGCTGGCGCATTGCATCTTCTTTTCTTTTCTAACATACAACCTCGAGCATCACCGTCAGTACCATCGCCTCAATCCCCACGACCCATCTGCTCTCCGACCCTACTCTTCACCTCTACACTACCTGAAGCATCGCCAAAAGCAAACAGCAGATCTGACCTTGCCGCAAACCGCCCACAATGTCCACCGACGAACAGGCCTACCAGACGGGCATGATCCTGACCACGGCCCTCGCCAGCTTCGTCACCGGCTACATGTTCGGCATCTTCACCACCCGCGGCTACCTCATCTCGCCCGCCCTGGCCGAGGAGCGCCGGCGGTACCACAACGACCCGGTCGAGAGCGACGAGAGCGACGTGGACGTGGACGGCACGCCGCTGGACCACGCGCCCAACTGGGCCAACGGGCTGGACGCGGACCGCCGGCAGGGGCTCCGGTTCCGCGAGTCGGGCGCCGCGGAGAGGAAGAGCCTCATGGGGGAGAGCAGCGAGGAGTGTAAGCTGGTGTTGGTTGTGCGCACGGATCTGGGCATGACCAAAGGTGTGTTATTTTTTCCCCCTTTCAATATGCGGATATTGGATGATGAGAGAAGAGAAACGAGGCTGATATAAATTAGGCAAAATCGCTGCGCAATGCTCTCACGCCGCGCTCGCCTGCTACAAGGCCCTCGCCAGCGCCGACCCGTCGTCGCCCGAACGCCGCGTGCTCTCCCGGTGGGAGCGCTTCGGCCAGGCCAAGATCGCAGTGCAGGTCAAGAGCCAGGCCGAGCTGCTGGAGCTGCGGGGCAAGGCGCGCGCGATGGGGCTCACGGCCGAGGTGATTCAGGATGCTGGCCGGACGCAGATCGAGGCGGGCAGCATGACGGTGCTGGGTGTGGGACCGGGGCCGAAGAGCTTGGTGGACAAGGTTACGGGGGGTTTGAAGCTGTTGTGAGAGGGGGGCATGAGAGGATATATGGTGTGTGTGAGATGAGATGGAGTACGAGATGGAAATATCATACGTGGTCTAAAGGGACGGCGTCTGGTGATGGATGAATTGCATTGGAGCTGTGAAACATGTGATGGCATGGGATAGGCGCCAGGTATAAAAACGAACGGGCATACTGGGATCAAAAAATAGAACGGCAAGCATTGATAATTTCATTCACATATCAAGAGCTCTATGTTCCTTTCCCATCAGATGGATATGATACGAATTGCGTCAACGCATGTCCAAGAACCTCACGAGCACCCCCTGTGTCATGCTCATGGGTATTCATTACTATGCATTTTTGATAGGTAGATGTGTGCCAAAGGCTATACTATAACCCGTACTCCAAACAGCAGAACCGAAATCACTCCTTCTTGGCAAACCGCGACAGGGCCGGCCCCAGATCCTCCTCGACCTCCTTGCGCTTCTTGTCGTTCTTCTTCTGCTGCTCCTTCCACAGCTCGTCCACGCGCAGCCTCTTCTCGTCGATGATGTTGCGCTTGCGCTGCTTGCGCAGGTACTTCTTGAGCGCGCCGTTCTTGCCCCTGGCGCGGTTGCGGATCTCCTCGGCGACGTCGACGGGCTTGGCGTCGAGGTCGCGCTCGGCGCGGCGCTGGGCGTCGGAGCGCAGGTCGACGTTGCCGACGAAGTTGGGGTCGAGGGCGATCATCTCGGGCGCCAGCTTGTTGAGCAGGCCCTTGACCTCGGTCTCCTGGCGCTGCTTGGCCGTCTCGAAGGGGTTGGCCTCGAAGGCGTCGAAGTTGGCCTCGCCGGCGCCGGGGACGATGACGGACGAGAAGCCCTTGTCGTGGCCGATGCCGAGCACGTCCTCGTAGGGGCACCAGCGCACGCGCTCCACCGCCTTGCCCTCGCGGCCCCATTTCATGTACGGGTGCGACTGGCGCTGCTGCTCGGCCAGGTTCTTGTCGAAGAGGCCCTTCCAGATGGTCGTCGACGTGCCCCAGCCGACGGCCGTGAGGCCCGTGTCCGAGATGGCGACGGACGAGGCGGGCGTGTACGTCGAGTACGTGCTGACCTCCTTGAACATGCGAATGTCCCAGACGGCCATGCGCGCGTCCTGGCCGGCCGAGACCATGTACCGGCCCTCGCGGTCGACGGCGACGCCTCGCACGGGCCCGCGGTGGGCCAGCAGCTTGACGAGCGGCTCGGCCGAGTTGGGCGACCAGAGCGTGACGGTGCCGTTCTGGTGGCCGGCGTGGACGATGGCGTTGTAGGGGTTGTGCGTTAATGAGGTCGGGGGGCCGAGGCGGGAGGGGAGCTCGGCGACGATCTGGCCGGTCGACGTGTCTTGGTATTTGAGGACGCCTCCTGTGTTCTTATGCCAAGTGTTAGAGAGTAATTAGACTCTTGAGGAGAGAGGAGGGAACGCATACCATTGTGGCCAGGAGAAAGTGATAGGGGAGGAATTCCATGTGTGTGACTTCCGAGTGTTTCCTCAAGCAGTGGATCTCGACGCCGTTGCGGTCGTAGATGTAGACGTACTTCTTCTGCGCCACGGCGAAGAACTGGTTGTTGTGCAGCCACTTGATGTCTCGAACCGTCTCGCCCAGCTGGATCTCGCAGCCCAGCTTCCCCTCCCGCCAATCCATCGTCGCGACATGGCCCTTTCGCCCGCCGAGCAGCAGCTCCCGTCCGTTCCGTGAGTAGTCGCACAGGTAGGGCCCCAGCTGGTCCAGCTTCAGCTCGAACCGCTTCTTGGCCGTCTCGACCGCGACGTTGGCCACGATCTCATCCTGCTGCACCTTGTACGTCCGCTCCAGCTCGCCCTCGGCCTCGAGGAAGCCGGACGTGTTCTCCAGCAGGATCTCGGCATCCTTGGCCTTGAGCGTCGCGTTCTGGTACTTTGCCTCGAGCTGTTTCAGATTCCGCCGCAGCTTCTTGTCCTTGATCTGCTTGGTGTTGATCTGCTTCCCTCGGCCGTATGCCTGCTGGGCCTCTCGTATCCTCCGCGCCTTTTCCCTCTCGGCGCGGGTGGCCATGTCTGTTCGGGGCTTGTGCGTGACGATTGCGCCGCTCTTGCGCGCTGTCGGCGCTCGGGCTACCGCCGGTTCCGCCTCCATTGCGGCCATGTGAGAATTCTCCCCCTTTGACGCTTTCTTCGTGGACGGCGAGACTCGGCAAAAGGGTGCTGGACAATTCGCAGAAAACGGGCTGGATGGGATTTGGTTCTACTATCAAAGTCGCAAGCAAAGAAACAAAATTTCCAACGCCTAGCACTTTGTCGCCGCCTATCGCAATCGTCCCATTGGCTGGGCCCTGATCGGCCTGTCCATTGCGCTTATCGATAACGCGCCACAACAGAAAAATTCTTGATAACCAAAAACCCCACCATCCAGCGATTCTGCATGATCTTTGCGCCTGTCCCGACGAATACAATACAAAAAGCCATCACGAGCTTCGATTGGGAAGAACAGCGATTTGCTGGATTTTTCGAAATCTACGACATCCAAAGTGGCATCGCTACCGTTTCGGTTCAAGGCTGGCGGCGACGGAAAAATGCCTGCCGCCGTGCACTCGCACCGGCCCACGACGAAAGTCACCCACAAGCCGTTCAAGTCCAAGGCTGCGTCCAAGCATGAGCTGAGAGACCGCGCAAAAGGTTCGACTGAGCATTCATTCTATGTGAAGCCACGGATCGCTAACGCTTTTACTAGGCCGAGTCCCTAACGAAAAAGGATCGCGCAAGACTCCCCACCAGCAAGTCATGTCCAAGTTCGACCGACGAAACCAGGCCAAGCAGAATCGCCTCACCAAGCACAGGGAACACCTCAAGGAGACGTCCATTTTCTCTGGAAAGGATGCTGCCCCCAGAATTGTTGCGGTTATCCCCCTGTGCTCCGACGGCGATGCAAAGGCGGCTATTCAGTCGCTCAACGGTAGCCTCGACATCGAAGCCGATCTGAGCGGCAACAACTTCCAGGTCCCGGTCGACCGCTTCAAGCAGAAGCTGCAATATGTTGCCCTCGAGCGAGACCTCACCGCATGCTTGGATGCTGCCGCCACCGCCGATTTCGTTGTCATCGTCCTGTCGGCTTCTGTCGAGGTGGACCAACTTGGAGAACTGATTCTTCGAAGCGTCGAGAGCCAGGGCCTGTCCACGCTCTTCACGATGGTGCAGGGTCTTGACAAGATTGAGCCTGCCAAGCAGAGGCCTGGCATCATGGGCTCGCTCAAATCCTTCATTACCCATTTCCACCCCGAGCAGGAGAAGCTCTACAGCACCGACAACCGGCAGGACTGTGCCAACCTGATGCGGTCTCTGTGCAGCACAACCCCCAAGGGCATCAGGTGGAGAGATGAGAGAAGTTGGATGCTGGCGGAAAATGTCCAATTTGCGTCCAGTGACTCGGAGTCCACAATCATCACCGGAGTGGTGCGCGGCAAGGGACTGAAGGCGGACCGACTGGTGCAGGTTGGTGACTGGGGCACATTCCAAATCGAAAAGATTGTCGCCGCCCCTCTACCAAAACACATCAAGAAGAAGGGTGAGGAGATCACAATGGAGGCCGAGGAAGAAAAGGTCCTGGAGGAGCCCTCTGCCGATCGGGACGACTTGAACGACCTCGCCCCTGAAGACGTCATGATGGACGCGGAGGATGACGCCGCCATGTCCGTTGCGCCTTCAGAAAAGAAGGGCGTGCTGCTAGACGAGCACCACTACTTCTCAGACGAGGAAGACGAGGCCACGGCTGGAACCAAGAAAGTGCCCAAGGGAACGTCAAAGTATCAGTCGGCGTGGTATCTGGACGACGTGTCGGACTCGGGCTCTGACATGGAAGACATGGAGATGGATGATGAGAATGACGAAGAAGAGTCAGTGGGACCCGAGGACGGTATCGAGGGATTCGCTCAACCCGAGCCCACGGAGGCTGGTCCTTCAGAATACCCTCAATCTGAAGCCATGCCAGACGAGGAAGAAGACGCTGCGCAGCTGGAACAGTACCGAGCACGGAAGCGGGACGAGGTGGAAGAAGACAAGGAGTTTCCTGACGAAATTGAGCTTCACCCTCACGTGCTGGCCAGAGAAAGGCTAGCCCGGTATCGCGGTCTGAAGAGCCTCCGCACCAGCCCCTGGCTGGAGGACGAGGATCGAGCTCACGAGCCAGAAGAGTGGCGCAGGCTCCTGCAGGTTCCCGACTACAACGCTTCACGATCAAGGGCAACCCGCGAGGCGTTGGTTGGAGGCGTGCAGCCCGGCACCCGCGTCCACGTCTACATCAAGGGCATCCCTGCCGCCACGGAGAAGTCCTACAACCCCAAGGCGCCGGTCAAGCTCGTCTCCTTGCTGCGGCACGAGAACAAGAAGACGGCCGTCAACTATCTGATCAACCTCAGCTCGGACGAGACGACTTCCATCAAGTCCAAGGAGGAGCTGATTGCCCAGTGCGGCCCCCGGAGGATGGTCATCAAGCCCCTCTTCTCGCAGTCGGGATCGACGCCCAACGACGTGCACAAGTACTGTCGGTACCTCCACCCAGGCCAGTCGGCCATTGCCACGTTCATGGGACCCATCACCTGGGGCGCCGTCCCCGTTCTCTTCTTCAAGCGAATGGCCCCCAGCGCGGGTGGCGCCGAGGACCAAGACGCGTCGGCCGGCGGGCTGTCGCTGGTTGCCACCGGCACCGCGTTGCCGCCGTCGACATCTCGTGTCGTGGCCAAGCGGGTCATCCTGGCGGGCCACCCGTACCACATCCACAAGAAGATTGTCACGATCCGATACATGTTCTTCAACCGCGAGGACGTGGAGTGGTTCAAGGCGATGCCTCTGTGGACGAAGCGCGGACGCAGCGGTTTCATCAAGGAGCCCCTGGGCACGCACGGTTACTTCAAGGCGACGTTTGACGGGCGGATCAACCCTCAAGACTCTGTCGGCATCAGTCTGTACAAGAGAGTCTGGCCGCGACATGCCGTGCCTGTTACTGGGTCGTTGTTGGACGCTGGCGCTGTGGAGGGGCAGGGAGCGGATGAAGATACCATGATGGAGTGATGGGAAGAATTTGGGAAGAAAAATAAAAGCATACATGGCATTATTTAGAGGTTATGAATATTACGACCGATTTGTTTCTCATAATCATCTCTCGTTATGTGATGCAATATCCCGGAAACTCCATCGCTGTAGACGTCTACCGGATAATAAACACTCCGCAACCAGACACGTACCCTATACAATTCTATGCCCATAACCCCCCATAACAAACGCCGGCACAAGGTCAAACATACTTGACCAGCGTCGCCGCCAGCGAAACCAACGTCCCAAACGAATCCATGCCCTCACACCACCTCATCACATCCTTCATGATGGATCCAGAAGACCCAGAGGATGATGACGATGACGATCCGTCAAGAAGAAGCTCCTCGGGGGACAAGTGCTGCGCCAGCTTGTAGTCCTTCAACGTGAGTATCCTGGCGACGGAGCGGCCGCGCAGAAAGGCGGCGTAGCGCTTGCTCCAATCGTAGGTGGAGGGGACCTCCCAGAGGTCGCGGACGCAGGGGAGGGGCGCGGCGGCGAAGCTTTGGCAGCAGCGGGATTCGGACTGGCGGAGGTTGATTTCGAGGAACATTTCGATGATGTAGAGGAGGCAGAGCGTTCTTTTGTATATAGATATATCCATATAATGTAAGAGACAAGAGAAGATGTTATGTGACTTTGGTGGGCAAAAGGGAGGGGGGGATGAGGTTACATACCTTCGTGCGCTTTCGTAGAGGACCCATGTTGGGCGGCAGAGGGGGGTTTCGATGGTGTCGATGAAGGTGTTGTATGCGAGGGTGGAGTGCAGCTTTTGGCCGAGTTCCTGTAGTTTTTGGGGTGTGTTGGTGGTGAATCTGATGATTAGAAAGGGGGATGGACATACGCCTAATGTGATGAGGAGGAGCTTGACGTCGTTTTTGACCAGCGCTTCTGCGTCCTGTGCTTGTAGTAACATGTATACTGTCAAGGCTTGAATTGACTCAAGCATTGTTTCTGAATCAAATGCTTCGTGCTGACACGATCCACGGTATATGTTAGCATCATTACATCTCATTCTCGACACAACATGTACGATGAAGCCTTGGACACGGGGGGGAGACAACTCACCTCCTTGTGCATCCTCGCAACCTCATTATAAATCGTCTCCCACACAAACGAGCTGCTCACAGGCGTCCTATCCATCCACATGCCCACCAGCGACGCACAAACACTCAGCGTCCTGCCCAAACACGCATGCCTCCCCTCCCTCGCGCAGTCATGCCTCGTCGAGCCACCATCGTCGTTGAGACTGCACCGGCTGTGGATGAAGGGCGGCAGCGCGTGGCCGCTGACCAGCATGGCGGGATACGAGCACACCTGGCCGAGGATGGTCCGCGTGGCGAGCACGCTGCTGGCCGTGAGGCCGCGGCGCTTGGTCAGCACGCGGGAGGCCTTGTCGTGGAGGAGGAAGTCGGACTGCGTGCCGGAGCCGGTGACGGGGTTCCGGAGACGCGTGTCCAGGTCGGGCTCGCTGTCGGGGGGGTTCATGTTGATGTTGTGGAGGAAGCTGAAGACGCTGTGGCAGGGCTCGATGGTGAGGCCCATTGCGGATGTGTCGAGGCTCCCGGCTGGTGCATGGCTTGTTGGGCCAGGAGGGTCGAGTTCGACTTGTAGAGGAGGCCAGTCTGGGCGAGTAGTGGTGCTGTGTTGAGGAGCAGCCATTTGTCCGGCGGAAGAGGACGAAGCGGTAGCAGCTGATGGAGACGAGGAGATCATGCCGAGAGGATCCAGCGCGGCGTATCCCGGAGCAGTAGCAGCGCCCTCCTGTCCGTGCCTGGCGGCGAGGACCCGCACATGTCCGGCGTGCTGCTGCGGCGTGTCGCTACTACTAGTATGAGTCGTGGGAGTATTAATGCTAGTTGGGTTGAGAGCCTGCAGCACGGAGGAGGACATGTAGGGGGTCATTCGCGGAACTGCGCCGCCGGCGTATTCGCACGGGAGGTTCCTGGACATGCAGCGGGAGCAGCGCGGGAGGGCGAGGCTGCAGCGGGCCTTTGCTTTGCGGCACTGGACGCATGACTTTTGCCTGGATATGGGCATGTTTTTCTTGTTGGGCTTCTGAGAAGAGAGAGGAGACTCTTTGTCTGATGGATTGGCATTTACAAGTTGTAGGAGATGGAATAAGAGGAATTACGGTTACGGTCATAGCACGGATGAAGCTGGAAAGGAATGCCCGGAAATAAAAGTCACGACAACTGACAGGACGCGGACGCCGGAGCAGCGCCTCACGCTTCGGAGTTTGGGTGGAGCCACGCCGGAGTTCGAGTGGGCCGGCACAAGGGGGGGTTTTGAAGAAACGGGTTGAAGACTACATGTATGTATATGAGCAGAGTAATAAAGAAGCTTGGAGGCGTTGGTTGGATCTGGGCGTGGCGCTAGATTAAGATCTGATGGGCAAAATGGGCTGACAGGTTCTGTTCGGGCTGGGGGAGAGAGCGGATGAGCTGAGGCGAGAGGTCGATTATTCATTGATATGGCGGCTGGTGGCTGTAGGGGAGCCGACGGAATTCCGTATGGTGCCATTTGAGATGGGAGGGAGAGATGGAGAAGGATATGGAAGACGGCATGATGGATCGCCGATTGTGCGAGGACGGAGGGACTGCTGTATTGCCTATACTGGCATGAGACGGAGGAGGACACTCAGGTACAAATAGAGCGGCACACCCACCAGCAATGAAGCAGTAGATATTCGTCCATCCTCGCCATCACCATCATCATCTTTACCCCTACAGAACACCATCTTTACCTGATATAAACATCACAATGGCCCCCATCAGAATCGGCATCATTGGCCTCGGCGCCACAGGCCCTGCCCTCGGCCCCGGAGCCTGGGCCGTCGGCGCCCACCTGGCCTCCTTCGTCCCCTCGCCCAACTACGAAATCGTCGCCGTCTGCAACTCGTCCGTCGAGTCCGCCCAGCGCTCCATCAACTTTCACAAGCTGCCCTCCACCACCAAGGCCTACGGCAAGCCCGAAGACATTGCCGCGGACCCCAACGTCGACCTCGTCGTCGTCTCCGTTATTGTGACCAGCCACCACAAGGTCGCCAAGCCGGTCCTCCTGGCCAAGAAGCAGCTCTTTGTCGAGTGGCCGCTCGCAGCCAGCACAAAGCAGGCCGAGGAGCTGGCGCGGCTGGCCAAGGAGGCACATGTCAAGACGATTGTGGGCACGCAGTTCCGTGCTGATCCCGCGCTGCGCAAGGTCAAGGAGCTTGTTGACGGCGGAGCGATTGGCAAGGTGACGAGCACGCAGGTGCAGTACTCGCCTCAGATGGGGCCGCCGGACATGTGGATGGATGCTGCGCCGTATTATCTCGACTTTAAGAGTGGCGGGAATGAGTTTCACATTGCGTTTGGCCACTGTAAGCCGTGCTCCTTGTTTGATGTTTATGTGTGGACGAAGAGAAGAACTGACGAGTTTTATCAGTGCTTGACGGCTTCCTCCATGTGCTGGGCGACTTTGATACTGTCAAGTCGTCGCTCTCCAAGCAGTATCCCGTCATGAAGCTCTTCGACCTGAGCAACGGGCAGGTCACCAACCCGGCCCACCCCAGGACATCCCCAGACCACATCTTCGTCCAAGGCGTGCTTGAGAGCGGCGCCATCGCCAGCATCAACTACCACCGCCCCGGCGCGCTCCTCGGCAAGCCCTTCCGCTGGCTCATCTCCGGCACCGAGGGAGAGATTGAGTTTACTCTCGACGGCGCCCTGCAGATGGGACTCAGCGGGCAGGAGATTCGCATCAAGACGGTGCACGACCCGAAGGAGGCGCGCGTCGTGGAGTGGAAGGATGAGAAGACGCCGAAGCATGTGGAGGACGTGGCGTTTCCGGGACAGAACACGGCGCGTGTGTGGGAGGCGTTTGCGCGTGGGGAGAAGGAGGGCGTTGCGGACTTTGAGGATGGGCTGAGGGTGCATCGGTTGTTGGATCGGATTGCGAGGGAGGCGGGTTCGCCGTATGCTGAGTATGTTGAGGAGATGTGATGGATCTTACGTTGAAGTTGTATTGCTCGATGTAGAAAATCTGCAAATTATATCCTTCAAAGCTCGTGTCTCTAAAATGTGAATGAACACGATGCCAGTAGCAACATGACATTCAGGTAAGCGAAAGAAGGCTTCAAAGCATCTTTGGTGATCCCTATTGTCACAACTGTGTCCGTCCTGTCACCTCGGAGTTTGTTTCAAGGTGACTTGATGAACCAATAGTGCCACGATACCTCTTTGGAAACATGCTTGATGCTTGTCAAATGCTTCCATGCAAGGGGACTTCAATGAACACTTCGCGTAGCCCGTCGGATCTATCGGGTGGAGAGCTTCTTTCGAGGATAGATTCGTTTTCGCAGAGCATTGTCCAAGGAAACCATTGAGGTTGAGTGTCTCACGATAGCCGCTTTTGTGGTTGTATGCAACTAAGCTGTTCCTGGTATGATTGTTCTTTTCTAGTTTCGATATGAAAGAGAGCTCTTCCGGACCGTCGGCTATAGTGTATGCATCAAGAGTTACCATTTATGGTAGTGGATTGATCAGCTGCTGAAGGCCGTCATGGTCTAAATCGAACGAAGAGGAACATAGGGTGCACGCATGTCTTCTGTTTTGTCTAGGCCTTGCTGGGCAATGCGTGGAGTGATTTGGAATCCAGATGAAATTTGAGAGCTCATCTTGTTGTGTAGATGTCACTGATACAGTAGCTGCGTACGAAGCTCGACGGTCTTGAACGACGTCGTCTCTAGACGGCTTTGGACTATGTGTTTCGTACTTCCAATAACAGGGACGGTCTATTATACTGACATCAGTGGGCGACAGCAATATGCTCTCGTCAGATGCTTATCACATCATTCATACCGGCATCTATCCTCCTTGAAAACCAACGGAAGAATACGAGCAACAGCTAATACTAGGAGCTTTCTTCACCCTGCTCCACGTTGTGTGCCCTCGTGCCAAGTCTGAAGAAGCTGGTCAGTAGCATATCAATTGCCGAAGTCGTGACTAGTGACGGTAAATCGCTGAAATGCGGAGATAAACGCCGGCATCGAACTCGGCTTAACAGAGGAACATTGACATGGTATATCTTCCACCTATCAAAGGTCTTTTTCGTATCAAATCACGTTACTAGAACGGTGTAATGCTCCGTATACGAGGTAGAGACAATGGTAGCACTAATACATACATGTATATCGAAGTGCCCCTCATGAACACCGGCGAACGTAATACCCGTCGGATTCTCCTCCACGATATGGAGCCCTCGATGATCTCAAAACGGCTTCAGATCTGGTCACTCGGTCTTCACTTACGATAGAGTTCTCACCCTGTTGCTACTCTTCCCGTCGCTAACAGCGCTTAACCATTTACCCGTCGGCCTCACCCCGCATCCCCAGATTTTCATCGCCGTCGCATTCCTCAACATGAAGCTGTATCGGGTTCCAGTGCCGAGACATGGGATATAAAGCCTGGTATCAGCCATTGTCTCTCAAGTTCTGGCTCCTAATGTAAGGCCAAGGTCACCAAGCAGTGCCTAAGGCTTCCTAGCATGAAGGCATAAGCTGCTCAACTCAGACCCCCTCCTTCACCATTACCAGAGGCCGTACAGTTCTGGCCGCCACCCCGGTTTAGTCGGCCACCTCACCAACTCCGCCTCATCCCATAGGGCTGTTCCTCTTCAAGATGGTGCGGCTCCAGCTCCTCCTATCAGCCCTATTCGTGGCGCTGTCCCACCAGACATGCGTCACCGACGATGACTGCAGCCTCAACGGCGTCTGTGGCAGAACCGGCGTCTGCAAGTGTGACCCTGCCTGGACCGGCGACGACTGCGGCGCCCTCGACATCCGCCCCGCCAAGCGCAACGGCGGCTACAACCTGACGGCCGAGGGCACGTCGTCGTGGTGCTCCAAGATCATCAAGGATCCGTGGGAGCGCGGCCTGTACCACCTCTTCGCCTCCGAGTTCACGCACGGCTGCGGGCTCGACTACTGGGCGCCCTACAGCCGCATCATCAGGGCCGTGTCGCGCACGGGGCCCGCGGGGCCTTACACCTTCGCGGCCGAGGTCATGGGCCACTTTGCGCACAACCCGACGGTCGTGTACAGCCCTGCGGACAAGGAGTGGCTCCTGTACTACATCGGCTGCCCCACGGAGGTCTCGGATACCTGCCAGTCGCAGAGCTTCACGTGCGGCCCGGGCAACAACGTCAATGGCGAGAGCGGCGTCTCGGTGCTCAGCAGCCGGGACCTTCGCCATTGGAGCTTTAAGGGGCAGGTCATGCAGGGAGACAACACGGCGGACTGGGACGCCGACTTGACCAATCCTACGGCTTTCCCTCTGTACTCGAGCTCCAGCCACACAGACGCCATGGTCCTGGTCTATCGCGGCTGCCCGATCAACTGCGGTGGCAGCGAGCTGATCAATGTCGCCGTTTCGGAGAAGGGCTACGAGGGCCCGTATACCAAGATTGAGCCGGACCCCATCTTCTCCGATCCCAACGAGGATCCGTTTGTCTGGCGAGACAAGCGAGGCAACTTCCACATGCTGATGCACTCTCTCGAGTCTGACGGCGGCTTTGGCTGGGGGCCCAACGTTGGTCGACATGCGTGGGCGAGGAACTACACTGGGCCATGGACGTTTGGCAACAAGACGCTGGCGTTCAGCACCGAGGTCCCGTTCGATGATGGGACGACGATTGATTACTTCCGCAGAGAGAGGCCGGAGCTGTATTTCTCGGAGGATGGCACGATGACGCCGCTTCTGTTGTCGACGGGTGTTCAGGAGGTGAATAGTCCTATGAGCTATAGTATTGCTGTTCCTTTGGGAGATGCGGGTGTCAAGGCTCAGAATCAGAAGTAGGATGTGTGTAGCGGAATAGAAACCAGTGCGGTTACTTATGTCTCACCTAGTTGACTTACACGGAGCTTCGGTCTAATCAACAGAGTCTGCTTCGCTATGAGTGGTTGAGTCCTTCCACACTGGTAATCTCTATTGCTGCCTTTGTGTGCTCAAGTATGACAAGGAGTCATCTCTTTTGCTCTTTACGGGTTATCGGTCAATTTGCTCGAGGCGGCTCAGCGACTCGCTCACGGATCAAGGTCCTAGACAGCGATTCTAGGCATCTACATACTGCTTGGCCAGTATTGGATCCCTGTGGAACGATACCAGCAGACTCAGAGAAAGGTAACTGCCAGATTGAGTAAGCACATGTAGAGGGCCCTCTGTACTTTTGTGCGCCGGTACACGAAGCTGACTGGAGCAGGCGTGAGTACGAGGTACCGAGCCCTCAGCCCTGAAGGATTACTAGTAGTCTGGAAGAGCCTGCCTGACTCTAGGATACCGTGCCATACACAGTAAGGCTCGAATATGCACGTCATGCCTGCAGCTTGCCAACTGGGAACCGGCTGGATGGGTGGCGCGGCACTTGAAGTGGCAGCCATTGGTGTTGACGATGCAAGGCACCGAGCCTTACCACAGATGAAAAGACGGGAACGCGCACGTGAGTAATCCTGCAAATAGCACGTAGATACGGCATGCGACTCAGACAATACGCCGAGTCTTTCAGAACCAGAGTTTCGTGCTTGAAGTCGAGGATTGGGCCAAGTGTGACAAATCTCACCTTGCGTTAGCCTGGTGTCTTGGAGGTGATGATGCACGTAAGTACAAAGTGATGCTGTAGGCCATGGTTTCTGCCTTGTCATCATGATTCATTCTCACTAGTGCATATTGTCTTGGCCTGGTCGCTTTGTTTGCCTTGATCACCCTGTGATGATGGTGGACTCATCTTTAAGCGAGGACCTCGTCAAGGTGATATGGTGATTTTCCCAGGTCTTTGACGCCCAGATTAGGAAGTCATACAAGCGCTCAGCTCGTGACATGGAAAACCGGAAACGTCTTGGCCGCACAATGTCGCTCAATGGATTACCGGACAAGGCATATACCCCGACCAAGAGTCCATGCCGTGCTCCAGTCGCCGAAGATCATGGTGCCCGAAGCCTCCCACTTTTAACCGGGGCTATCTTGATATCCCCTGTCTGTTTTCTTGAGGCCGAATCGAGCATTGGCTACGCGTGCGTTTACCAGCTCAAGCTTCGGAAACGTGACCATGTCTATAAGACAATAAGACGCTTGTTGATGTTTGCCAATGGCTCTTGCATCAACAACTATGACTCAACGACAGCCATTGTGAGGTTTGTCCGTTGTGGCGGCGGCTGAGTTTCCACACGAGGAGCAAAAGGTGCTGAAGAGAAATCAATAACTCACATTATCCATACTGCTATCACAGCCTACACGAGTCAAACCCCAGAAGAGTGACGAGAAAATCAATACGAGTTTTTTTTGTCCTCGGCGGCTACACGCAAACCCCCACAGCACAGCCCATGCCAGAGTCGGTACTATCATTCTGGTGAAAGCTGAATGGGAAGATGGTGAGATCATAATAAGCAAACGTGGCAGGCTGAACCCCAGGAAGCCTGCACGTCAGGCAGGCGAGTCGTCTTACCTTGCAAAGCCTGATTGGCGAGACTCACCATGCAGCTCTTTTACCCATCGTCCGTTGCGGCTTAACGGGGCGTCATGGGCAGCTCCGTTTGTAAGGCAATAGCCTCTGTTTGCCTCGGCCCGCACCTTGAAGCCTCCTCGGACGCACCGAGACCCAAACCCTGCGTCTCGACATGGCTCCGGTGCTCTGGGCCCCTTGGCGAAAGCGCCTGTTCCAGCTTCCTCCAGACAACAATGGCGGTGATGCTGCTCCATCGAGGGCCCCCCCATCGAGGTCGAACTCGCATGCAGCTAGACGCCTTTGGTTGAGGGCCTCGCCCCGATAGTTTGTTGCGGGCGGTGGATCTTCTGGTGCGACCCAGAGAGCTGCAACCCACGCTTCTTTCGGTGATGCCCAGTTTCTTCAGCGCAGACCTGCTGTTGTGCCAATGGCGGGCCGATCCAGACGGCGTCATCTGATGTCGGCCAGCGTCAATCGCTCCCGACCGACTGGTTTATCACACCGCGAGGATGCTTGCGTCCATACGCGTACATGGTGATGGATCTGTTCCCGCTCTGCGCACCGCCTCGGTGGGAGGGCCCAGGCTTTTGCAAAGAGAGTGATAGAAAGTGGGAGAGCCGTGATACGTATGCCCTGGCTCTCCGATTGATAGCCTCGAGCCTGGTCGGCTATCCCATCCCATCCTTGACTCTTCGAATCCCTGTTGGATCGGTGCCGGCATCTACAATGGATACAAGAGAGTCGCAAATGGCTGCCTCCAGAGTTGCAGTGTCTGTGGGCTATAAGAGAGCGGATGGAACTCGCACGTTTTGGGGTTTGATGCAAGAACCCAACTGCAAGTTGCTGGACCTCATATCTTATACATCATGGCCCCCGGACGATATGCCCTTCGAGCGAACGAGCTTGCTTCCATGTTGAGCGGGAGCACGCTGACGATTCCAAACCTGAAAGTCCCGCTGGCCAACTTTGCGAGGGGACAGAGCAAGTACACAGCCGAGATCCGACGATGGGTGGACAGACTGGTAGAGGAGTTAGTGAACCGTCCTCGTTCTTTGAAGGAAATCATGTATTAACATGTAAGCGCAGGAACATTCAGGATAGAAGAAAATGCATCGGTGTCAAGCGTTGCGACTTTGGCTATCTTGCCGCATGGTAAGAGGTTTCCAGCAGTTTTCTCGGGTTACTTCTACTGACGTCCCATTTCTAGTTGCTTCCCCGATTCAGACTGGGAGCAGCTCAAAGCTGCGGCAGCATTCCTCGTCTGGATCTTTACATGGGACGACATCATCGACCACGGAGAGGACAACAGCGGCATCATCTCCAACGGAGAACGAGCCCGGGTCTTCTGCCAGCAATCGCTCGATTACATTAGGCACAAGCTCGAATTGGACGATTCTCTCGAGGTAGCTGCTGGTCAGCCTGCACCCAGCATGTCCATGTTTGATGAGACCGCTGGACCTTTGATGGAGGCGAATTGGAGTCACAGTTTGTGTTTTCCCATCAATAGAACGATACTTTGGCAATTTCTGACAGCGACTATCACAGCGCAAACGCGACGGTTGTATAACGAGATTGAGCATTATGTGAAATGCTGCCTCATTGAGCATCTGCAGCAGGAGGACGACTCCATTCCCACGCAGGAAGAGTTCACCAACATGCGCTTCGGAACGTCCGGCATCACTCCAGGGATCGCCATTTGCGAGTAAGGGCGATCATCGTGCCATCATGATACGACAGTTGCTGACTTTCCCAACAGATTCACCAGGGACATCTCACTGCCGGACGAGATTGTCGATTCCGCGCCCATGAAGGTCATATGGAGGGAGATTACTCGGCTTTGCATGATGTAAGAGTCAACCGTGGTATCATTTCACGAACTTGGATGCTGACTTTACAAGGATCAACGACATTTACTCATGCCAAAAAGAACTGGTTAGTATCTACAGCGGAATCTCAGTCAACGTGCACATATGAAGACAAAAACTAACTACAATGTGTCTTCAGCGAAGCGGTGTCATTCAAAACATCATCCCCGTCATCGCCTACTCCAGCGGAACAGACGACATGGCGACCGTCACCGACGAATTCATGGACATTTTCCAGACCTCGGTAAACACCTTTGAGGAATCCTTCCAGACCCTCAAGGCGCTCGCGTCGCCCGATCCCCAGCTTTCAGAGGACATCCAAAAGTACGTCCAAAACTGCCAGACCATCACAACGGGGCTGCTGGAATGGATGCTTCGCTCGGAGCGGTACGGGGTTGGCAAGCATCTGCAGGCGGATGGCTCGGCGCTGGTGCCTCTTGTGTATGACAGTGGGAAGTTGGCTGCTGGTAAGGCGTAAGTGAAGGGATCTCCTGGTCTTATGGAGTGTGGTGCTCATTTGGTCTGTATATGGCGTTGTATGGCGTTCTGGGTATACGATATAGAACTTGGTGTTTGTTTACGGTATACGAGTCAATCTTCTTCATTCATTTGTCTGTTTACCAGGCTCTGGAATCATAGACTTCCTCACTTGCGAGATCTTGGGTATTATGAGGATGAATCGTACAACTACCACTGGCTTGAAAGCTCGAAAGAACACATACACAGTGCTATGACCAACAATGCCTTTCATCACCCAAAGCGAAACAACGCATCTTCCGCATCGTATCCCTTGCATAGTCCCAGATACAACACATGTAGTTACACATAGAACATGTAGTTACACATGGCCATCGCGACACCCTCCAAAAACTAAAACCCCGAGACGCCGGATTACGCCTTGCCACTTCCTGACTCAAGCCTCGAATGGATCGGAGCTAGGGAAAATCCCGTGAACCATCCCGTCCATCCATCAGCCAGCCCGGCAGTTGTGAGACATTGGCATCTCGCGAATGCTATTGGTTCCTTGCATGAGATGGGAGATGCCTAAGAGGGGATCGCTCAGCCCTATGGATTTGTTTAGTGTTCAGCTGAGTTGTTTGTGTCAGCTCAGCCTTGGGGTTGCTAAGGCTGCATGTACCCGCGTACTATTTGCCCTCACTCTAGAGTGATGGTTTATTCTGAGCTGATGGATTGTTTGTGACTGGCTATGAGTCTTGGTTTGCATGCTTTGTGAAAGCTGGCTGATTTAAGGTGCCTAGATTGCCCCCATGAGATATGAGTGCTATCACCCTTTTTCTGACTCGATCAGGTGTGTTACCATTCAGCTGGCGAAGTCGTTTTTCTTCAGCTAAGCCGGCTTCATGTGCACCTTAGGTATGGTGAAAGCGAAATATGTCATTACACTGTCGCAGTGGCAGTGCGCTTTTGCGGTATGTATGTCGGAGGAGTTGACCTGGTCGGTCATGCGTCGCCTGTGGAGGAAATTAACAGACAGAGAATACCAGATGCTGAATTGGATGATGTAGGCCCATATACTCGCATCTGGGTTCATATTGCTTTCATATGCTGCTTTCGAAACCTTGGCTTCGCAGCTACTAAGAGGGCGTTCATGATCAAGATAGCCGGTCACACTACTCGAATATGAATGAATAAGACTTCACGGGATATCAGGCCTACTTGAGACTAACAGGAATAGGGAATTCGGATTAGTTCCTTTAACAGACTGCGAGGCAATACACCTTGGATCAAGTTGCAACTTGTTGCTCTAATGTCGCTGGGAAAAGTCCGTCGGACTTGGTACATAGTCTTCTCATTGAGCTTCGAGTTGGGAACAAATACCAGGTCCTCGGGATATGGAACGATTTTCTCCCCCGCGGAGATAAACATACCCATGGAGGAGTCGACAAGGAGCGGCCCGATAGCGATGCAAATGAACCAGTTCGGTCAACGTTCGGCTTCGTGCAAGCAATTTGCAGCTATGTATCTCCGAATATATAAAGAGCCAAGCTTTTCCCCCAAGCCATCAGGGATCCCGAAACAACTTTCACTTGGGACTTTGCGGGCGGGCGTCTTCGTAGCCCAGCCCCCCGGTCGCATCCTAAACAGGCATCTCGAGAAACTCCCCATGCGTTCCACGAGTCAAGAAACCCTGCGCTGACTCTGTTATACCCACTTCCGTTCACGAACTTGACTCGGTTATTTCAAGATGCTGACAATGTCAGCACCGAGACCGCGGTAATGAACGCCGGCGAATTCTTGCCTGCAGGAGGGCTTGCAAACCTCTTGTATGAGATGGTGATTAGTCCCCGAAATGCCGGAATTGGATATTCTGTGGGAGAGGAAGCTACTCTCTAGCGAGAATGTAGTCTCGACATATGTGTGCTATAACAATGAAAATTGGCCGCGTTATAGCAATCACCTCCACTTCAACACCAGTGGTGACCGCTCTTCGTATGCTATCGCAGAACCCGACTCTGGCCATTTGCTTCCCCGGTAGAGCCCAGCAGAAAGTCTCCGACAGAAAGTTGCAATTCGAATAGGCTACCCAATGAAGTAGGCCAGTAGTATCTAACTATCTAGTCAGGGGTAAAATTTGGAACTGCCGCCGCTTGAGCAGCGCATGGCCTGACGGTCACGCAACGCAGACAAGGCACGGAATAGCCTCATTGACCACTACTATACGACTGACTATTACTATACGACTGGCTATGACTATACGATCGGCCTGGCTGGGATAAAGGTACCAAATCTGGCCTGTGTCGGGGGCAAAAGACAAATTATATATGTTCTTGGCCTCGTGGCGACATGGATGCTACTACGTAAATCTGGGGTATAGAGGAGAGATTCTCGAGTGCAGCGACAACGCTCTGCAAATTTGTTCAAACAACAAGAAGACCCTGTTCACACGGTATCAGAATGGGCCGCATAAGAGGCCGCATAAGAAGAGACTGGCTTGGGGATTCAGACATTGGTGCAAATCGACAGTCACATAGGCACGCTTAGGCCATGCAGCTCCTCTGCTCGAGGATCTATATGTGCATATATCCATTGAAGATGTATTAAAGCTCTATAAAGTCTTGATCCAGAAGCCGCCATGTCCCGTATTCGTTGACGCATCAACTGAGGTCACTTTCAATCCAGGCGTGAAGAAGGCAATTTTTCCACCCAAGCGATTTTTTCGTAGCTAGAACCAGCTGCTATCCTGTATCCAAACCCAACACATTCCCTAAACTCAAAGCTCCTTGTAGTAGCAGCAATTGTAGGTCACATTACAATGAGTAAAAAAGCTGTACACATAAAACCGTAGTAGCGAAACGTTGCTTAGTCGAACTGGCTCCAGGCCTGCGCGTTACCTCGCGACTCGGGATTCCGAGCCTCAGTGGTCACCGTGAAGACTTCCGTTTTGACGATGCGGGCGTCTTCGCTATCCCGCGAGGGAGTGTCTCGGTCTTCTCGGTCGATGACGGTGGCGTCCAGCACGCTGTCTCCCTGGAACCTGTTCTTGCTGCCTTGGGTGCGTCGGCCGCTTGCCCAGTGCTTGCTGTTTTGATCGTCAAGCTGGTAGGACGGCGAGAACTTGTTGGGGTCATTCGTGGATGGGTCGTTGCTGCTGCCGAGGAAGCCGAGGCGAGAAATCAGGGGGCGGAGGGCTGGGAGTGAGCCTGCGACGAGACCCATGTTGTACTCGATGGCCATCCAGTACAGAGACGATGCGCCCTCGACTATAGCGAAACCTGATCAGCTGGGGTTTTTGGCAGCTCGATGAAAAAGGGGCTTAACTTACATGTAGTGTCTGTGCTTCCTGTCTTGTAAAAGTTCAAGCTCTTGAATCGAATCGCGGGGGCGATACAAGCGACAACACCACTTCCAAAGACAGCCAACAGGGCAAGACTCTTCCTGCTGTTGAGCTGCACGCTCATCAGAGCCGGGAACGGCAGCACGAACATGATGATGTCGCAGGCAAAGATGAGAACGGCCTGGTACATGAAGATGCCGTACGAGGTCATTGCCGGGAAGCAGTATTTGGCGCGGTCGGGCGACATGAGGAAGTTGATGTCGTATGTGTACTTGGGCGGGTTGCACTGGAAGGCCGCGACGAATGTTCCGGAGATGGTGAAGAGGGTAAAGAAGACGAGGAGGATCATGGTGGTCCATTGGACGTATGCTTTATGAGGGGTTGATGTCAGTTATGCCGCAAGCTTGGTGAGACAGGTTGCACGGTTAAACTTACGGACTGGGAAGACTCGTCGGAGGAAGAGGAGAATACTCGATTTTACTGCAAAGGAGATGGAGAGGTACATGCATATACAGACGTAGTATAGCTGTGGTTCACAAGTCAGTTCATGAGTCGTCTTCCATAGTGATAGCTAGAATGAGCACAGGGCAGCAGCTTACCATGAACCAGTGCTTGAGTTCCTCGGGCGTAACATGCTGAATATGCTTTCCAGCGCCATAGTACACCACTGCCAATCCAATACCGTTGAACGTCGTGACAAAGATCTGTTGCAATGACTCGTTAGAACCTCAGTGACCGCAAAGAGACATGGGAAGCCTTTACCAATCCAATCAAACAGGCCCAGTCGTCGATGCCGAACGAGTTGAGCATAAACTTGCGAATGTAGAGCTTCGTGCTGCAGACCACAATGGCAAAGACGCCCGTGCCAATGATGGTACCGTACGAGACTGCAATCTCGTATTTCTCGTCCGGTAGGAGCGTCATATCTACAGGTGCCGTGGCCGCCATATTGAAAGCGTTCAAGGAGTTCCGAACCGCACTTACAGAATCACTTTTAGAGCAACACAAAAACTCCGAATCTCGTGGGACGGCATTGTTGACTATATAGACGGCCATAGAAACGGCATACCCGCCACCCCAAGACCACTCTGCCGAAACAGGCTGCTAATGCTTGTTCATACGCAAAAGCAAGCATAGACAAGGTGTTACCCCGTAGCACTACTACGTACGGGAGGAGCACTGCTGCGAACGCCACTGGCAACAGCTCCGTGTTCCTTGTCCGGGGACACGGGTTCGCATCCTGGAAAGGTCTATCAATTCCCTATGAAGCCCCATGAGACGAGCAAGCCTCCTCCTCGTACTTTTAACTGGTGCAGCTAAGAAAAGCTTGACACGCCATGCTAATTGGTGCCGAGCAGGAGACAAGGAGAAATATGTCGCCTTAAACCAAGTTGAGAAGTTGTCGACCCGGCGTTGGCCTTCTCTACAGGAGGAATTGGAGAGTTCCCCTTACGCCTTCGTCTCGTTGGTTGGTGTATCTTCATGACCCCCATCCCCGGCATGCATTCCATTTCCCATCCGGCCAGGGGACCCTTGCAACTAATGCCCCTGCTAGAGCGGCCCCAGGCCACACCTATTGACGCATCCGGATTTCCGCGCAATGTGACAGGTAACAAGTTGGCCGGTGCCAGCAAACCCGCAAGTTTTCTGTCCCAGGTACGAAGCCAAAAGACATTTCGATCTGAGATGGCGTTCCAGAACAGGTTCGGGATGGCCAGGAGCTGAGCAGGCAAGTTTAAATTATAGATGTCTGGAGGGGCATGAGCAACAGGCCAGCTGACGGACAGTACGGCAAAGATCCTGGCTTGCTAATTGAATAGTTTGCGCATCTTATCAATGCCGTCGTCTTGATACGAAATTCAGGCTATTAACTTTAATGGGCCAAGTATATGCGCATGTTGGTAGTTAGTCAAGACGCTTTGTTGCGATTGCGAGACTTAAATGTCGCAACCATTCCCGCTTGCTCGAACTTGATCCAATATCATTCCTGTAACTCTTGTATTAAACCATCACCATCCCACGTGGCATCTGAACACTACCTGGTTCACCTCCTGACATACCATGGCAGAACCAACCTCATCACGCTTCAAGGTCATCATTGCCGGCGGCAGTGTTGTCGGCTTGACAACAGCGGTGGCGCTGGAAAAGGCTGGGATCGACTACGTGCTGTTGGAGAAGCGAGAGATCGCTCCTCACCTGGGCGCGTCTGTATCCATCCACCCGCATACGCAACGGGTGTTCGAACAGCTTGGGATCTGGCCTGAGATCAGGGCGAGCGTTGTGCCGCTGGAGACGCGGCAGCACTATGATGAGAATGGCTTCTTGTTTGAGGACTCTGCCATTTTGCAGGAGATTTCCAAGATGTAAGTGTGATAATTGACATGCAGTGTGATTGATGCGCCACCAATTTCTGGGTCTCCTTTCAGCGCTCGTTTCTCTCTCTCTCTCTCCCCTCTCTCTCCTATCAGAGCACGGCAGCCCTGGCCAGTATAAGCGAAGGACGGCAGACAGCTAATCACAACCCGTTCCTGCAGGACACTTGGCCGATGGACCACCTTCATGGAGCGAAGGTTCATGCTCAGCTGCATCTACAACCAGGTCGCAGACAAGTCCAGATGTCGGGCTCAAACCGGCGTGGCTTCGTTTACTGAGACCGAAGACGGCGTTGAGGTAGTCACAGACAAGGGCGAGACCATCCGAGGAGATGTCCTCATTGGCGCCGATGGCATCCACAGCACCATCCGCACTCTGATGGCTGATCACATCGCCTCAACTGATCCTGAGGCAGCCAAGGAGATGCGCAGTGGCTTCGTTAGCAACTATCACTGCATCTTCGCAACCTCCAAGAACGCCAAAGCCACAGCTGATGGCAAGCAGTTCTTGCCTGACGGCGCGGTGCACAATGTCTACTACTCGGGCTTCTCCGGCGTCATCGCTGCAGGTGTCCCGGGCCTTGTCTTTTGGTTCCTTTTTGTCAAGAGTGATCGCACGACACAGACCCCCAATACGCCACGCTTCACGGAGCAGGAGATGGAGGCCACAATCGCCAAGTACGGCGACCATGCTGTTGGCCCGGGCTACACGTTCAAGGACCTCTGGGAGAGCAGAGTCAGGGCCAACATGCTGCCCCTTGAAGAAGGGGTGCTGAAGCCGAAATGGAACTCTGGCGGCCGAGTGGTGTTGATGGGCGACGCGGTTCACAAGGCGACCATCAACCCTGGGCTGGGCGGTAATTTGGCCGTCGAGGGTGTTGTCCACTTGCTGAACGAGCTGGTGCCGCTGGTGCGGCGCTGTGAGGCTGATGGTGGGAGAAGGCCAAGCAAGAGCGAGATTACGGCCGTTTTGGACACTTATGAGACGAAGCAGCGGCCCCATGCAAACACCATCGTCACCATGTCTGGGTACGTCACGCGGTATGAGGCAATGGAGACGTGGTGGTTGAGGCTCTTGCGCAGGGTGTCTCCTTGGGTCAGCGACAAGACCAAGGCGGGCGGCTTTGTTGGGTATATAAACGAAGGCCCGTGGCTCAACTATCTGCCAAACCCGGACGAGGAGCAGTATTTGAACGAGAAGCAGTAGGGCAGGGAAGCATTCATGGGTATCTCACTTGTTTTCTTTTTCGATGGTTATTATAATGTTTGGGAGCGATTATTCTGGTATATAGCTTTGTTCATACTTGCAATTCTTGATACTTCTTCAACCTACTCCAACTTACCTGCTTTGAAGAACTGCGCAACCGTCGGCAGAGCTCTGTCATAGTATTCTCCATACCTAGCATCAGCCCCCAAAAGGCCATGTCACGCCACGAGGCGGCTGAACCCCTGCATGGCATGGCAGTGAAACATTCTTACCTCTTTGAGACGAGCCGTCGAGCCCCGGCCGCGGAACCGTCTTCCTCATGTATGCCGCGGATCGTGGAGGGGCCAAGCCTCACTCGGCCTGGCTCGAGAAAAGAGAAAAGAGGGAACTGGATTCGCCAGTCATGGGGGGGAATATCGGTAGCGAAAGCTTTGGGAAGTGATCTACAGGAGCAAGTCCCGGCCGGGATTCTTTTGCGTGTATAACAAGGTGCTCGCCATGTCGGCAAGCGATATCCGAATAGGCCATAGCTCTCTTTGCTAATACTAGTATAGTACAGGTATTTTAAGAGCGGCCTCTTGTTATGAAGACTACTAGCAGGGGTATCAGCGCCCTATGTAGGTTGGTAGGTGCTCGGTTTATAGAAGAGTCCCGAGACGTTGCGAAAGTCGGCATGTGCTTGGACACGCGAGCCGAAGTGGAATGGTTCCATCAACCAGCTGTGTTCCATATAAACTAGCCCACATCATTAATCTCTACGAACAAACCAATGGCCCAACAACAATGGTTCGGAATTATTCGTCCCTTGCGCTAATCCTTCTGCTGCTTCCTAGGCCGTCCCGTCCCCTCTCCCACATTCCCGGTGCCGGTAGTATTATTAGCTCGCCCGCCTCATAGCCACGGTAGCATCCGGAACCGCTCCTGTGTGACCCGGATACACACGTCTCCACGGTTCTGCAAGCGTTCCAATTCGGTGATTAGCTTTATAAGCAGCGACGCAGGGGAAATCGAGCCCTGCATGCGGTAGCATTCGCTCAATATGATCCCGTCCCGCATCACCACTTGCGATGTGATGGCACCTACATATATAAGATTGCACCCAGAAGCTACCCAATCGCTGGATCTCCTCTAACCGAAGAGCCGAGAATCACCTATGAACAGTCTTCAAAGAAAACACAGCTGAAGATCTGTGGAAATATGCACATTATGCGAAACCCCGCATGAAGCGCCCTCAGGACCATTTACTGCATCGGCCGATGACAGCTAACCCACAGCATCACGCGAGGGTCATCGATGAGTCCCACCATCGTAGACGGTCCAAGCGTGCCCGCAACTCTCCTATTCGTAACAGTTGTTCTTCGGGCAAGTGCTGGGTTACCTTGTTGCTGATTTTCTGATGTACTGGGGTCTTCACATGGCAGAAAGAGGAGCTGGGGATGCTTGCGATGGCGAGTGTCGGCGATACAAGGGCCCTGGCTTGCCCCGAAGACCCATGTTGGCTATCGGGGAACAATAACCCGCTTCACGGACCTTGATCTAGAATGACAGCAGAAGAAGACGATGCCTGTACGATATTCTTGTAAATACTTGGGTATCCCCAACTCAGGAGAAAAGAGGGAATAGCAGTGTCTTTCTAGTTGAGGCCATTCTCAATATCAGGGCGGCAGAGTCCATTGATGCCTCTATGGCTTTGCTTATTTACAACACTCATCAGCAAAAAGCAACTATTAGACATACTAGAGGTTTCATATGCCTGGTGATAATTGCTTTTTACTTCGACATCGACTTGTCATCTTCTCTGTGAAGCTAAAAGCCACGCCGTGAGAGAGCTCAGCGGTTCGTGTTACGGAAAGGCCTCCTTAAACGTCAATCTCGCCTGTTTGGCGATGCCCGTTCTTCAGCCGCGTGCCCCTTTCAAGGACGCGCTTCAAGTCGTTGGTGCTGTTAAGCTTGCACTGCCTCCTGATAGAGATGGAATCTTAACGGGCTGTTAATAAGCTGGATTGGACCCATAAGACAGCTTTTCGCGAGAATGCAGGCACAAGCGAATAGCCGATGCTGACGGCTACGCGGCTCCTCTCACCGCCGGCAACTCTCGAATATGGGGGAAAGATTGATTGGATAAACTACGAGTTGAGAAAGTCATTTGCCCCTTCTTCGTTGATCAAACATTGGTAACTTGGGGGGGAGCATTAGCTCTACTGCTATCCCCTATCATATCACGATCTTTGCCTTCCCTGGGTCTTCCAAGATGTTCCAATCTCCTCATGGCCCTGCCGTATGGTGTTATCGAGAAGAACTTTTGTACTCCTCCCTTGCAGCAGATGAAGATCATCTCGGAGAAGATATCAGAGATGCACTTGGGACTTGGCTTTTTGCTCCATCAAGATGCATCATTTTGACGCATCTAGGAATTTCCTTACTGCAGCAGTTTCAGACGGAGGTCCTATGCTTGACATGATGTTCTCCCGGCTTGACGAATTCACCCTTTGGAAACGGTCACATCATAATACTCGTTTCTATATCTTCTTCCTCTGAAGGAACAGCTCGTATTCTGATTGTCCCAATATTTCCCCTCTACTTGTGGCTTTGACAGCAGATCGAATATAGGCTTCCGCCGGCGACATCCTTCTTTGAAATGAGACCAAAGATCAACTGTGACAGTACCTAATCGAGATAAACAGTTGAGTTAAAAGATGGTAAAAACAAAACATGGCATTGAACAAGCAATTTAACCCAGATAATTAGGAGATACAAGGCATATGGATCAGCGAAGCATGCTGCAGCCGAATGCAACCTAAATCCTTCCCTTCCGCTGTTGTATTGCAGTATGACATTGCTCACTCTAAGCTGCCAGGGAGCCAAGTTGACCTCCTTATCTGACATCAGATTGTTCTTGCTTCATTCCAACTTCTCCTACCACCACTGGACAAGGCTTACTCGCCGTCTATTCGAGTGGCTGCTCAAGAAATGACGGCTTCTGTTGGAGATGAACCTTGTGCTCGGAATTTGCTGTCAAAAACCGTTGTTCATCCTGGCGTCCTTCCAAGCTAAAACAGGAACTCCCCTGGTAGAAACCTCTTTCCAGAGTGTTGCGTGGATGAAGTCCTTCTAAAGCCCTCTTCTGGAAAATTCGCAAGTCCAAAAATTGCAGATGAGAACACCCAGTAGCTGCTGATGCTCTCATGTTCACAGAACCGGGACACATCGCTTCAGCTACAAATCCTTCGGACTCCCCATCAAGGTGTGCACCAGCTTCGTGAACTTTTGACCTTTGTTCAGTCTCCGTGATGGATACAGACAGATATGAATATCTTCGCACTTTGCAATTGCTACTATACTTTGCTCAACGTGAGTGGGCGCTTGAAGTTCTCGCCCTCCCTTGAGCCGCATTTGCCTGCCTGACATGCTTTGGCACTACAGCCTCCGTCTCCTCATACTCCAAGTACAGAGGATGCTCTTATTAATCTATAAGGTTTGGACATTGTTCCACAGGCAAAGAGGGTGGACGATCGAAAGGGATTGAGAACAACGTAGTGATGTAAGGTCACAGAATGTAAGGGCCAGCCTTGTCAACTCAACAGGACTGACTCTCCGGACGCCTGTATTGCTCGGGAATGAACTTGTAATGTCATTGTTGGCCTCATTGTAGGTTAAGGTCCATGATGTTACGCCACTGCATATGCTTAAATCTGAGTTTTTGGTCATATGGCAAATTCAGGAACCAGATTGGTAGAGTTGCATCCGAAAGGCCCGAAAAGCAATGCTTTTGATCCGAAACCATGATGTAGTGCATTAATAGTCTCCGGTTGAGCATAGTAATCGCCGCAGATTTAATAGACACAAGATTGAGTATCGGCAAATCAGCAAGGGAAGCACTCGCTGGTTTATCACGTCTTGATGCAATTGTCAGGCTGTATTGTCATACATTGAATCCAATCCGTCTGTCCATGGTTCGTCAAGCTGCTAATGGCATTTCAGTCAAGCTCAATTCTTTTCCTCTCGTAACAGTCAATGTTTGCTTACGGGAGATTATTTGCAGACGGCAGATTGATCAGTTGCGATAAAGTCGATATCAGCGTTAAACCAGACAATCTTCTTTTCTTTGAATCATCCGGCTTTCTAAACCTTCCATGTTCCTTTCCGCTCTCTCAAGGGAAACCACGCTACGCACATAAACACCGTACCCAAGATCAACCCACCGGCTGAGAACCCGATGCCACCCAGCCAACGAGTGTGTGTGAATTCCCCAAAGATGGCGCCCGCTATCGGCGTCCCGACAAGAATCGCTACTCCGAAAAACACAAAGGCCATTCCCAAGCGAGTGCCGACCCGTGATGCGTCTGGGGTCTGGGTCATGATGACAACTGGTGTCCCGGTAACTGTTGCGCCGGAAGTGATACCGTAGAGAATCGTGAAGACGACGATGCCGCCTAGGTTCTTGAGACCCATCCAGCCAAATGCCAGGATACCAGAGGCAAAGGTGCAAAAAATCATGACGTTGAGCGTTCCGTATTTGTCGCTGAGATACATGGGTAACACCCGTCCAAAGACGCTTCCAGCGTTGAGCAACGTGACCGTGTATGGCGCGAATTCCAGACTCGACAAATGGTTGAGCTCGTCATAGACTTGAATGTAGAAAAATGCAGTGTAGAGGACGAGAAAGGTCAACGTGCTGCCAGTGATGAAGCTCATATAGGACAAGTCCCTCCAAGCCGAATTATCGACCAGAGAGCGGACGCGACCTGACGCCGGCACACGAGGCCGCATTGAAACAGCCGGTATGACACAGAGGCCCAAGATGATGAATGCAATCACCCGAGTTGTCCACCCAAAGCCGATTTTGGGAACCAAGTGGCTGAAGATGATCGGAAAGATGATGCCGCCGACTGGAGAGCCTGTTCCAGCAATCCCTATGGCAAAGGCTCGTCGCTTCTGGAAATACTGCGCCATGATAGCCGTGGCGGGCAGAAACGAGATACCCATCCCAAAGCCAACGCAGACGCCTTGAGCAAGCAAAACCTGCCAGTACGTCGTACACAGAGATGTCATGAACATCCCAAAGCATGTCAGGAGCAGACCGCCATTCAAGATCGATGTGACATATCCGGCATCAAAGAGCGGCCCTGCAACGAATCCTCCGAGAAACAAGAGACAGGCTTGCAGAGAGCCAATCCAAGAAATGGTTGATGCTGACTCCGACGTAAGCATCACCGTCTGATAGTACGTTTGGAACGTTCCAAAGGCATTGACGAGGCCCCACGTCGCTGCGAACACTACCCATCCGCCGAGAACTTGGAGCCAAGCGTTGAGTCCACCATCTGGCGCAGCGGTTGCTGAAGCGGGAGGAGGTGATGTTGAAGGCGCTTCGTGGGGAGACGTCAAATCGGATGGAAACGGTCGCTTCGATTCGACAAAGGCATTGTCCTCCGTGATTGTGTCGGATGCTGTCTCGTTCTCTTTATCCATGTCGCCAGTATGCTAGAAGCGAACGTGTCAGTCCTTGACTTGAAGGTGCTGTGGAATCAAACTCTTTGATATATACCTGAAAGTCCCAGATTCGAGTAGGCAGTCTCCCACGCTACCCCGAAGGTTCGTCAATTGCAGCCATTTATAATCCTCATGTGCAACAGGCTTCGAGACTGCTTCGAAGCAAAGCACATGGTCTTGGAATCATTGAGCACGGAGAGGAGCAGAAAGTGGCACCGCTGCCGTACATGTACTCCTCGGGCATATCAGATTTATAAGCTGACCTAACAATGTAATGAATAACCACCCACATACTCCGAGCAATACAGGCTCTATAAATCTCGCAACAGATCCAGACCGTAAGGGGAAAGGCACTCGATGTCGTATCGTCTTCTCCAGGCGGGGAATGCAACCACCATCTGAAGAAGCAACTCCACCATTACCCGTCGCAGGAAACTTGCCAAAAATCTGTGCAGAGAATCCTCCCTGCCTCGGGGTTATAATATGGAAGCAAAATCTCTTTTTGATACCTGTCTAACTCGGAGGAGCCGCGTTCCATCTCTGGTTAAGTATAAGCTCGAAGCTGCTCAGAGAGGAAGCAAAATCAGCCAAGTATTGTGCCGACATCTCGAACTTCCAGATTTGGGATGATTAGCGACGTTTGCTGTTTATTCCCGGTTGAGGGTGCGGAGAATTGTGGCTATTTCCCGATGGTAAATGTATGATAAGGCGTTGGCTGGGGTTATACATCGCCGCAACACTGTGCGTTGATGGAGCATTTATTACCAAGCTCGAACCCTTGATATATCTTCGCTGAGCAATGTCGCATCATCCAGTCGCACGTGCCAGAGTGTTCTCTGAACCCAACGTGGAAGCAGAATACTGCAAGTTTAAGTTCACTGCCTCCATTACCCAGTTCCTCTCAGTGCAGCTGTGGTGTTTTGTTTTATTGTGAGCAAGTATTGCGGGTGGTGTTCCCACTCCACTACGGATATAGGATAGCACACCTGACCTCGCTACATAGTCTTGAAGAGATATCAAACAGTATGGCTCTGAAAACCCTTTTGACACATCCTTTGTGCTCATCAGATGTAGAAGATATTGCTCCTTGACGTCCCTCAGCAACTGTTAAGAACTCGTAAATACCTAATGGGAAATCTCGAGTTCGCTCAGAAGTATAGGAAACCTCTGCAGATCCCCGACAAGCAGGAGGTCGCTAAAGAAGCCCGACTTAGTTTTAGATTCTTTCACACCAGCATCTGCTGAATTGTGATAGTCTGGGACGAGAGACTGATGAGATAGATTCTCTGTCCCACTCATTAATGCTCTTGTATATAAAGACGCGGTTGAGTCACTTTAGGGTACATATGCTCCAATGAACAAGAAGCTCTTGCTGAGACCCTGGCCAAGGACAGTCTGAGACCTCCTACTTCGTCGTCCCGATGTTGGTTGTAAGTATGCATAGCAGTTCGAGAAAGCATTATCAACGAGATTCAGAAATGCAATCCTTGATTATGTGGTCTTTATTCTGAGATGACGGTTCCATCACCACCATTATACTAGAAATGGAACTCACTATCACCTCTTCTCTTGATATATCTCTTGGACCTGAGGTTTAATTACTTTGAAAAGCTTGTCTTTGTAATTGTATGACATCACTTCTAGAGTTGGAGCCCTCAATACTTATAGAGTAAGTGGGTAGCTGGATACAGATTTGTCTTCCAGCAAGGTTCTACGTTAGCAAAGGGAAATATTCCTGAAAAAAGATTATGCTCCAAGGAATTAAAATTATCTGAAAATTGTATAGGAGAATGTCTTCAAGTAGGGGGAGAGTCGTAAATGTGATGATATGTAGATATTCCTCGATAACGTTAAAAATAAGGTTACTAATTCAAGGGATTGAGAAGATGTGTCAAAGAGCAACAAGCCACTAGGTACATGCCCATCCAGACTTTATATAAGCGCTTGGTAAGATATTGCTGGCATAGCTATAAGCAAGCCACAACCATACTTCGCCACGGCGGATTTAGCATCTTAAATCCTTATGCAAAGCCCTACGGAGCTCAACACCAACAGCTGGCATTTCCCATTCCGGTATCTTCTCGATCTTGGCCCACTCACAAGGTTGGTTCGGCAGTAGCTTCACCAATGACATATCGCAGGTTGCGTAGTAACAAAACCCCTAAGAGAATACGATGACGGGTGTGAGGCGATTGTGCCATTTACCGCGCGGCATGACTCAGCATCACCATGTCATTCATAAGTGTCAATAAAAGAACCGCAATCATGTTCATATGCAGCCATATTCCCCTCTTTCTGGATGATGATTTGAAAGATTGAATGGCTTCTATTGCTTGGCAATTGTGTCTATATATCTATCATCGAATCCGTCAGAATGGCAACTGTAGGTCTATTGCTCCACGTAGTACAGTGACTACTGGACATAGCCAGTGTATAGACTAAACTGCTGATATTCATATGATAGGAACAAGCCAATGGCAATATCACTACCAACTGGAAGAGCTTCTCCGACAAATCTGGCAACTTCCAACGCCCTGCTACCGTATTCCGTGACACAATCTCCAAAGAACCCGGAGCCAAGTTTCCGGCCGAGAAGGGTAGATATCACCTCTATGTCAGCTATGCCTGTCCTTGGGTACGTTATCGTTTTCGCCTTCAAACAATAGAAACCAAGCTCACATGGCAAAGGCACACCGGATTTTGATTGCTCGAAAGCTCAAGGGCCTAGAAGACATTATCCCATACACATCAGTGCACTGGCTCCTCAAAGATGGCGGCATGTAGCGACTATGCCCCTTGAACTTGTATACGCAACTAATTGATGTCTAGGATGGCGCTTTGCAACTGCTGAAGACACAGATGCTGGAGGAGAGAATGTGACGCCCGACCCCCTTCACGACTTTACCCATCTACGACAAGTATACTATGAGTCCGACCCCAACTACCAGGCCCGATTCAGCGTGCCAGTACTGTACGACAAGATCCAAAAAGTGATTGTAAACAACGAGAGCAGCGAAATTCTCCGCATGTTTGGCACAGCAGTGAGTTTTTGCCCTCGCCACATTTCCCAGCCATACTCGGTACACAAGCTGACCACTATCAACTCCAGTTTGACGACATCATCGAAGAAAAGTACCGTAATGTCTCGCTATACCCTGAGCAATTCCAGAAACAGATCGAAGAGGTCCATCCATGGCACTACGACAACATCAACAACGGCGTGTACAAGTGCGGCATGGCATCTTCTCAAGAAGCGTATGAGCGCGCCGTGACGGAACTTTTCGAGGCGCTGGACAAATGCGAAGGGCACCTCGCGTCGACCGGCGGGCCATATTGGTTCGGCAAGGACATTACAGAGGTCGATATCAGACTGTAAGCTGCTACTCAACCGATCCATGTGAAGTGTAACTACTAACTTTATGATCCAACGCAGCTATGTCACACTTATTCGCTTCGACGTACGCATTTATCCCCCTGATTCATCCTTCAATCACTGACAAAGTTGTAGGTTGTATACGTCCAGCACTTCAAGTGCAACATTCGAGACATACGCTCAGGCTACCCGCACATCCACAAATGGCTGCGAAACCTCTACTGGAACGTTCCCGCATTCGAGGAGACCACAAACTTCCTCCATATCAAGAATCATTATACCAAGAGCCACACGCCCATCAACCCTCTGTCCATCACCCCTGTAGGACCCCTTCCGCACATTCTGCCTCTGAACGAGGAAGTCCCTGCTGTAAAGGCATACGAGCAGCTTTAAGTATGGCGTCCAGGATCTGCAAGGGAGAAATTGATTCTGTTCTTACAGCCATATATGTAGCTCATAGCAGGATCAAATATGATGCGTACCTTTGATTCAAATTATCCCTTTGCATCCCCAAATCGTGATGCCATATTCACCAGTTGCCGTCATAATCTTCCCATCTTTGGTTACGTGTCTCAGCAGAGCAATTAGACGCAAGCGAGATCAAGCCGACCCGGAGTCACAACTTCAAAAGACATCGTAACCGGCTCCTTACCGGCTCCTGACCCCGCAGACGAGTCGTGTGTCTTTGTGACGAGCTACCAGCTAACTCTCTATATCTCCCAACGTGATGTAGACGGCCTGGCTCTGATAATGTTGACCAAATACTGCGGCTTCCGCGCTGCCACCCTCTTGTTGAGCAGATTCGAAGAACTCCGCAACAAGCACCATGTCAAAGGTTGTGCGGAATGCGCCCTGTTGAGTAGGGGCTTGCTTAAAGGATGGGCTGTGTGGTCCTCCACGTCATGGAATTCCCAATGAAAGATTTGGATCCGGATTAACCGACCACAAATCTACGTGAGTGCTTTTCTTGATCTCTTGAATACAGTGGAGCGTGCCTTACATTATCTTCCTTGCTTCATTGAGCCAGTGCTGTAATCTCATGACGACTTACATATGATCTCAACCAAAAGGAAAATACCCTCCACGAGATCCTTGCAACAGGCGAGGATCTCGTCTGTTGACATGTTGGCTGTCACTTTGTCATGCTGGTCGTATCCCTTCTGAGACTGGCGATATTCTTGTTGGATCACTTTGACTTGTTGGTCCGTCAGGTTAGACGGAACCTCGTACAGGAGAATAGGGATTTGGTTTGTATGCGAATTGCAACGTCCGCCCTTTGACGCAAAAGGCCGCGTATAGCCCTTATGGAGACCATTCGAGGTTCATACTGAAGCAGATTCCATGCCAACATCTACCAGTTTACATGTCCCTAACCCATGCACAACCACTACCTCAATCATCTTCCCCATCCACATCCATCTATACAGCTCCAGCTCATCACAGCACCCAACCTCACCAAAGTCTCCCAGCTTCAAAACCCAGAAAACACCCACAAATTTCTTTCTGTCTCACACGAGTCGACACAGCAAGGCCACGGCAACTCAGCGACACAATTCAGTTCCCTCAGCTTCTCCGGCTGCTCTCCCGGTCTAACCTCGAACGGCTTCCCATGGAGCTAAACTCACCTTATCTCAAACCTAATCTCGTGGGCTGAAAGGTTAAAGCTCACTTCATTCTCGGAGGCAAATCTCTGTACCACTGTCCTTTCCTCGTTCACCCCAAACGCTCATCATTGGCATTCGTCATGCATAATGTCGTTACGCAGAGGAAAATAGGAGCTACAATGTCACGATACAACTCACCAGAGGTCCATCATCGTGTTGACAGTAACTCCCATCACCACATCACCACATTAGACACGAGGAGCCATTTTCGGCTTCACACCATCCTTTAAGCCTCAATAGGTAAGGCAGAGAGCATTACGCACAACTCAAACTCTCGGTTATCCTTTGTAGCCATTCATGAGCATGTCCACCAGCAGGCTTATCCACAATGGACGACGCCTCGCGAACAAGCTTTCCATAGTACCTTCGATTAGCATTCGAGGCTGTTTACCTTGACACTTTAATCCGACGACAAGAAAGGACAAGCCTGGACTCGGGGACATATATAAGGCAAGCTCTGCCCCAGCTCAACTGTCCTGGTAACTTCTCGCAGACATACTCGCATACATACTCGCAGACATATTCGGACTTTCACATATTCTGACTCTTCCATACTTCAAACACTTCCAGACATCGAAGACTTTCATACCTTCGAATACTATCATAATTTCGGACACTTTAAAGCTCAGACAAGCACACATATATAAAGCCCATCCCAGAGACATACCATCAGTCGCCATGTCTCTCCCTCTGCGAACCCGCCCCTGCAACGGTGAGCCCAGTGCTCAGCGAGACCTCACCTCGCACCTCCTCCAACTGCCAGTCGAGCTGGTAGTTGCCATCGCCTCCCAGGTTCCTCGGCACAGCCAGATCCTGGCCTCGCAGTCTTGTCGCGCGCTGCGAAACGTCCTCTGCGACAGTCTGCTCCCCGGGGACGACCGTCTCCCGGAGAACCTCCCGAGGCGGGAACAGGTCGAGTTCCTCCTCCACCTGTCGCGAGGCAGCCCCGGCGAATGGGTCTGCGAGGAATGCATGGAGCTGCACCAGGCCTTCATGCACGACACGCCGGCCAAGCCCATGTCCGAGGCCTACCTCCCGTGCTTCTTCCCAGGATTTTTTGGTCAGGGACAAGACCTCAACATCCACGACATCTATGGCTTCAAGATGAACCATAGACATGTCCAGCTGGCGCTGAAGCACGCCCGCCTCGCCGCCACCGAGTCTCTGGACACGACATACCTCCAGAGACTCCTCCAGCCGCACCACAAGCGGATCCGCTCGCGGTACACCCGCAAGCACCTTGTCGACGCCAAGTATTCGGCGTTTCTCAAGGTTGTCGACGGGAGATTCGTCGTCAAGACGACCTTCGACTTCCGGGAAGGTTACGACAAGGTGCACCGGAAGTACCTTGGAACCGTCGCGCTGTGTGGGCACCAGATCGCACAGGCCTGCGACGCCCAGGTCGCGCCAGGGCCCTCGTCGTCCGGCTCCAGCGACGACTCGCATCCGCTGTGGGCGCTCAAGACCGCGGTCAGCGCCGCTTACCAGTCGCCGGGCGAGGAAGTCTCCGGCCGGTGCGAGTTCTGCGGCACCGACTTTGCCGTCAAGGCATCTCCAGAGCGCGTCACTATGACCGCCTGGAAGGACTTTGGCCCAGAGGGAACGTCATACGATCCCTACTGGCGCTCGCATGCGAGCAGGGTGTTCAGCACGAGGACCGCCTGCCGCATGGCCGGGAGCATCCGGGAGCTGTACGGCGAGGGCACAGCTTAAGTCCTGCGAGCATTGGCTGTCGGTTTTGGTGCCTGGTTCCTGGTTTTGGGCGGATAGACTGTCTCCATATGGCGTCGGTCGGCGGTTGGCGTTGGAATAGGACGGAGGAGCATCTCGGGCTTGGGCATGGGGTGGAGCACGGAGCGGGTTTAGCTAGTTCCGAATTCAGCGGATTTTATATCTTGAATCAGAATTTTTTTTGCTTCCACTGCCTTTTCCTTGTCTTCACATCTTTGCAGATTTTCTGTCTTGTCTACTTTTTGCAGGTTTGTTGACAATCTTTGGTGCGCAAACACCTGGTCATTGAGTAGCAGTACTGCCAGCAGCTTACCTTCATCAATGAGAAACTTATGATTCTCTCCGTCCCGACTGACCGATCTCGTGCCTCGTGCAACCCGTGATGTCTTGCCATGGCACATTCGAAGCTTTAGCGATCTTTTCTCTCCGTGGTCGCCAGAGTCAATATGATGCCTATAGAAACCCTCGCAAGAGGTCATCTCTGTCGTGTTACAAAGTCTCAGCGTTTGCAATGAAGAACTTTGCGTCAAAATTCAACGAGATACATTCCTTCCCGAATTTCACTGGGGATTCTTCACTTTTCTTCTCCTTCTTCAACGCCCTGGCAATCCACACGTGGAGAATAGGGCTACGTATTCTATTACCCAACTACCTAAGCGCAGTCTATGAAGTCTTCTTCTCCTCCGTAGTACTCGTATCCTTGCTCTTCTCAGCTCCCGGAGCCGGGATAGGCGCTTCCGGCTGCTTCGCGCCCAGAACCAGCTTGAAAACACCGGTCAAGAGGTCGCTCAGCAGCGTGACGATGCCGGTGCACGCGAGCTGCCACGATGCGATGCTAACGCTTCCCAACGGCGCACGCGGGAACGAGATGATCCATTCCGCGTAGTAGGGAAACCAGCCATACGGCAGCCAGAACATGGGCTCCGTAGCGTACCAGAATGGAATGATGTACTGCGGCGCCCGGGTGATGAGGAGGCGCAAACCCGTCAGGGTGTTGTCGAACCGGGAGCGGGCCGACTCGAGGCTCTTTTCTGCACGCACACAAACGCACGGGACGCGGGTCAGCGGCGGCTACTACAATCGTGGATGCCAGGGCAGGGCAGATGGATGTAGGGGCGGATGTAAATGTCTCGGGGGAGGGGGTAGGGCAAAAGGATGTAACGTACTCGTTGTCTCAAGCTGCTCGAGGAGCTTGTCGTGCTTGCGCCTCAGCTTTGCCCACTTTGCAAACTCGTCCTGGCTGCTTGTGGCGTTCATCTCCCGTCGCACGGCGAGGTATTCGGCTTGGAGCTTGCGCTGTTCGGCGGCGGCCTTGGAGGTCGGCACGGGGAGGAAGTTGATGAGGGTCCAGAGCTGCACGGAAGCTGTTAGTAGCTGATGACCCAAAACAGCATGGGAGCTGAGAGATGAGGCTGGCGTACCACGTCGTTGATCTTTGCTGCACCGACCGCGTTGATGAAGCTCACGGTGGCCTCGACGAGGAACACGATGAGCATGAGGGACGGCATTTCGGCGGCGGGGGAACAGCTGCGCAGGAATCAAGGTGATGGTGTTGCTATTCTCAAGCTTTCCGGAATCTTTCTTCCTCTTCCTCTCTCTCTCGCCGCGGAAAAAAGGGGAAGCTTGGTCGGAGGCAAAGGTCCAAACGATTCGACAGGTGACCGTCTTGCCAGTCAGCTTGTCTGGCCAGCTGGACAAGACGACGTATGTCATAACCCCGGAACATTGCATGTGGGCTGTCGCCCAGCGCGTCGTTGCCAGCTCAGCCCGCTCCACCATGCACTTACCCTGCACTAACCATCAAAGCGATCAAAAACCCGCGAGAATTCAACTACAGCTGGGGCTGGAAACAGAAACCCAAATGTCTAGAGCGCTGGACGATGATGTCAAGAGGGCAATCAAGCACGGCGACCATGAGCAGGTGTTCCACAGGATTGCGGGTGCGCTGACGCAGCGGCTGCCGGACCTGCTGGAGATTGAACTGCTGGGACGAAGCCACATGGTGGATGAGCACACGATACTGCTGCAGGATGGACCGGCGATAGCGGTGCCGAAGCTGCGGTTGGTGCAGGCTTTTCTCCATGCCCGCGGACTGCTTCAGAAACACGTGGGAGGAATGCTGGATGAAACCAGTGAAGACGGGCTTGTTACGAGAGCGACGGCCGTCATTCTACTCATGGACCCGGAGCACCTCACCGCGGCCAACACGAGGAAGAGGCTGCTCCAGGATGTCATCAAACCGGGTGCCGACGTTGGCTCAAAGCTACAAGACGAGCTGTATTTCATAGACAGCCTCCTTACAAGTCGTCTGCATCGCCATACGAAGTCGCCCACCCTGTGGAGCCACCGCCAATGGCTCATGCAACGATACCAGCATCACAACCTCGACATCGATCCCACAGACACCATGAAAAGAGTCATCTGCATCGCCGCCGAGCGCCACCCACGCAACTACTACGCATGGCTTCACGCGCGCTACCTCACCCAAGCCGTCGCCGAAACCACACCCTCTTCCCAAGCGCAACAGCACCTCGCAGGGATCCTCGACGCCGCGCAGAAATGGGCCCTCGCGCACCACGACGACGTCTCCGGCTGGGCGTTCCTCATGTTCCTCCTGGACCGGCACCCGGAGTACGCCGGGCCGGTGGTGGGCGAGGCGACGAGCCGGGCGACGTCGTTTCACTGGCGGAATGAGTCTGTGTGGTACTTTTTCAGAAACATTGTCGCGAGGCCGTGGTGCGGCAGGGATGCAAGGGAGAGGGTTGAGGCTGCGAGGCTGGCGCTGCTGAAGGGCGTGGAGGCGAGGTCGGAGGGGGACAGGGTGTTGCGGCAGGCTTCGAGCTGGATTGAGGAGTATTCTACGTGAGATGGGCGTGATGGAAGAGTGTATTTTTGGGCGCGATGGGGGAGATTCGAGATGAAGAGCTCGCCTGTTTGGCTACCTCCCCAGAGTCAGAACTCTAATACCGTCTTGGCCATGCACGAAAATCTCGGACCATATTGTTCAGGGGAGGGCGAATGGCGTGGCTGAGAGCAAGGCAAGGCCACAGTCAGAGCTGTACCTATGCAATGAATGCCGGGGAGTTCACATACTCAATCACCGGTGATCACATGATATATCCGCAGCTATTGTTGGCGGTCCATGGTCCCCTCGAGCCAGCTGCACTCGTGGGCATGACATTTTGGGTCAGGTATGTCGCAAGATTGAGAGCAGCGTCGGCCGCATTCCCGAGCTCCCGGAGGACTTGTGTGCATCGGACTTGAAAGCCGTAAAGTGCCGAAGATGGGTGATGGCTTGGACAGTTGACTTGGAAATGTGAGACCTTGGTGAATTTGTTTACGTAAAGAGTGTATAAAAATTGACGAGTATGATCTGGATGGGATATGTGAAGGAGGTGGTGGTGGTATTAGTCTATGGATTGAACCACTGACGTAGGATGGACTGCGCGTGCGTGCGGTGCCGTGAAGGGGGACGGGATTGCATGAAGCTGCCGAGAGGTAAGCGAGATGCACCGCAGGCTTTGAGATGCAGATTAAGTTGCTGCTGCTATTTTTACAAGCCAACGGAGATGAGCAAGCATGGAGACGAGGTCGACGGTAAACGAGATTAGACGCGTCTTGCAAAGAGATACATAGTACATACGGTATTACCAACAACACAACCTTGATTGTCGGACAGACCTGGCATCAATTGATCCTAGTGAGATAGACCCTACTGCCAGGACGGACTACCGGCAAAAACCTGGTAGTCGCGGCATTGAAGTGATATGAAGGTGGTCGTCGTCTGCGGGAACTGAAGCATCCTAAACTCCGTAGCGTGCGGACGCGGCTCTGGTGTGTGGTGATCGGCCCTTTGGAGATGAATCTTGGCCTCTTGGCTCCGAGATCTGCATTGGCTTGCCCCTACGAAGAAGTTACGGAAGCAACGCGGGCCTGTTAGCATGAAGCTGTAACTCGAAGCCGGTGGTATCAACAAGACTCGTCATATCGCTGCATGGAAAGCGATTCAACTCCCTAGACGAGCAAAACGTGCAGCCAACGCTCGAATCATCAAGTTGACGTGTACTGCCACGATTGGTAAGCCTCGCCAAAATGTCTGTCTGTCTTGGATGATCGGGCCATCGGGAACGCGAGATTCGATTCACCTCCTTGCCTCTGCTGCCTCATACTTGTGTGCACTTCCAGCTGCCACATGCATGCGCTGGAACACGCATCGAAGTCAAATCGATGACAGGATTTCCGCGCACCGGGAACGCGCAGAGCAGCGCTTTGGGGGCCAGAGTGCATGTGGCTTGGACCTGACCAGGATCGAAGGCCTGGCGCTCGTCTATTAGCGGCTGCCGGCGTGGTCTCTAGCGGCCCGCTCGGCTATGATTCAATTTGATCGTCGTGACTCGTGGTGGTTGCTGGTGATGGGCGACGTTTGGCGCTGGACGAGGCTGGCGGAAGGCGAGCGGCAGAGGCGGTTGACTTTGGAAGGGGTCAGGATTGAAACGAAACGAGACATTATGGATCATCTGATTCATGCTGCGTGCAGTGTCTGATTTCGCCTCGATGCCTGCGCATAGAGCTAAGGACATGTGCGTGCAGCAATTGGTGAAGTTGCCGTTCTTCAGCTGCATGTTGGTCCTGCTCGATGACAGCAGAAACCGCTGCGGCAGACCAACGGACCAATCGACGATGCTGGAGATGATGATGGCTGCTTCCATTGAAGACAGGCTGTCATGTGTCGCGCGGCCAAAGAAGCCTTCGAAGACAGCATCGCCGCGCTCGACGTCACTGCAGAGCCAAGCTTCTCGATTGAAGCTGCAGCAACGTTGCCGCCAGCCGCCTTCTGGCAAGTTTTTGGCTGCCATTGAGCTGCATCTTGGTTCTGTGCTTGATCCCTGTCGGTGTCTGTCTCGGACGGCGAATTTCTGCGTCTGCTCGCTTCTTTTCTGTTCCTTTCTCTTTTGGTGCTTGTTTTGTTTTGCTTTGGTGTTCTAGCGATGCAGACTTGGCCCCAAGCGGTTGGTTGGCATGCGGATGAGTATGAGCGAGGTCGAGGGTCTTGCTTTAGTGCTTGCTGCGCGTCTGCCGTGCAGCAGTAACCGAGAGCCAATCTGGTCAACGATGGAGCAAGAGATTGATTGATGTGCGTGCAATCAATCTGGTGCGTTGATACGGGCAACAGTATGGGGTACAGCGTGCATGAGCCTACCTTAGTCCGTAGTACCGCTCCACGACGCCGGCCTGGGATCAACGGTTCCCTGATTCAGTTGTAGCTGGACCGGGCCTGAATATCACTCAGGTCCTGCCGTACCGGTACACGGTCTGCTGAGAAGAGGAGGCTGTTGGTGACCTCGCATGGGACGTGAAGCATGACCCTCCCGTGGATGCAACCTCGACAGACTCGCATCATGATGCTGTAACGAAGCAGCCAAGATGGAGGATGGCTGACATGCTGGAACGAGGAGAAGCCGGACAACAGCGTCAATTGTCCAATAGCCAACGATGGTGACTGCGGCCGATTCGAGACAGGGCTTGGAGGAGCAGAGCAGCTGATGGTCGTATCGAAGCCATCATCGGATGAAAAGAAGCAAAATCGAAGGAGAATCAAGGCAGAAGCAACCACAGAGCGTTGAAACAGGAAGAACCAACGTGCATCTGATCTCAAGTACCGGTACCCGTGCAACCCCCCTGCTGGCGCCTCTTCCCCGCGCTACCGGGCCCCCAGGGCCCTTCCAAGGCACGCTGTACGGGCTCGTCCGCTCAGTTAGCGCAAGTACTTGTACCCGGCCAAGCCCCCCCGAGGTTTCATTAATTTTGGACATCTCGCTTGCATCCCTCGCGCTCCGGGCCTCCTTTCAAAGAAAGACCTCAGCCTCTCCACAAAACACTGCGAAGCCAAAGTACCTCTATTATTGCTGCTCTGCCTTAGCTTGAATACCAAATACCTACTCAGGGCAGGCACGTTGCTAGCGTCCGTGGCCGTCCGCACCTGCTGCGTTGCGCCTCGCCTCGCCTCGCCTCGATAAGGGCCTCGTCCAAATTTCCACTATCGCTGCTATCGCTCATATCTCGCTCGCATCGCCGCCCCTCTGCGCTTCGATTCTCTCTCCTCTTCTTCCCTCCTCCGCCGCATCGCCAAATACCTCCTCTCTCTTCCTCTTTTCTTTACCTTCCTCCTCTCCCTCCTCCCCTCCCCTCCTCCCCCTTCCCTTTTACTATATACTACTCGCTGTTTTTCTTAATTTTTAATTGCATTTCCTGTCGTCGTCCTCTTGCTTGCTTTGCATCGCTTTAGCCGGCCTGCATTCGATCATCAGCGTCCATTCATTAATATTAGCGCGTCTCGTTGTCTTTTTGCTTGTTTGGGCATTTGCATAAGCTCTCGGCTTCCTAATTCGATTTCCCTCGTCATATCTCATTGCGATACCGACCCGACAGTCCGACTCGAATTGCTTCTCCGCATCTTCTCTCTCATTGCTTGAAATCCGGTTCCTCCTCAGTCGAATATCGTTCTGCATCTGCTTGGATCGCCGTCGCCACTCTCGCCCGATTTCGATCTCGTCTTTGCTCTCCTCCTAATAGTCTGGCAATTGTTATATGCGTAATCTCTAATCACCTAATAATCTGACATCTGGGTGCATTCGGCTGCGGCAATCTTCCGGCTTATACTTGCTTTTGCTGCCGTCTTTATCCAACATGCGCTCCAATTCCGTCTTGCTGGCACCGCTGGCTTTGTATGCCTCGGGGGCCCTTGCTTTCTATCCGTATACACCGGCGTGGCTGAAGGAAATTGAGGAGCACAATGCTGGAGAGGCAAAGAGGAGTGCGGACAATGGTCTTACGTTTGACATCAAGCGCAGACCATCGAGACGAGTGAGTCCGGGCCCATGACTTACACACTCATGGTCTATACCTTATATGCTGACCTTGATTCCAGGCTCCGGCATCACAAGAACAAAAGGCTGCCTGGCAAGCAGCCCTGCTGGCACACAAATACAGCGACCAAGCCCCCCCGAGCTCCAGCCCTGACACTACTCTTGCAAAGAGAGATAACCAATTCTCTATCCTGAAGGCCGCTGACCCCGATACGCCCAACACCGCTGGCCTCGCCCAGGATGGCACCGACTACTCCTACTTTGTACAGGCGTCTCTTGGCTCTAAGAAGACCCAGCTTTGGATGTTGCTCGACACGGGAGCCGGCTCGAGCTGGGTCATGGGCTCCGACTGCGTGTCTGAGGCTTGCTCCTTGCACGACTCCTTTGGACCCAAGGATTCGGACACTCTGAAGACCAGCACAAAGGAGTTTTCCATTGCATACGGATCTGGCGCCGTCAGCGGCAACCTGGTCAATGATACCATCGAGGTGGCGGGCATGAGCCTGACATATCAGTTTGGGCTGGCTCACAACACCTCTTCGGACTTTGTGCACTTTGCCTTTGACGGCATCCTCGGCATGTCGATGAACAGCGGTGCCAACGAGAACTTTTTGTCGGCGCTGGAAGGCGCCGGCAAGCTCGACAAGAGCATCTTTTCCGTCGCCCTGGCTCGAGCATCTGACGGCCAAAACGACGGCGAGGTCACGTTTGGCGCCACGAACCCTTCGCGATACACGGGCGACATCACCTACACCCCCATTCCCTCTGGCACCGACTGGTCCATCCCCCTGGATGACATGTCGTACAACGGGAAGAAGGGAAGCGCGGGCGGCATCAATGCTTACATCGACACCGGCACCTCGTACATGTTTGGCCCCTCCAAGAACGTCAAGGCCCTGCACGCCGTCATTGACGGGGCGCAGAGCTCGGACGGCGTCACCTGGACGGTTCCCTGCGATACCACGACGCCCTTGGTCGTCACCTTTTCCGGCGTTGACTTTCCCATTTCGCCCAAGGACTGGGTCTCCCCCAAGGATAGCAGCGGAAAGTGCACGAGCAACGTCTACGGCTACGAGGTCGTTGAGGGATCTTGGCTCTTTGGCGATACGTTCCTGAAGAATGTGTACGCCGTCTTTGATAAAGACCAGATGCGAATCGGTAAGCACCTCATCTTTTGTAGAAATCCCGCTCCACCTACGTGTTACTAACTCGATCCAGGATTTGCCAAGCGTTCTTCCTCCGACGTGGGCAGCCAGAGTTTCGTTACGGCCACAAACACGGGCACTACTGCTGCCTCTGCTACTCCAGCGAGCACCGGCACCGCTACCCTCGGAGTCCCGTCATCAGCAAAGCCCACCATGGGCCTTGATGGCCAAGAGACTTCAGGCGCCGCACAGCCCACCCAGACCACTGGCTCTTCGGGAGCTGTTTCGCTTCGAAGTGGCAGCGCGGCTCTTGCTCTGTGTATATTGCCGTTTCTTGTACTAATGGTATGAAATACTGCCATGCTGGATGCTTCGCTCGTTACTTTTCATATTTGCGCAATCCCGAGATAGTCCCTGGTTACGGGAAACCATTGGCCACCATAGCGCCACTGTGCAGCGTTTGCACCATATAAATGAGAGATTCGAAGCCGTTTGGGCACATTCGAACCATCGCGTCACTCCTTCGAGCTCTTTTTTTCTGGAAGAGACATTCGTATGACATTCCTTTGAAGCAGGATGTGAAATTCCTTTGCTTATCAAGCTCGACAAGGCTTGACCCTCTTACACTCTAAGCGTATGCGCCGACGACTGCTGCCATGCCACCGTATTCACGGCATGACCGGATCGATACGAAGTTTCGAAAAAAAAAAAAAAAAACAGTCATTACCGCCTTGAATGGCACCTAACGCGGATTAGCTTCTTGGCAGAGGCTCACTGTTGATTTTTGATGCTTGTCTGTTCGGGCATTTTGATGGGTTCGTGTCAAGCATGGCATTGTCAGGCAATGGAACGTCGAGTTGGATGGGTTATTGCATCTGGTGTGGCTCTGCATTGTTCTAAGCTTGGTCATTGACCTCATGAAGCTTCGGTTAGACTAGAGAAGTCGTCGTACATATAACATGATGGTCAAAGACTCAACCTAGAATCAAGATCGACATTCAGGTGGCTATGTGATGCACAGTAAGCCGTTATGTCGAATGGGCGAGACGTCGAAGACCTGCGCGAGGACGAACGGCCTATGAGGGTGCTTGGCGCAATTACCTGGCCAATCGAATCTGCCTCACAATTATCTCTCGCTGCGTCGGGTTGGGACGCTTTGACGGCGGACTGATTGTGGTGATGCTGCCTTGGACGAGGCTAAAAAAGGCGGACGACGAAACAGTCAACTTGGGTACACAGTTACTTGAATGAAGACGCTGTGCTCTAGAGAAGAACCATGGCAGGCGTTGGCTCTCTTTGTTATGTATTGTGATGTGTTCTTGATATCTTGAATGTTTCTTTAAGCCCTGTAATTGATTTGTGAAATTGTCGTTTAACATTAACTAACCTACCTGCTAGTAATGACACCTGGAACTTTGCAGAATGGCCACAGCTCGGCTGCTTTATATCGCGGCCGGGGCTTACCTACTACCTAGTAGTAAGTGTTGTTAACGGCGTAACTGATGGCACAATCGGCCATCGGAAAGACGAGATGGAAAGCTCTCTTGCTGGAAGTCGTAGCTGTACAATAGGGTGGAAATTGGAGCTGCCGGGAGCTTCGAGCTTCAGGGTTGACACAATGTCAGCTACATGACTCGCAGAAGCTAAGGTCACCTCTCAAGCTGCACACTTCACTTTCTCCAGACTTCTATAACATACGATCCATCCCAACCCTCACTTTCGAACATCTTCTCCCAACGCAACGAATGACCCGTTAGAGAAGATTCACGATTCAGATTTACCTACCCCAGTTATGTACTCCCCAGTCTCTCCCGCGATACTGCACAAAGTACCCCAGCCCTCACAACTACCCCTCTAGCCTCACGCCATCCCACCCCCGCCGACGTACCTCCCCCCAGCAACTGTACATCCCGCCCTACCATATCAGCGACAAAAAGCATCCTGTCCCACCCCACCAATGAGTGACGAAACGATGCGTTCAGCTCCGTCCTGCCGGACCACTGATAGAAGCTCGGCAATCCGAACGCGAGCTCCATCTTTTGGGCCGACCGAAGGAGCTGCAGCTTTTTGACATCATTTCCGCTTTCTTCCCCCGGAAACCGTCACTTCTAGACAACCTCGTCTGCACTTCTATCACAAGTAGTACAGGTAGCAACCCAATTGGTAAGCGCGCGCCTTTCGGCATTCTGCAATTCACCTTTCCTCAAGATTCCACCACCATAAAAGAAACACCCATCTTCAAAACCCCTCTTCCTCCCTCCTCCCCTCTATTTCCACTTCCCATCACTCTATAGCCCCCCCCGGTTGAGCTCTTTCACCCCGCCGCAGCCGATTTCGCGCGCAGTCAACAAAAGACATTCCGGACAACTTGCTTACCTTACCTTTACACCTGCGAATAGCTTCCCAACACCAAACCAGCGACAAACAAAAACGAGCAAATAGAAATTAAATCGCCCAGCATGGCCTCCTCCCTCCTCCGCACGACTCCCGTCCTGCGCGCCGGCCTCCGCGCCCGCGCCGCGAAGCCTCTCGCCGCAATGGCCTCGACGAGCTTCGTCCGCGGCAAAGCAACCCTCCCCGACCTTCCGTGTAAGCTACAACCAATTCGATACCCTCAGATCCCCATATAGACAAACTCGTTAACAAGCCTCGAAACCAAAAACACAGACGACTACGGCGCCCTCGAGCCCTACATCTCGGGCAAGATCATGGAGCTCCACCACGCAAAGCACCACCAGACCTACGTCAACGGCTTCAACGCCGCCGCCGAGGCCCTCGCCGAGGCCCAGGCAAAGGGCGATGCCAAGGCCGCCGCCGCCCAGGCCCCGCTGCTCAACTTCCACGGCGGCGGCCACGTCAACCACTCCCTCTTCTGGGAGAACCTCGCCCCCAACGGCAAGGGCGGTGGTGGTGAGCCCGAGGGCCAGCTCCTGGTATGTCAATCCTCTTACAATTCTCGCGGTCCTCTCCCCTCCCCCTTTCAGCCTTGTAATCGTGAAATCACTGTGACTGACCAGCTTCCGTGCGCTGTTACAGACCGCCATCAAGCAAGACTTCGGCTCCTTCGAAAACCTCAAGAAGCAGACCAACGCCGCCCTCGCCGGCATCCAGGGCTCCGGCTGGGCCTGGCTCGTCAAGGACAAGGCCTCGGGCAACCTCACCATCGTCACCCGCGCCAACCAGGACCCCGTCACAGGCAACTACGAGCCCCTCCTCGGCATCGACGCCTGGGAGCACGCCTACTACCTCCAGTACCAGAACTGCAAGGCCGAGTACTTCAGCGCCATCTGGGACGTCATCAACTGGGGCACCGTCGCCAAGCGCTTCGGACAATAGACGATGTGTGCAAGAGAATAATGTGTAAAGGTATCCAACGTTTGTAGCATTTCTTCCTGTTGCCTGCCTCCATATGTATCCATAAGTAGCACATAGGATAAAATGGCTAAACCGTTCCAACAAGCATACAGCTCGCCGTCTTTGCTTGTGCTGGCAGTGAGTATCGACAATGCAACATGCCTTTATTGACGAACTACCAGATTCACAGTCCATTGCTGATATATTCGGGCAGCTACTCTTAGTCACAATAGTGCGAGGCAACTAATGTCCTATGTGTAGGTAACGGATACAACAGAGCCAGTACCAACTGGATAGTCTTATTTCCTCCGCCAAGTTCAATTTCGTCCCTGTCAAACGAGCGGCAACCATGCTTTGACTTCACACATGCGTCCGGTGAATCATCACCAATCGCATGCATGACTTGGGCAAGAATATACACGCATGTCCCAAAAATGCAGGCGCGAAGAGAGCCATGGCTGAATCCATGTCTCCTCTCCACGCCCCCTACTGTCGCTGGCACCTGGCAATGCCCTGGTAGGCCACAAGCTCGTTTGGATAAGCGTCCAGGAAGATCTCGTTGGCATAGTCGTACCAGTCTTGGTTTTCAGGAGAAGTGCGGGCTTCGAAAAACTTGGCGTACTCCCACCACTCCGGATACCAGCCTCCGTTATCCCAGCCAAGAATGCACACAATCTTGCTATTGTGGACGACTATGTTGCCCGGGCTCAGCTCGCCGTGCGTGAAGCGGATGCGATAGTCGGTTCGGAACTGACACGTCAGGGCGTGAGCAACTGGTGTCGGGACAGATGGGACGAACGACGTTGCCAAGAAAGCAACGTATTCGTGGCAAGTTGGCCTCGTTCGAACTGCCCAATACGTATTCTGCACATGCTGATCCAGCATCAGAGAATAGGGGCCGGAAAAGGCAGACCCCAGCACGTTCGTCCTGGCCACGGTAGTGGGAGGATTGCGTACTGAAGTCATGCCACTCCGCATGTTATTGACGATGCGTCGCAGTTGACGCGCGTAGGCATACTTTGCTTCGGGCGTGAGGTCAAACCAAACTGCTTCCAGGAGCTCTCCTTGTATAACCCGCTCTAGACTCCCCTCTGCCTGGCTGGGAGCCGGCAGCTGCAGGACGGGGATGTCAAGGCGGTCTTGGATGGCGTTTCCCAGAAGCAGGCCGACATTGGTAGTGGAGCGATACTGGGTCGAAATGATCTGGCTGCCGTCGCCACGCCTTGACTTGAGAGTCAACAGGAGGGAGCGTGGCGCAAGGAGACTTTCCAGGTAGATTGTGTGAGGATTCGGAGGCGGCTCTTCCTGAGAGATCAGCATCATTTTTGGGTACAATGGTCATGGCATATTGACAACGGACTCACGAGGTGGTAGAACAGGAGGAACCGAACACCATTGCCGCGTTGATCGCGGCTCCGGCTCGTCCAGATGACTACGACGTCGCTTGACCCCGGCAATCACCAGGGGCAGACTTTGAGACGCTGTTCTGGGGACTTGCGCAAGCGACCGAGCTTCCCCATCCCGCGATGGAGAGCGCTCTCGCTTGACGCCAGTGAGCTGCCGAGTGGTAGCCACGCCGAGACCGACAGCGTTGCTACCCGTGATTCGTGGCCCAATTGTAATGACGGGGGACAGGGACTTCTCCGGAGAGCGTGACTGCAGCAACCGCATGGCACGCTCTGGGTTCAGGCCCTCCATTTTATTCAGAGGGTTATCTCGAGGGCGGTCGAATACCGGAGAGAGCCGGAGACTGTCAGCGCCCGCGTCCGCCATGTCTTCTGCTTGAGGACTGTATGCGTTAGAGCTCGGATGGCGTCGAAGAGTTGATAATGATACATTCCGATGGCGGCCTACCTGCGACTGACCCAAAGCGGCTGTGGGTGATGAAATGACTGAGGTTTTGTGAGGATCCAAAGAGAGCTCAACCTGACAACCCAGGCGAAGAACCAAGGAACTGGGTCGGACACCGAAGATGGACTGTTGTGCCTCTTCTGGTGAGGAGCGCCAATTTGCGATTCTCGAGACGTAAGACGTGGGTGTTGGCAACCTGGGGAGCAGACGAAGATGTTGAACAAGGAAAAGAAGACAGAGAAGAGGGACATTCTGGAGATCATGCTTCTTTATGCCTTTGTTTGGGCTTCACGTGGCTGGGCAACGGTGTCGAGGAAAGAGCAGCTCATGGGCAGCTGGCGGGCAGTTGCCGGTTGAGTCCAGGGTTCAAGGCGGGAAGAAGCAGATGTACATGCATTTCGGTGTTTTATCGGTGTGATCGGATGTACCCTTCATTCAACTCACTTTCTAAAGACGACAATATCAAGGTAAAGAGTGAGAAAAAAGTGAAAGATGAAGGAGATGCCACTGACGATGCCTTGGGCACTTGTTTCTCTGCGGCGGACGGCATGATGAGACGGTGGCCTGCAGCAACAAGACATCATGAAGCTGGGATATAACTATTATCGAAGAAATAGAGGCAAGTCTTCATCTGACTGGATACCTATTTAGAGGCTTGAAAATAGAAGTGTTGCTGTATTGGTGAAGCAATACCTAGTACGTGTTACGCGCTCTTGATACCAATACGTATTGCGGACAGAGTCAATCCATCCCATCCGATGCAGTGAAATACCTAAGCTTAGTCAGGCGTCTGTAGATGCAGTGACAGCAAGCGACCGTTGAGTGTGTGGAACAACACCATGCATCAATGCTACTGCATCTGCTTTCAGCCGCTTCCAAGCATCAACAGAGCAGAGAAGCTTGGAAAATTACAAACGGCGCAGTAACAGCTTGATCACAGGATGGATCGATGCCTGCCTGCTCGACATCTGCAACAGATCACAATAGATGCAAGTCTCCATCCTGATTCGCTGCTGATAACGTCCCTTGCGATAGATGCGAGCAAGGATCATCACCGAGCCAATCGTGGGGAGCCGTCGTCATCCGAGCCGCTTGCTCGGAATAAGCTTGGTGGCCGGGGGCAGAACGCGTAATGGCAGGCAGTCATCTGTCCTGGCCTGAGCATCCTCGAGACTCAAGACTCGAGATGTTCTGCACACAATGGCTGTGATTGCGGTCAAGCTCGTCGTTTTGCTGGCTTCGGCTGCGGCCGTCCATGCAGGCCGAGATCCCATTCTCCCCTTCCACGAGAGCGCAAAAGCCAACGCCAACCACATCTTCAACGCCATACACTCTGCTGGCCGCCAATGGGGATCCTCCCTGAACCACAACGGCTTCGGCTTCATCCCCGTTGTCGTGCCGGCCGGTACTTCGTTCTATCACGGAGGCTACTTCCAAGAGCCCCCCAAAGGCACCGAGTGGCTGGCTTTCGAGGTCGAGCACGCGGAGTTCTTTGCGAGGCCGCAACCAAGGGGACCTGGCCGTCATCGACCTTGTCCGGAGGAGGAGCAGCCTCATCCGCTAGCAGACCAGCCAGAGACGGAGAGCAGCGGCTGTGACGAAAAAGGGCAAGTGAGAGGCTATCTGCAGACTTACCATACAACGCGTGACATACAGCTGCTTTATCTGGATGGCATGTCGGCGGGCAAGACCTATGTCGGAACACTAGATTCTCAGGATCAAGTGCTCTGTCAAAACAATAGCACGCACTGGGACGTTCTCGAAGACGACATGAGTCGCGCAAGGGCACTGTGTGACGTGGTGACAGAATGGGGATGGGACGGTATCATGCGCATGGAGGCCGGCTTCGAAGTCATATACTGCAACTTCAGCTCCGGGCTGCACCTCGATTCTTCGCTCCGAACGCCCCTCGCAGCGGACAGACTGAAAGGCGAGGCCAACCTGGTGCCCTACCTGTGGTTGAGGGCGGCTGGGGAGCGATATGATGGCATCGGCGGCGAGCGGGTGAAGATGGACTTTTCATCCATGGTGTCTGGATTTTTCTTCCCCATCAACATCTCCAGTACCGATCCCGAGCGGCCGGACCTCATCAGGCTGGGGGCAGCAAAGCAGGAGCACCTTCAGGACATCAAGGCATATCTGCAGAACGTCTTTGTGGAGCCGAGAAAGTTTGTCGTCAACTGGCAAGCAGTCGTTGATATGATCGTTGCTCGGTTTGAGAAGAGACTGGCGGCGATGGCTTCGACGGATGTATCAGCGGATTTCTTTATTGGTGAGCTGGAAGGCGTTGCGCTCACGTACTATGAAGCCCCTCGTCTCCCAGACGACATCACATTGGCAGCGGGTGACGACGACAGGAACAGAACTGCGGAAGCTATTGATCGTTGTGCTGCACACTACCTCATACCGGCACTGCCAAGACAGCAGGACTGGACTCTCTCGGACGCCCTGATTCATACCGCTCTTGAGGTCGTTATGAAGCGTATCTGCAGCGACCTGTTCCTCATGCGAGCGATTCTCCTCCAGGCAGTACCGGATGCCACACCTGACGCGTACCTGATAAAGAGGGGAGTCGAGAGTGCCTCCATGGAACAGGCACTCAACCAGAGCCGGGCTATTGCCCGTAACCTCGTTCAAGAGCTTGCCTGGACCACGTGGCTGAAACCACAGGTTTGCAGCGAAGAAGAGGTCCTCTTCGTCGCCATGTGGCCGATGGGAGACGACGTCGACCACTACAACCCGGGGTGCGTCCCCTATGGAGAGATCTCAGGGAAGCGGCGAAGTTATTGGAAACCTGGGGAGCAAAAACCCCGTATCCAATGAACCAGGGCCAGAACACCTTCACCCTGTTGTCCAAGGCGCCCACAAGTTTCAAGAACAATAATGAGATATGACAACTCGATATATTTCCATGAATCTCCGGTGCTATGCCATGCTACCACTACGCTTGCCAGCCTACAGTTCTCAATCGATCCGATCAGACCTTGATCCCAAGCAACTTCTCGCTCAGCTCCCAAGTCCTCTTCGCATCCTCCTCATTGTACGTATGGTCACAGTGTCCCCTCCATTCCGGACTATCCGACTTGGACATGTGCACCGCCACGCTACAGTCCTCCAGATACTTGCCCGTCACGCCCTCAGCAAGGACATCGTCGCTCACAGCAGCCCACACCTGCGTCGCGGCGCCCTGCTCGCTGGACTTGAAGAGCTTCTTGGGCCAGTTAGCTACCATGTTGTCAAGGAAGCTCTTGTCCCAGCCGCTGTTGGTCAGAAACGCAGAGTCCACGATGCCGCCGGGGTGGACGCTCCACGCGTGGAGGTTCTGCGCGCCGTAGCGGCGGTCGATCTCGGAGGCTGCGTAGACGGCCGCCGTCTTGGCTTGGCCGTAGGCGGCGGTGGGGTTGTACTCGCCCTTTTCGAAGTTGGGGTCGTCCCAGCGGATGGTTCCGTAGCGGTGGCCGACGCTGGTGACGTTGATGACGCGGCTGGGGTTGGACGGCGAGGCGCTGGCGAGAAGGGCGTCTTTCAGGAGGGCGAAGAGGAGGAATGAGCCGAGGTGGTTGATGGCGAGCTGGCGCTCGAAGCCATCCTCGGTGACCTTGCGCTCGGCAATGACTCCGCCGGCGTTGTTGAGCAGGACGTTGAGCCTGCCGCCGGACTGCTTCAGGAAGTCGGCGGCAAAGGTCTTGATGCTGGCGTTGGACGCGAGGTCGAGCTCGAGGAAGTGGACGTTGGGCATGTCGGCGATGGTGGAGAGCGCGGCCTTGGCCTTGGGGACGCTCCGGCCGGCGAGGTAGAGCTCCGCGCCGGTGGCGGCGAGGGCGCGGGCGCTGGCGGCACCGCAGCCGGAGGAGACGCCCGTGATGATGATGACTTGGCCTTTGAGGTCTTGCTTGCCGGCGTCTTTGATGATTTGTTCGGCGGTTGGGCGGGCGTCGTTTTCTCCGGCGAGGTTATCCCAGGCGTGGACGGCGGCGTAGCGAGACATGTTTGTGGTCTTTTGTGTGACTTGGAACTTGTAAGTCAGGGTGAGGTTGAGTGCTATTGAAGTGGTGATGGCCTGTATGGTGGATGAATTGTTGATTGTTTGTCTGATGAAGCTCCTCCATCGTGCCTCATCGCTCTCTTTTATACCCATTCCCTTCATACCATCGTCTTCTTGGTTCTAATCTCCTTCCTACCATAGTCTTCTCCTGATTCTAAACTCCGTCTTCTTGCCATTCTTCGGTCTCTTCATCTTTAAATCCGTCAAACACCATCTGCCAGAAGTCGATATTTGTACGGAGACTATCGTCAACCCGTGGCTTGTGAGATGTTACCGAATAGAGGCATCGACACAGGCGAACTCCACTGGTTGACAATCTAGCTAATAGGAAAGCTGGGATTGCGAGCAGGCTAATCACGTATAAGACTTACCGATGAAGTGGGGAGGTGGGAAGTCTTGCTGGGTGGGTATCTTGATGCTTTGGCTGCGAAAAGACAATGACGAACTCTGGGTATAAGCTGGATACTACTATGATCGATCATTCTATTCGTGGCTTTTTGATTTTATATACCTGTGAAGAGTAGAGGCGAGGTGTGATTAAGCTCTGACAAATTTGCCTTAGGGGATGGACAATACTAAGTATGCGATGCCTCCCGCGTCTGGCACAAGGGGCATATGACGCAAGGAAGCCATCTCTCCGATGCTTAAATCCCTAGGTGCATTGTTGAGATATAACAAAAAAGCTCATGTATCTTCTTTTTCCATGCCCGGGAGGAGTTCTTCCATATATTGTAACCACTCGCATCGATATGTTTAAGGATGTGTGTACTACTTCTACCGACTTATAGCAGGGTGTACAAAAAACCCCACAGTTCTCTACGAATGTAAATCTACTACGACTGACGCTGTCAATTGTACGAAGTATTTTGTCCTTTGGTGCTGGCTTTCTGTAATCTGGATTCAAGAGTAGACCAGCTCGTCAACTTGAGAGTTATCACAGCTGGCTACTGATCCCTCTTGATGAATATCTGAATTATACCTTATATATGTATCGCAAACCCCGCCTCATCCTTCGTAATCTTGTCACTCAAAGTTCTGCCTAGCGATGAGGATTCAGGGACTTTTGTATCTTCCGGAGACAACCAAAATCTGGAAAGAGGTAGCTTACTGTTAGGCACCCCAATTTGATACAATGGAAATTATTGAACTGCCAGTCAGGGTAGCCTCAGCTGCGCCGAAGGAATACGATCACTGAGTGCCCCATATTGCGTATTAAATTACAAACTTCTTGAGTTGTTCCTACGCAACGTATAAGTGTAGAGGTTCCTTCCTATTCATCCTATCTAAGCCTTAGATTCTCCGTGGGTTTTAATAATGCTTTTATTGCCAACGACCAAAGTTACCAATTGGCCTCGCATGTCCCAGCACAAAATGTCCAGCACAATATTCGATGTCCTCACCACAAATGCCGTGGACCTGCAACGGCTTCTCACAAACAAGCAAACCACCAGCGTCCAGATCGTCCAGCACTACTTTGATCAGATAGACCGCCATGAGCCATTTCTCAATGCACTCATCTCTCCCGCGCCTCGCGACAAAGTACTACGTGTCGCCGCGGCTCTAGATGAAGAGCGCAGCAATGGAAGCGTTCGGAGCGCATTTCACGGAATTCCTATTGTCCTCAAGGTGAGTGTTAACGGAAGGGCTGGGTCTTCAATCGTGTCCCAGTTTCTTACACTGTCAATAGGACTGCTTCATGACTGCTTCCAACCTGGGCATGACCACAACCGCAGGATCATGGGCGTTTGTCGGAGCCAAGGCGTCCAAAAACTCTGCCGTCGCGCAGCTGTTGATTGACGCTGGTCTGATTATCATAGGAAAAGGCAACATGACGGTATGGACCGAAAGCGCCCAACAGGCTTTTACTCGCTAACGGGTGGGATGACAGGAGTTTGCAGGCATGAAAATGACAATGATGATGCCGGGATGGTCCAGCCACGGCGGCCAAACACTCTCTCCGTATGTGGGGAAAATCGAAGAGAATGAAGCCATATTAGGGCACTCGGTCAGTAAAGACACCAGTCTCATGCATTACTTGGAGCAACGGCAATGCTCATGTCCATCAGGCCCCGGGAGGATCCTCTACCGGTTCCGCCGTCGCCGTCGCGGCCGGCTTCAGTCCCCTCGCCTTGGGCACCGAAACGATTGGCTCAATCGTCACGCCGTCCACCAGAGCAGGCCTATACGCTGTCAAGCTTACAACAGGTGTTATGGATGCGACTGGCGCGTATAAAATGACGGACTTCTTCGATAGTCTGGGCCCCATGGCAAAGAGCTCTGCCGACGTGCGAGCAATGACCGAGATTCTTCTGCAGCGCACATTCCGTTCTGAAAGGTTTGGGACTTGGGAAGGCCTGTCTGTTGGATTCCTCGATCCTAGGGCGTGGAAGGTTTCGGAGGCGATGTGTCCACCGCATGAAGGCACTGCAGAACAAATGGTAGGCAATGCTTTAATCCATGTCAAGCTTCGAGACAAGCCGTTTTCTGATAAAGTTACAGATTGAAGAATACGAAGGGGTGGTCAAACTTCTGCAGAAAGACGGCTGCTCATTGAAACACCCCGTCAAGGTTGCCGACACCGATGAGTTAACCGTTAACGGAGAACAGGCCATTATGCCCATCGCATGTGAGTATCTCGAGAATGAATTGCATATTTGAGTCCTATCTCATCATTTTCTAGTCTGGGAGTTCAAAAACATTGGCATACTTCGCTTCATCAACTCCTTCGATGAACGTCCCGTGCGCAGTGCCGAGGATATTGTCAAGTTCAACAAAGAAAATAGCGATAAGGCAATGCCTGCACGTGAGTTCTGCACCTCGAAGTGAAATAGGTCCGCAAGAACTAACGTGACCATTAAGCATACACGGAACAAGGAGACCTTGAAAAGACTCTCACCTACAACGACGAGCCAGAGAAAGTCGAGGTGCTAAGAAAAGGTCTCCGGAGTGTAGCCCGGCAGATCATTGACACCGCGTTTGACGCACAGGATGTAAATCTCCTTGTCGCTCCTGGCGATAGCTCTCTGTGTATACATGCCGCCGCAGCAGGTAAGCCAATGCCATGAACACTGGGATGAGAAGCTTCCTTGCTAATTTAAACAGGGTATCCCATCGCTACCGCTCCCATCGGTCAGTTGAGATACAATGGACGTCCGTTTGGCCTGTGTATACTGGCTAGGGAGAATGAGGAAGAGCTGCTCTTGCGCTTCATGGCTGCGTATGAGGCGGTGGCTAAGCCTCGTCCTGTACCTAATCTGTAAATCCGTCGCCATCCGCCACGCTTTGCATCGAACTTTATTATTCTTAGGGATTTAGAGCTAAAAGCATGCTTATTCGATATTTGAGCATTTGTTATATACTGCGAAAAGCTTGTTTTGTGCTCTTACCCCTTTCATCTACACCTAACCCGCAATAGTAGATCCATGAGCCATACTGACTGCTATTGACCTTGAACACTTCGTTTCTAATCAGCAACAGACAGCCCAGATATGTGGCGAAATTGCAAAGAAGAAGCTTGACGAAACCAATAAAACAATCTGCATACTTGATTTATGACCCTGATGTTGGCCCGGATGCCAGACAACATGAATTAGCTGCCTCAGGTTCCTGGTATTGCACACCGGGTTGCCCGCAACAGGGCCCTGAACTCTAAAAGCTGGCATACGAGGCTCATATCAGTCAAGCCGTCAAGAAGCTGTGAATGACTTGGCTAGACATAAAACCCAGCATGTGTCCTTTCTTCACAAGCCCTTCGGCATTAATCTTTCCCTGAACTCTTCACACATATCTTACCTCATCAGCATCACAGCTCTGTCCTTGAACTTGAAGCATCATAACAACCAAGCATACATAATGTATATCCTAGGCGTTCTCGCCACTTTGACTGGCATAGCCATGTCTTTCAATTACCAAGGCCAAATACCCCCCGGCAAAGGCTTCACCATCGCCCACCCTGCCGGACAAGAGGCTACAGTCACAAAGGACAACACTCTAAACGGCACCTACCACAGCAACTTCACCCGTCTCCAAGCACAGAGAATCCAGCCTCTTCCACTGAAGATTGTCAACAACTTTGATGGCGGACCCATCAATGCCTACATCCAAGGCCTCGACTCCCGGGGCGCTGTCGTCTTCATCACCGCCAACGGCACCCTCATCTATCCCAGCTCTCATGCCTCTCGATTGCCCCGCAAAATTGAGCACAACCTCGCGATTCCCCTCCCACGCAAAGGCAAATCTCTCAACATGAAGATTCCCATCCCGCTCTCTTCGGGAAGAGTCTACTTCTGCCAGGGAAACCTCAGCTTCTTCATGCTTGACACGGGCTTTGGCGATGGTCTCGTCCAGCCCTCCGTCACGAACATGGACGACCCCAGCGCGTCCCTCCACTGGGGCTTCATCGAACTCACTTACACGGCCGCCGGCACTGTCTACGCAAATATCAGCTACGTCGACTTCGTCGGCCTCATTCTCAGCATGATTCTCTCCACCAAGGATGATCCCGACAAGCCACAGATTACTCGCGGCCTCCGCTCCGACGCAGTTCAGGCCCTATGCGATGGTCTTTGGAACCAGACGACCGTCGATGGTCACTCCTGGCTCGGCCTCTGCGTTGTCGACCAGAACGCGCGCCCCATCCGAGTCTTGTCCCCAAACTACTACCACCGCCTCCATCAATCTGCCTTCGAAGACTACTGGAACAGCTACGTCGACAAAGTCTGGCGTCACTACTCTTACAAGCCCCTCACCATCGACACCCAGACACCCGCCGGCGCCGTCAAATGCAGAGTCATCAACAACATCCTGCGCTGCCAAAACGACACCCGCGGTTACTCGCGTCCCCTGGCAACCGACATCTGGGGCTGCGACAGCGGTCCCTTTGGCCGCGTCAACGGCGACAACGACATTCACATTGCCGTGATACCGCGTCTTTGCGCGGCGTTTGTCCGGTCGACGCTGCTCATTCCGGGGGGAGATGTGCAGCCTAGCTTGAACTCTTCGCATCATTACACGGTGAGCCCGACGCATCATTATAGTCGGCTTGTGCACGAGCTGCAGGTTGATGGGAGGGGATATGCGTTTTCGTATGATGATGTGAATCCTGATGGGACGGAGGATGCTTCGGGGCTTGTTGCCTCGGGGAATCCGGATACTTTGACGGTGTATGTTGGTTCTCCGCCTACAGATTGAACGGGAATGAGCAGAGTAGGCATGCGGTGAGAAGGGGGTTATAAATGGCGTGTAAACTACAGCGATGATGTTGATACGAGTCCTATTCAGCGGGTTGAAACATGATTCATCAGCCACGGCACATTTAGATCAGTACACACAAGTAAACGGTAGCTAATAACTCGGTGTTTTCGAGACATTGGGTCATGATCATGGGGTATTCTTTCCGACAGTTTTATTGTATACTTGATTTGAAAATAACCTGATATATTTCGGTCGAACATTGTATGCAGGCGATCTATATGCACTCAATCCTCCTCCAACCGTGAAACTCATATTCCGGCAATCAAGCTCCATGATACCCACAAAGAGACAGGAAACGCTGGAAAGTTGTGACGTAACCTCCAATGGAGTCTCTTCACATCTTGGAGTCCCCTGTTTGAGACAAAGACGCCGGAACTTCTTTCGCAAGGAAACTATAAAACATGACCTCCATTGCGGGACCACAATGCTGTGTATAAAAACGTCTAATCAAACGACAAGGTAGTCCATGCACATGGATCACCTAATGAATATACTGTTTCAAACCCCGTAATCTGTCTTTGGCGGCTTCAAGAACAGAATCCGGCTTACACACGGCAAACCGCATCCACTGCTCGCCAATATGCTGGTTTGGCGGCGAGTAAAACTCGCTGGGCGGGATTGCTGCTACGCCGAGTTCTTGGATAAGGAACCACGCCAGCTTAAAGTCCCTCGGACGCTCGAGCACATGGTCGGGGAAGGGGTAGTCCTCTGGTAGTTTCACTTTGCTCATGTTGACCACGACGAAGTAGCCGCCTTCGGGCTCTGAGTAGGGCATGTCGAGCTCGTGCCAGATCTCGTTGAAGAAGTCCATCTTGAACTTCATGTCTTTGATGCATTCGTCCCAAAAGCCATTGTCTTCGGCTTGTTCGAAACCTGGACCGGTGTAAGTACATGCCGCACAAGTTCAAGGCCAGTTCAGCGGTTTTGTTCCTACCAATAGCGAATGCCTCCTGCAGAGGCGATGGAGAGCAATAGCAGATTCGCGCATGTGCTTTTACGATGTATGTTATCAGCTCCGGAGGACCCATTACCCAGCCTGTACTCTCAGTGTCAGTTTATGCAGAAGAGCATTGAACAGAATCTCCGCGAAGTCTTACCGACTCTCCAACCTGTGGCATAAAAGTTCTTTCCCGCCGAGCTCAGGGTCAAAGTGAGTCGTTCCACCTCGGGCGACATGGTCGCAATGCGAGTAAACGGCACGTAGAATAGTCGGTCATACACCTCGTCGGATATGATGAGAATGTTGTTCTGTACGCAAACTTCGGCAATCTGCTTCAGCTCTTCCGCATTGAATATCTTGCCCAATGGATTGTCTATTAATAGGGATCTGTCAGTCACGAAGATCATGATCGAGGTTATGACAATAGTGTCCACTAACGAGGCGTGTTTAGCACGAGCATCCGCGTCTTAGGAGTTATGGCTCTCTTCATAGCTTCAATGTCGAGCGACCATTCGCCCGCAGAGTGCGTTTTCGTCATTCCTGACTTTGGTGGCTGTAGCGCCACCGAGACGACTTTGGCTCCAGCCATCTCGATATTGCTGATGTATCTGTTCCACAGCTGAGCATTAGAAGACCGCTCATTTCTCCAGACAGCCACCAGAAAAGCGTAAGAATGGCGCGCTTACTGGTCGAAAAAAGGCTCGAGCAGCAAAACCTCGTCGCCCTGCTGCAGAAATGCCATGCAACAGCTCAGGAACCCTTCGTTCGCGCCGGTTGTGATGGCGATTTCCGTCTCCGGGTCGATTTTCCGGCCCCAGAAAGGAGAGTAGGCATTCGAAACGGCTTGTCGCAGACGGAGACGGCCTTTCGGAGGTGCGTATTGGTTGCAGTCGAGGCGCTCTACGGCATGTTTCGCGGCGTCTATCAGGAACTGGGGAGGATTGTAGCCGAAGAAGCCTTGTCCCATGTTGACTACCGGCTGCTTCTCCGTGGATGCCGCCGCGGCGTTGATGATTGACCTGAAGGGAGTAAATGAGCCACTGGAAGCCAAATGATGGGTTTCTCGTAGGTCGGCTTACCATACATCTTGCGTTGAGCCCGCCACACGAGGAGCGGGCTTGATGGGCGACTTGATCCCATTCTTCACAGGCGCCATTCTGAACTGCAATTGAGATTATTTGGAGGCAGTAAAATGGTTCAAAGCTCCAAACGAGACAGTTTGTCGAAAAGTCAGCCATGGCCAGCTTTATATATGTCTTCCATCCTGTCAACGCGAGAGCCACCAAACACGCCTGGTATTATTAGACTTGCATCTAAAATCTTACGAGGATGGATTAAGTTTGCCATCAGTATCTCAGGCCCGGGTGCACTTGTGCCAGCCCAGCTTACCAACTGTGTCACCGCTTGTTTCCTACCAGCATGACTCAACTTTACTGGCGTAAAGTCGTCCACTACGGGGACATTTCGACTACGGACGACATTGAAAAAGTCCGGTCGAATGCTCAAAAGCCCCTTTATCTACTTACAACGAGGTCTATCCATGCCATCAACCGAGTTGCACTTCGTCCTTCTTTTGCGTTCCTAATATCTTAGTTGCCGAACTCTTGTGGCTCGTCCTCTAGAGAATTACCTTAAGGTGCAACAAGTGTTGTTGGCATCATGAGTCTTGACCGGGCTTGCCGCGAGATATCCGAAGTCATCACAAACCGGCGTTATGTACATCGGAGTTTTGGAGAATTCACAAGAACCCCTATTACCGGCTCACCGTAGATTGATTCAAGGACGTGTTGTATCATCACAGTTACTATAATGCAGAGCTCCGATCGTCGGCGTCAGGGTAGCTGTCAGATCCGGGCCTCCGGGTCGGGCGCCGTCTGACAAAGCTCAAGACTGGAGCTTTTGCCTCCTCATGTGTGGCTGATATAGACCGTGCTGTTCCACCAGAGTAGCCACTCCGCGGCCCAGAGAATAGACGAGTAGTACTCCGTTACCCCCACGGAGGTGGCATATCCCGCAGACGCCCCATCCCCGATGAGCCGCATACTTGAGCGTGGAAGTATGGCTTGGAATGACAATGGTCCACTCAATATATAATCGATCGTATTGCGTTGGTGCCATTGATGGAGATCCTAAGCTGTTATGTATCTGCATTTTTGATAGGCCGGAGAAGTATTCCGATTACTCGAACAGGAAATCCACTTTCAAGAGCATCACTTCTCACTCTCATCTATGCGCGGAAATCGGACATCAGCCAAACCTTTACTGAAGACAAATAAATAGGACTAGGTAAGTGGAAGGTCTCACCAAATATCCACCTTGTATGTGCCGTGCGAGCTAGATTATGTTCGGAAGCGCCCGTATTCTTAAGCTTGTGGCTGCAACTTGTGCATGGCACAGAAGATCTCGCTCACAGTTACCTCATGCGATTAGATGGTAAGCTTCCTGTATTTCCATACTGTTATGCGCAAACGCTGCCTTTCGGGTGCAAAACATTGTGTATATGCAACAGCAAGTTGAAGTGTAGGGTATTCTGATAGCAACTTGGTCAGTATGAGCAGGCTCAGACGACCTTTTGGCGCTCAGAAGTTCAAATACTTGTATCTGAGTGACTATTGACCCCATGGGCAAATTCCTGGTGGGAGGCCCTGAATCTTAGCTTTATTGAATGTCAAATATGCCTATGAAGGTCCAAGTTGGCTCAAGTTGGCTCGAATGGTACCGGATATACTCCCGGCCATTTGTAGATTCATCATGTCAGCAGCTCTTTTGATGCCTACAGGGATTTACTCTCAATTATAGAGATGGATATGTGATCTTAATGGATCCCAATTCTTAGCGGGCATATAAATGCTACTGAATCCCTCGGTGGTATTCGGGATGAGCGTCAAGCTTGATGAACTCAGCACTACCAAGCGCCACACATACGCTATTTTCTTTGACGATGCTACGACAAGCCGCTCCGTGATCCAGAAATCACCCATTCAGCAATTTGACCAATCAATAACTAGATACAATACATTGAGCTTTCTGCTTTCGTGGACGTTCATCATTGTCATTAGTTGTGCCCGTTCATGTTCACACACAATTCTAGCCGAATCATGACGGGGTAGGACAATCTGCTAGAACAGTCGATTTGATTCAAATATTACAGTTTTTCAGCTACTCAGCTTCATTATGTGTGTGCACTAATAACAATAAAAAGATGTTCTCAAGCTGCTGATACAATCTTCAAGTCCTCTGTCTGAAGACACATTCCAGTTTACCAGCCTTCAGAATCTGCCCATTCACTGAATCCCGAAGAATCGCCACTCCATCTTCACCGGGAGCAAACTCGTACTCATAATACCAAACCGTATAAGCTACCACCAATCGTATCACGATCAAGGCAATCCTTTTCCCGACGCAGGAATGGGGGCCGAGAAGGAAGGGATGGTATGCGCGTTTGTCAATCACGAGATCAGGCCGTGTAGTCCATCGTTCCGGGATGAAGGTGTCTGGTTCCTTGAAGAATTTGGCACCTTGATGCAGTTAGAAACAGGCTGATACACGGAACCAGCGTAAGGGGCAAGATGCATCACAGCAAGTATACTCACTTCGGTGATTGGCATGTATCGGCGAGTAGACTGCAACTTTGCCCGGAATGAACACTCCGTCAATCTCCAGGCCTTCGGGCGGAGTGACGCGAGGTCCATTAGAGCAAGTGGGATTATTCATTCTCATCGTTTCGTTGATGATTGCGTTAAGGTATGGTGCCTCTGCCTCGCTCAAGTCGCGGTTTGTGAATTCCCCGGACATTGTACGTCCATAGAGAGGTTCCAGTTCATCATGCAGTCTCTTCTGTATGGCAGGATCGCGCGCCGTATAATAGAAGATGAAAGACAACACGGCACCGATAGTATCAGTTCCGCCGACCATAAGAGCCTGCGAATCCGAGTATAGCATGTTATGGTGACGAAAGGCCTTGGGCTCCTTTGCACGGTAATCCTGGAGTAGATATTTCATAATATCTTCCTGTTCTTCATTCGCTTTCTATGAAGAAGTTAGTGATTAGACTCGCATACGGACTAGGCCTGCAACACCTACCTGTTCCCTCTTGTCTACCATCCCACATGAGAGCCTTTGAAACGCCACATGGTCGCTGCTCCCACCGACAGCATTCAGAAGAGCAATGGGCCAGTACATGGCGCCAAGTTTGCCGACGCTGCCCAGTGTCACCTCGAGATAGTGCAGCATGGGGTCCTCTACACCTTTCTGGATGGAGCCAAAGTTGTGGGAGAAGCCCATGCGACCCATGTTCTCGAAGGGTATCAGGAGGGAATACAGCGAAGTATTGACAGGTTGGCCCTGGAGAGTCGCCATCTTTTCCAGCCATTCGTAGACGACCTCTCGCGCGTATGCTTCGTATGATTCCAGAGCTGAGAGAATATCAGATTCAGGTACCGGAAAGAAACATGAGATGGGAGTAGCCAACCTTTTGTGTTGAATGCCTTGTCCCATATCTGACGTCTCCTACGATGCTCATCGCGACTCAATAACGTCTCCAGACTAAGGTGGCCTTCGTAATGTAGAACCTCATAAACCGACTCCCGTTTCGAGCATCGTGTGGTTGCTGCGTGGAGCTTCTGCTGAGTGTCTATCGACAAGAAGATGAGCTCATTGGGGGCTGGCAGCGTACAAAAGCATTAAAGTCAGCTTCAGAGCACTCACATTAGCCAAGAAGAGGCGGCTTACCAATTCGAACAACGTCTCCGTACTTCTCGAAGAACTCGGCGTGCTTCTCGTGAAGTTTGCCATCCCAGGCTATCCAAGGAGAGTAGAATTTTGTGACTTTTGCCCAGAACGGTCCTGGGAAGTGGCGTAGGCGATGGAAGAAGACGCGATATATTACGATGCTGGTGAAGAGCGCCAGGAAGTAGCAGAGCGATATAACACTAGCCGTGAGGTAACCTTGCAAAGCGCCCAGCAAATGGATGCTTCGCGCGTAGAGGAAACATTCTGCGATTAGATAGAAGACGAGGATTTGCGGCGCCTGCGTAGCCTTGTGTCCATGGATGAAGTACAGGAGATGGGAGAGAAGGCCCGCCGATGCGGATGCGATACCTAGTAGTTCATACCGCATCTTGTTGATGACTCATTTGGGTACTCATTTGGAGGAGGAATGAACATGAAGAACATGAGTGAAGACAAAATATTTGGGTCGAGAGGCGGGTAACGCGGTCTTATAAGAAAGCAAACTTGAACCGGTGCGTCATGTAAGAAAGTGTATAAGCGGGAGGAAGCTTCTTACCTCGGGACTTATGTTAGCTCAGCGAGCTTAGCTGAGGAGGAGCAGCCATAAGGCTTCTGTCACACCATTCCCCCCGTATTACTTCCGTCAAGTCTACAACAGAGGCCTTGAGGCACAGTTCTGTCTTACTGTCTGGAGTTTATGTAGTGGAGAGGCATGAGAATTCAAGAGGTTTTGTAGCCGCAACTACATCGCCTAGGGCTTATTTGGAGTCATGTGAGTTTCATTGTCACGGCTGTCTATTTGATGATACGAACGCCTCTTTGTTTCCTGTGAGAGGTATTGCTGAAGATGGCAAGGGGGGACGGGACGTCGTGCTGGTGCTCTCAAAAGACTCGTTTTGTTGAGGCAATCTTGTGCTTTCGTCGTCATTTTTACGCAGCCATCGAGGTCTATTAGAGACAACAGAGACCGAACTGCAATGGAGTGATGGAGACGATGGTGAGAATCTGGCTAGACTGGCTCGAAGATCTTGGGATGCTTATGGAGAGAGGTGGCGTCTAGCCTGCGGCTACCACAGCTGCACGCGAAGCCTATAGATGATCAGGAGCTGTCAACCGAGCTTTATAGTAGTAACTCTTCATCACCGCTTTGCAATATAACGATCCACCAAGGTATCAGCTACGATCCGTTAGGTTTGTTGTCGGATGCAACCATTGGCTCTCGAAGTTTATGAGCCTATGCATCGTGTCATTGATAGAACTCAACCCTCTGCGTTTAGATAAATCGGGGATGCCTGCATGTGGTTACCACCCTAGAAAGACCTTATTCCTCCCCTCGAATCTAATCAACAAGTTATAGCACTCAGCGCTCGCTATGGTTATGCCGTTACTCGCTGAGTTGCTGCAAATATCTTGCCCAGCTGCACCTTTTTGGCAAGGCCACCTCCCGAACACACACTCTTGAATCGATCCCACGCTGCAAAGGCATCCTTCTTCTTCCTCCTTGTGGCTTTCCTCTTCTTTTTCTCTTCCTCCTCCTTCTTTTCCTCATTCTCAACCTGTATGGTTGCACCACAAGCCAATTGGAAGCTTTCATTGTCAGCAAAATACATCACCCGCTCAATAGGCGGGACGGAATAAGCGTCGTCCTTTCCAACATCCACCGCGTTGAAATCGGTCACCGAGATGGCAGGGATACCCTCCAAGCTGCCCGTCTTTGGACGTAAAGACAGAGTGTATCCGACCACATGCGAGATCATAGGCACACGAAGAGAGGCAAGGTCCGGCTTATCGATGTCTAAAGTATGTCAGCTACAACAGCCTCATGCAGCAAAGAGATATGGCAAGAATCAACTTACTCTCTCCCCAAAGTGCAGGAGGCAAGCTCTGGATGAGGGGGTTCGCGTCCAAGTCGATAGTATCGCTGCCATTAGTCCGTCGTAAAGTGACCTTCAAAAGAGACTGCTTGAATTGCTGCTGCAGCTGCATCGGCCTGGCGAATATTCTCGGTGTGATGTCCTCTCCGTTGCTGTTCTTGACGACGCTCAGTTTAGGTTCCGCATGGCCGCTTATTTCAGCACTCAGGACAGGCATTCTGGATTGCACTTGGACGAGAACCCCTGCGGCAGAGATCTCAATAGGCCCTGTGTTTGCACCTTCGCCTGTCTTCACCTTGCCAGCGGTTACGTTGATGATATGGTTCGGCACATTCTTTTCGGTGGCAGATTCCTCGGCGGGAAGATTCTTTGCTACTCGCACGAACTGGTCCAGACTCAAGGGGCTCGGCTTGCAGAACCCTGGACCAAAGGCGACTTCGATCTGGAACGTGCACAGTCTCAGCTTTGCCACGCCAGCCAACGGCGGCCCCCATAATGACAGGCTGGCAGACAGAGTGATGGGCCCCAGATTCTGGGTATACAGCCAAAGGTCCAATGCTCCGCGTGCTTGGAACACCACAGTGACATCGACTTGGAAAGAAAAGGGGTGAAACTTCATGAGGAAATCCGCATATGCCGTGAAGGCAATGTGTACCCAGAGCTTATCACCAAGCAATCTTTTCTCAAAGGTCATGTCGAGTCTGCCGCCCCCCATGACGGCGTGAGGCGTGATGGCGAAATAGGACTCTCCCTTGATGGACAAGTGACTGTCATACTTCCACGAGATTCCGACGCGGTTTCTGACGTCTGGATAATGAGACGGCTTGTCAAAGTCTCGATGGTAGCCGCCTATTGAGAAGACGAAGTCGCCATCGTGGGGCGAGTTGGGGAGAAAGTAGGCCAATGCGAAAGAGCCTGTCAGCTTACACTCTCGGTTCAAAATGAAGGAAACGGGAGTCAATTCGCCTGTTGCGATGACGGTCCCGTGAAAAGGGTCGATGACACATGACAGAGCGATATCAACAACGACAAATGCGTTCCCAAAGGGATCATCCGAGTGCGAGATTCCTTTAGGAGGCTTGGGAAAGACGGCTGTAGCCGTAGCTAGAACAGTAAACTTTGGATGTTCGTCAAGTGTTAAGGCGAAGATGGCCTGCGCCTCAAATGTCTGGAACGCTTTGATGCCGAGACCAGCTACAAACCACATCTCTTCATTGGCAGGTGAAATGGCGTCTTTGACTCCTCCAGCCAAGATGAGATTCATCTGATCCATTGCGGAACCACCTTGTGAGCCGCTTTTGTTGAGGGCAATGAAGGGAAAGTTGGCCACCCCGGAGGCATCTGCGGGCACTTGGAGCCGCGAGTTATATCCAAAGCCGCCGGTCAAGCCGTTGATTTCGGCAGCGCCAAACTCCGCAATCGGTCCTTGAACCATTCCAAAGAGAGAAAAGGACTTAATGGCGAAGTCTGGGTATAATTCCTCATATCTCCCGCCTGCTATAGCGGACCATGTGTCGAGGCTGACAGAAATGGCACCTTGGAAGCCCTTGGAGATGCCTCTGTTGTCGAATTGAGTCACCATGCCCGCAATTCTCGTGGGTGGTCTGTCATATGCGACAGCCATGCCGTTGATACCGACGTCTGTGATGATTGATGCCAGCTTGTCTGGATTGGTGAGGACGCTGAGGTCAAGGGTGATGGTGAAACCTAGCAGGGCAAATGCGAGCGGCCCGAGCTGAACACTGGCATCTAGAGACAGGCTGACTTTACTATATCTCGCACCAGATACAGAAAGCCCAATGTTGCGGACGGTGAGGGGACCAAAAGTCTTGGCCATAGGCGCAACTGTCTTCCCTTTGTCCAGGGGAGCAGCGACTGCTTCGCCACCAGCTGTCAGAGCCAATTCCTTTTTCTTCGGCTCCTTTTCCTTGCCGCCAACAACATGATCGAGGATCAGCTTTGGTTGGGAACCTTCCAGCAGCGCAACTTGGAAGTGGAAGCCTTTCTGTAGAAGACCTTTGTCACTGGCATCTGGTCCGGTGTCACCTGAAGGTGTCTTTACCAACAACGGCTCATTTGTAAACACATGCTCATTGAGCACTGCAATCTCGGCGGGACTTATGTCGCGGTTTGTCCAGACGACACCAACCTGATCAAAGGGTGGTGTTGTGCCGCCAACGACCGGTACCTGGATACTGTTCATGTTGGACAAGGAGAAACGGAGGAGTCGTGCCGGCACCACCTTCGAGGTGTCTTTGTCCTTGCTTCCACCATATGAGCGAACCTGTGCCAGAGTGACAGCAAACTTGCCACTCTGCGTAGTTAGGGTGAATGTAAGCGCAGAGACCGCGTGGTTTTCGCCCTTTTTCGCTCCGGGTACGCGGCTGCAGGCAAGATTGGCCTCTAAAGCTGATAGAGGTATCTCCATGCTGTGTACAACTTCCGGAAGGTCGTCGACGTCGTCCACCAGGCCCTCAAGAAGCGCAGCAATCTTGAACGTCTTCTCTTCAGGAGTGGGCCCCTCTTTGTCCATAGCAGCCATAGCACCAGCTCTGAAGAACCAGCTGCTGTCTTCTTGCTCTTCGCCATTCTTCGCCTTGCCGATGTGCGTGTATTCGAGCTTCAACTCAAGGCCATTGTTTGGGCTGCCTAGAACTAGGACGCCATCGAGTTCGAATCTGCCCGGAAGGTTCTTGTGATACTCATAGCTCAAGAATACGTAGTCAAGGTGTATACCTCCCATGAGATCCCTAATGGCATCATTGGAACCATCGGCTGCAAACAAGTCGTAAAGGTGTGCCATCTTGAGGTTCTTGACTTTTCCAGATATGGTCCAAGAAGAGTCCGAGTGCTCTCTGTTGTACTCAACTCTGGTTTCAATAGCAATGACATCGTCCACGACGCCATGAGAGTCATCTGGTGTGAAACCCTTCGGTAGTCGAACCTCGGTCACAGCCTCAAATGCAAGGTCAAACTCGGTCCCACCGGAAGCAAAGGCCAGCTTCAGGGCTACATGAAGCTGACTGAAGCGAAACACTGGAGGAAGGCTGCCCCTCTCAGGGCTTATAGGCGGACACTCGACGGCCCCTTCAAGGAAAACCGTCTTTCGCGTACCGCCGAAACTCATATTGAGGCGGGCATCGCTGATAACGGAGGGAATACCAGCTGGAAACACCATGTCCGGCTTGCCAATGAGATCTTTTATTGACAGCGAACCAACGCTGCCCCGGGTCATTGGGTTTATGGCCGACATATTGCCCAAGTCGCTGTAAGGCTGGATGGAGAGAGGAGTACCGGCTATGTCAAAAGTAGACGAATCATGCCAAAGCTCGCAGGAAAGGGAATATACACCTTGAGACCAGCTCAAGGAGGTTAAAAAGGGCACTTTGTCGTTCTGAAGGAGTGTGGTTTCGATGTTGATAGTAAAGTATGAGGGCTTAGGCATGCCACTTGACGAGGAGGTTCCGTCATCTGATTCGCCTTCGAAGCCAATGATGACGCTGCGAATGTTGAAGTGCTTGAAGATTGTGCCAAATGCGTCCTTTACGGAGCTCACGATATCATCCGTCGATGTCTCAAACAACGATGTGGCGTTCTGGTCAACAGACTCTTGAGAGATGAGATTCTGGCACCATTGAAGCAATGAGGACAGTATATCGGATGTTTTGTCGTGCATAACAAGCTTGACTTCGAATCCACTATTCGTGAAAGTGATACCTGCAGCTACAGAAAATCCACCGAACGGATTTGTGGAGGCCGAGTCTTGTTTGCTCGTGTTGATGGTCAATTTTGCCTGAAGCCCCAGCACTGATCGCGTCCTCTTATACTCGTTCAACAGAGCTTCAGACACACTTGTACCGGTGATGATGACATCGGATACCGTGCTCGCAAGACCGCTTCCTTCCAACAACTTCTCCATAGCAGAAGTACTCTCAGAAGTGCTTACTTCTAAACTTTCGCCGTGATCCAGCTCCATGGCCATCCGAAAGATGACACGTAAATCGTGACATGGCATGAACCATATGCCGGAGCGACAGTCGGGACCCTCGTATATCTTTGTTCCAGAAAATGAACGCGCAGGAGCGGGACGGAGCTTTACCATGGAAAGAATGCCCTTCACCAAAGGAGGAAGAGGAAAGTCTATGAGCTCAGAAAACTGCGCAAGAGTCATGTTGCCGGTCGTCTGAGAATTGTCCAACGCAAAAAGAAAGCCCTGTAGACGCCTGTCAAAGCCAAGAGCCGTCTGTGGCAGAGAGGTTGCTGCTTCGCCGAATTGGGCGTTCCGCGTATGTTGCTCAGTGGTGAAGGCGAGACGTATTGGCTCGGAAGATGGCGTCCCAGTACTGTGAAAAGTAGGAGAGATGAGGATGTCCATCATGTCAAGCACTATTTTTCCGTCTTCTTCAATTGATCCGCCGACTTTGAATGCGACAGCATCGGAGAAACACTGATTTAGCCAGAGAGCAACATCTGAGGCGTTGCCCAGGAGGTGGTGCCGGACGAAGCGGCCTGTCTTGGGGAAATTGCTGCCAGGCTGGTCCTGGGCTTTCTTGATGTCGTCAAAGAGAAGCCCGTGAGTCCACTCTTCAATCTCATCATCTGGGCCCGCTGTAGCAGAGACGGATATCAGAAGATTGTTTTTCTTCTGAGCTTTCCTCTTCCCTCCGAATCGGTGGGGATCAGATGCCTGACCGGCGAAGGAATTGCCAGACCGAGCCGAGGTTTGAACAATGTCCTCCCAGATAGCATTGGCTCCTTGCTTCACGATTTTGCACACAACATTGGAGCTATTAGCCTTCACCGCCACGAAACGGATGTTAGAGGGATCAGAATTCGGCTCGCATCCATGCTCCGCCCACTTTTGCTGCATCCTTTGTCTGGCATGCTTTACAGCTGTAGCGTACTCTCTCGTGGGGTTGAGGAGGGTGTGTTTCGACGGCGGTGTCCAGTTCTCGAATTGATTTAGTATTGTATCGCCGTCAGCGACAGTCGCCAGTCCACTGAGGTCTCCCCCCTTTTCGATCCAGAAGAGATTCTTCATATGCCGCATGCTTTCACCCACGGAGTTCTGGAGCAAGTCGTTGAGCTCTTTTCGAAGCTGCGTCAGGTTACCAGATCCATTCTTTGTAAACTTGAGCACCTCTAACATTGACTTCCAGACGACGGCCGTACCACCGGTGTAGCTCAAGATGGTATTCACATTGAAGTGAACTCTGCTCAACTCGCTGGCGTCTATATCCATCCAGTAGGGCTTCCTTGTGCCATAAATATGGAAGGGGCTGATCTTCATTGGATCATTGTTCTTCATCATATCCGCGATGCCGAGAAGATAGAACAGCACGGAATAGCCTGAAAGTATCGATTGCCTGCATTAGTGTATACATTCAGAGCATCTCGTTGAAATGGGTTTATGTGACAGCTGTGAATAGCGTCAAGCGCTATGACCTTGAGAGGACATCGAAGAGACGGTGTGGATCTTGGAAAGGGACGGGTGGGCTTACTGGGATGGCCATGCCTCGAGCCAGCTGATACGACGAATGCTTTGTTCTGGAACTTGACGATACTCTCCGGGAGGGCAAAGTGCGAGCCATGATGGCCCATCTTGACCACGTCAAGCCGAACCTCCCTCTTCAGTAGATTGCGACCTTTTTCCATCCATTCCAGGAGGCACCTCTCGCACCCTTCTTCAGCATCACCGCCCGTATAGAGTGACACGCGATATTCGCCTATGGCGCTCGGCCAAATGACCGTGGCCATGAGCGATGCGCCGTTGATCACCCGTGCGCCCTTGCCAACAGTCTTCCATGCCTTCACGGGCGGCACCCAGGGGTCGTCGTCGATGAATTGGTTGTCTATGCCGACAATAAGAAATATGGGCTTCAAGAGCTTCTTGAGCGTCGGCAGCTTGTATACATCTGTGAGGGATGCAACACTCGTCCAATCCTTTGACGGTTCATCGTAAATGGGTTTATTGGTGAAGAGGTCGTAACCAATACAGTTTGTGCTTGTGACGGCGGCGCAGATTGGATGCCACGTGGTACCGACGACGAAATAAAGAGTATCGTCCTCGACTCTCCACTTCGTGTTCTTGTTCATCTTATTCATAGCCGTCCATGGACAATAGAAGACGGCGTTCTCATCTATCAGGGTCGACTTCTCCTTGTGCTTCACGAAGTCATCATATAAGACGCTGGTCAGAGAGCGATAATGGTCACCATCCCAATGTGTGATGACGATGGCATCAAGCTTGAACTTTCCCTTGTAGATTTTTCTCAGCGCTTCAAATGATTCGCGGGTGGGTTGCTCTGCCTCGTCGTCACCGCCATCGATGAGTACTGCCCGTTCGATTGTCTTCTTGTTCATCAAGAAATGAATGCAGCCGTCGCCGGCGCCGACGTTGATGAAGTTGGAATGCACCTCATAATCAAGGTACGCAGCAGCCATCTTGGTAGTGAGGGGATCGTAGCTTTCCAGTTACACAGGGGATGCTCGTTGATCAACGAGGGAGGACGAGGTTAGGAATCTGAGCCAGAGGTCGGACACTTCATGGCAGGAAGCAAGTCCGCTGCTTGGTTCGCAAACTAGACGGTCGACCGACTTGAGCAGGGAGTATGTGATGATAGATGAACAAGTAAAATAGGGTACCCAGAGCTATCTCGCAGGACTCTTGAAGCCTCCCAAAGCACTTCATCTCTGCCTCCTCTGCCGTGCTGTAAACTGATGTGGCTAGTCCGCACTCAGTTGCTCCCTGTCGCTTGCAGCAAGAGCATCGACATGCATGCTCGCCTCTCAATAACGCCAAAAATTACAGGGATCAAGGAGACTATTGTCGATAGCGGCAGTAGGACGAGGGTAGCGGAGCGCACTGTGCGGGCTGGGCCGCGGCTTGACATTCCATGGCTGTTCTCTGCCGAGCTCTTTCTTGCTCCATGAAGAAGTTGGAGATGAAAGAGTGTGCTGGCACGTAATTGATAAGTGAATATCTAGGTCATTGAAGCTTGGAGAGAGAGGCGAAGCATATAGTCACGAAGTATTATGCTATGCCTGGTATGGGTCTACGAGTCCCATTAGAGTATGCTTTTCACCAACTGGGAAATCTAGGCGGTACACCAATCTAATGTTGAAGGGCTGTACGAAGTATGATAGCAAGCCAGTCAATGTTGTCACGGAAAGTAAGCATTGAATGAGAGTTACTTATAACTATTGCATCCATGTTGATGCTTGGCAGAGTCGCAAGGCGGGTGCTTAGACATCCTTCTCTGGGATGGGTCTTGCCATATATCAGACATTGATACAGAAGATGGTTGTGTATGGATATGTACCATTCATTATGAGTCCTCTTACTGAAGCCATTGGGCTCGCCCCTTTGACTTGACCATGATGTACCCCTCCACAATCTCACTCAACGCTGCATCTTCAACCTTCAAAGTCTTGTCCAAGGGCTTGATCAACGCGGGATCCCACTCCGTATTGGCAACAAGCAGATGGTCATCATCATCATCATCGTCGTCGAGATCGGGATTGACGCCGTCCAGTCTCGGCTGCATCCAACGCCATGAAGCATCAGCGTCGCTCGCCGCCGGCATCTGGATAGACAGTTCCTTTGGCACCGTCACATCACCTCCCGGCTCCGCTGCAATGCGGACTTCCATCACGGGCTTCTCCGGGACCAGCGTTGGACCAACGGCAAAGAACGCCTGCATGTTGCTCAACGCCATGTCAACAGGCCACCGCGGCAGGCTGAGCTCAATCATGGGAAACAGTGAGCCCGAGTATAGGTGAATCGGCAATTTGGCATCGATGATCGCGCTGACGCAACTCTGTGAGAGTCGTGCATCGTGTGCCTTTGCGAAATCTTCGCCGTCGATGCTGCCCGTGTCTCCCGCAACGAAATACGGCTTCACTCGCAGTGGCTGAGGCCGAGCCTCTGAAGAAGTGTAAGTCTCATTAGGCGTTGTTGCCTGCTGGCTGGCCCACCGACTATACGCTGTCGAGATGTTGCTTGTGGTAATGGGACCGCTGGCGGGAAACGTGCCTACAAGGCCATCGAAGGCAGCCGTGTGGTTGCCCATGGCAATGGGAAACTCGTAATCAAGAACGCTTGCTAGTCCTGCGGAGGTTGGAGGCTTTGAAAGAAGAGACGCGTCATACAGTGCCGGGGCAGCCAATTCGATGGAGATACCAACGTCGGCAATACAAAAGGGGCGCCCAAACGCAGCCGGCAACATGTCGTCGAGGCTCGCACTTGAAGAGCGCCAATTGCCCTCCGCCGCCCCTCCGATCATGTCAAACAGTGAATAGGCAAACTCTTCATTCTTCAGGGATTCCAGCAGCTCTATTAGTCGGCCTGTGGCCGTGAGTGCATGGCCGCCAGACTTGGGGCCCATGGTGAAGACGACGCGGCGCTTGGCAGCATCGTCATCGTCGATGAGGACAATTTCTTGTATAAAGTGGCCCTCGCCATCATATACCTGGATGGAGTGGTTCTGGAAGTTGGTCACCAGCCACGCCCAGATGGGGTTGTCCCATTCCGTAGCCGAGCGACGGATCTCGCCGCCTGGCATCAAGTACCGGCCGTTGAGGCGAGCGTTCTCGTTGATGCGAGGCGGAAGCTGGAAGAACTGGCACAAGTTGGGGCCGTTGTCAGTCTTTACAACTGTGTTTGGCCAGTAATGCCCCTTTAGATTGTCTTCCAGCTGATAGCTGCCACACGTCAGGCTGGGGGAAAGGCACGGGTACAGCGCTGAGGACTCTCCTTCGCCATTGTCTCCGTATACGGTAGGACGAAGGCCCGAGACAATCTGCCCAAACTTGTCCACCACAACAAGCCGTGTAAAGCGAGCTTGGCCATGCATGACGGGCTTGAAGGCGGTGTTGTTGTCGAGCCAGTAACCAGGCGGGCATACGGCCGTTGGTGATGCGCCGTAAGGAGCCAGCTCTGGCGCCAGACCCTCTATTCTGCTGAGAACGTCTGTGTTAGTACCGAGAATACTCTTGATGATGTCGTCGTTGGAGCATGACGCAGCACTTGGGCGATGATTAGGCCCGCGTCGAAGCGTCAGGAGATGGTCCGTTAATCCAGACAGGGGAGCCGAAAAGTAGTCCAAAGAAGACAGCTTGTTCAAGACTTCATCTTTCCGAGCCAAGACTTCCTTGTCCGTTGTCTGAGAAAAGAGCTGTTCCAAGCGTGCATGCAGCATCGACGCTGCTTGTGGCAGAAACGCCGTCCGTCCTCGAATCCGGCGGCAGTCCTTTGCCGCCCCTAAGTCGAGGGCAAGCCTTCTGTCTTCCGGGATGATCCATCGCCAGCGGCCGCTCTCGTCGTCTGAGGCCACAAAGTCCCAGTTGGAGAAGGGAATGTGGTAGTACTCAATCTCCCATTCGATGAAGAGCGGGAACCATCCCTGGGTGTGATTCATATCTTCGATGCCGACGTACGGACTCTTGCGCCAATTTCCCTCTCGTCGCTTCTTGTCGTCGATCTCGCCGAATTCGCGCAGTATCGCCTTCAGGGGCTCTCCGATGTTGGTCATACGGTTATCAATCCACTGGTGACCGTCACATGGAAGCTCGCCAACGGCAATTTCAGAGGCAAGGCGAACGGGCAGCGGCTTTGAGAAGTCAGCTGGCCATCCAGATTTGGCGCCAGCCAGGAGGACAACTGGGTCTTGGTGTCGGCCAAACCCAGAAGTCGGAGTCGTGACAAGCTTCGTTCTCTTGTCGTCTCCTCCAAGGATGTTCTTCAGGGAAGTCTTTTCCCGTTCAATTTCCAGCTTCAATGCCTTCTGCTTGTTCGACAAAGTCAACAGTCTGTTGCCTGTTGCCATGGCTTCACCCCGGATTCTCTCACGCCGTGATGTGAGGACATTCGTAGGGAGGTTGCGTACTCCCATCGCATTCCACCAGCAGCCGTATAGTCTTTGGATAAGCTGTTCCTCTTCACGCACGCATGCATCAAACTGAGCCTGGATATTATTCAGCTTAGATAAAGCCATGCGGTGCTCATCAGTGACGGTGGGTGTCTTCTCGTCCCATTGCTCTTTTTCCGGGAAGTGCCAGACGGTGCCCTCTCTATGAGCGGTCCAGGAGTGGTTCGCGACTTGATCCGCTGCTTTGCGCTGAGTGTCAACATCGTCTTCTCGCGCGACCAGCATGACAATCTGGCTCAAGAGATTCTGCGCATGGTTGGAGGTATTGCCTTTGAGGGCAACATGCAGATATGCTGCCAGTGCGTCCAGCGTGTCTAGTCCAACTGCAATCGGCTGATGCGAGTACACGTCTTCCTGGAGCTTGATGGACGGAGCGTCCAGATGTTGGACGCTGTCCCGGTCGAAACGGACGTTACGGAGTACGCCATACGTGAAAGTTCGGCTGTCCTTGTTGGCTTCGGCGTTGAGAAATTGCAAGGCCGCGTCTTTTCCTGGATCATCATCGTTGCGGTCGTCCAGCACAAGCTCCAAAGCCGCCATTATGTCTCTGTTCTTCAGAGGAGGTTTGTCCGTAGGCAAGGAGTGGTCAAGCATCAGAGGGTCATCACGAGGGTCTGCATGGTAGCCCACGATTGCATAGTCGACCGTGGCGGATCCGCCGTCGTTTACCCAGTCTTTTAGATCGTCGAACAGAGAGAAGACTCCCATGTTGTGCGGCTGATAGTCGACGAAGAACTCGTGGCCCATCTCAAACGCGTTGAATGGGACCCGGTGCTTCCTGTTACCCTCCGTGGTGTTATTCTTCGTGTCCAGGTCAGCCTGGCGGCCCATCACCATAGGCTTGGGGGGTTCTTTCTCCTCCCGGTTGGCTGGTCCCATATCCTCTGGATCGATGCCAGCAGCTGTGGTGATTTCAATATCTGGAGCGTTGGGGTCGAGGAGTTCGTCGTCGTCAATGGCGCGCAGACAGTTACTTTCAACCATCAGCCACCTCTCCTTTCCAATCACTTCGCCATTGCCTCCGCTCCGGAGCTTTCTGAAGACCATCCAGCGATCAGGCACAGCACGGAACTATTACATCGAGTTAGTCGGCTCAACCTCATGTTCCAGCTGTTTCTCCAGAGCATTTACTCACCTGAGTAGTCTGACTCGATATCGGGCTACCGTCCTTATCCGTTACCCTGTATCCACTCCGAAGCTTCCTCTCTTCAAACGCCTGGCGGTCTTGAGGTGTTTTAACGGCACTCTCTGTCGCCGTAATGGCTGATCGGTACACACTCGGCAAACACCAACTGAGATAGACTCCAGAGCGGCTCTCACGTGGCCCTCCTGCTGCCAGATGTCGAAAGCGTTGGTTGTACAGAGCCTGCAGCCGCCACCAGCTCGTGTCCACCCAGTCCATGAGATCGAGGTGATCCCATTCCCCTCCTCCCTCGATTGTAGATTGATTAGTATATCTTTCTGGCTGTTGAAGTCTCTGCAACTTGTGAAGATCAGGCTGGACAATTGGTGCCATTTGATAGGCCGTGTCTCCAAAGTCATCGGCGACGACGAAGGCCTGGACGGCCATGGGCACGACGACCGTTGCTTCTGCTTTTGCATGAGGGGGGCCTGGAGATGGCATCGTGTTCTGAGGTCAGGCCTCACTTCTGCCACACAAGATTGACATGAAGTATTGTTTGTAAAGCAAAGCTTCAAGGTAAACGCAGGCTTTGTTCAAACGTCTTTGTTTCACGACCTTCATCGGCCTTCTTCATCACGTACAGTCCTTGATACTGTGTGCAGTGGAGCTGAAGGCGCTTTATACCAGAGCTGAACCGCCCAAATTGGACAGCCGCCTCTGTACCCCAGTCCAATACTCGTCAATATTCTGCTGCACATGCAGTCTCAATGGCCTGGAACGACTGCTCTGCCCCCTTTCATTGGCCAGTTGATGCAGAATCGCCGCGTCCTTGATGCAATCTCGTCTGTCCACTTGATCGCTTTTTGGCCTCTAGTGGTTATCGCCACGCTCTTTTGTGATGGAACGTGACAAAATGTTCCGGCAAAGAAAGTTGAGCGACCTACGTGCTTCACCTGGAGAAAATCGACATCGAACTACGAGCATTGTTGTATGGGTCGTTGTACATGGTCGCATTGTTCACCTCCTCTTGGACTCACCACACAAGGCGCCTCTCTTCTCTGTACTGAAGCAGGAGGAGCAAGATGCTGTCCGCCTCTGCAAACACATTACACCCAGCCTTCTTCAACCGCACGCCAGACCGTGTCCTCACATCAACATCCTCCATTCCCGACGGCAGACAACTCTCCCGCGAGCAGCTCCGCGTATGGTCCTACCAGGAGCCTCCACTTGCCGTCGGCCAATACACCTTGAGCGTGTCGCAGAAGATCGAAGTCTTCGACAGCAATGTCAACCAAGACGTCTCCAAGGACCTCAACTCCCCTGACACGCAGCTGCGTGTGTCGAGTCCCAGATTCCAGCTGACGGATCCCCAAGTGGACATTCACAGCGTTTATCCGGCTTCAGGACACAGTGACCACGCCCAAACTCTGGCCCACGTCGTCTTCCGTCGCTGTACGGCGCCTTGGGAGCGGCGCCTGGTTAATGACAAGGGAGAATGGGACAACTGCGGCATGAACAACAACCGGATGCCCTGGCTGTGCGTTTTGAGCTTCACCGAGGATGAGCTTGTGCTTGACGAGGCGAAATGCCATGCTGCTGGTTTTACCGACGCAGCGTCGCGGCCATCCAGTCAAGGAACTATCACAACGACTGCCGGCCATCTGGAGAACCTCACAGGAGTGGTCTCACCGCTCAGCGGCAATGCTGGCCTATCTGATGACGACAAAAACTACGCAGCAGGGGATGAAGCTGATGTTCTGCTGATGGCTAGGCCTCTATTTCAACGACTTTTTGCAAGCTACAACAGGGCCGGGGAGTCGCCATTCAAACCCGACCTGACTCGATTCTCTCGCATGGCTCACGTACGAGAAACTCATGCCGGATTCATGGCCAGCACGGTTGACCTCATGAGTGACAGTGGCGCCGGCCCTGATCCGCAGCCTCAGTACTCGGTTGTTGTCAGTCCCAGAACTGGCCCGCCAGGAGAAGAGAAGCCGCGCCGGGTTATTTCTCATCTCATCTCGCTAGAGGGCGTCTCCAGAATGACAAGCGAGTTGCAGCCTCAAGCAGAGCATGCAGCATTGGTGTCATTGTTTAGCTGGGACTGGATGTGCGTTCCAAATGATCACGTCGATTTCAGAAATACCATGGCGGCTTTGGGCAATAATGTGCGACCGTTACGTATCGACATACCGGATGAGTACCAGAAGCAGCTGGACGAAGCTGAACGTGACGAAAAGGCAAAGAGAAGTCCAATGGCCAACTGGTTACGGCAGAAAACTCATGCCGGCTACACTATGAAGCCTCACACACTCCCCACCGGCGAGAAAACCATGTCCCTGGTTCGCGGCCCATTCATCCCCGTTGCACCGGCGCGAGACTCAATCAACTGCTTCTCAGCTACAGGGGAAGATCTGGTCTTGGTCGACAGCGAGACGGGCATTGCAGATATATCGTACAACGTCGCATGGCACCTCGGCCGCGCCCTTGCCATGGCCGATCGCTCGCTCATGGCAGCGCTGCTCCGGTTCCGTGGTCATGTTCATGCCGAGGCCGTCAAGCGCCTCAAGGCCCGAAACGCCCTCAAGGCAAAGGCTGCTGGCAACGATAAGGACGTTGCGAGTGGTGTGTTTACTATGGCGGCGGCATTCGCATCTTTGGATGACTCGGTCAGCCAGCTTGAAAAAGCAAGCGATCTGAGCGCATTGGGTCAGCTCGGTGGCCATTCACGCTGGCTTCGTACGGAAGATGAAAGGAAGGATAGTCTTGTCTCAAGGCTGTCGCTTGCGAGCGCGCCGCTGAACCTGGATGGAGACGACTACGCAGAGGAGCTCAGGGCTGTTGTAAATGCCTTCTTTGGCTATCCTCCCGCAGAACCAGACTCGAAGCCAGAGATCCCCCCTATTCCACAGAGAGAGATCAACCCAGACGCAGTCTTGATTCGGGCTTGGACTGTCGACAAGCTGTATCTCGCTGGCGTACCGTTGCATAACCTCCTCCCGGACCCAGACATGCTTCCGCGAGAATCGATTCGCACATTCTGCGTCGACCCCAAGTGGCTCGACTGCGCCATCGACGGTGGGCTCAGCACGGCGAACCACTTTGCCAACGGCGACGATATTGTTCGACAAGCCATCAAGAAATGCATGAACCGCTACATGGGCGAAGTCCGAACCCACGGTCCTGGAAAGGGGACAACGCTGCAGTTGCCGAAATGGGGCTTCTTGCTTCGCAGCGTAGCCGTCACTGCATTTCCCGACCTCAAGGTGGAGGCACAGTTTGGTAAAGCTGTTCCCGATGGCATTCGTGAGGTGCTTTATATGCAAGTCCTCGCAGATGATGTCTTGCTCTGCTTGTTCGACCGTATGCCGGGTGATGACGACTTCAAGGAGGTTCGTATTTCGCAGCCGTCACATCAGCAGAGCTTTGCTGCGGGATCAAAGCTCACAAGTACAATGCTGTGTGGCTGGTTTCGCCCAATTCCGCGGGTGACACTGTCCTCTGTGGCCGAAGACGAGCAGGAAAAGGTACGGCAGATGCTTGTACCCATAGAGAGGAAGTGTGAATCAGGCAGGGATAGCGAGCCTGCGTATGATTGGGACGTGAGAATGATTCGACCTGATGTTCTGTCGAAGCAATATGTCGCGGCTGTGGCCGGACCCGAGCGAGACGAGACCAAAGTATGGAAGTGGACAGGGGCAGCAGACGATGTGCCATCAGCGGTTCTGGCACTGCAATTGAGTACTGCGAATCTGCAGCTGACTCTCTCTTTAGACAAGGGAGACTGGTCTTCGGGAAATGATAGTAATGATGACAATCGATGGACAAAGCCGGGAGTCCAACTGGATGCTGAACCACGGGCAAAGGCTTTGCCGACGGGAATCCGAAAGCCGGCATCAGTATCGACGGCCCGGACAGCGGTCCAACATCGCCAGAGAACACCAGTTAAACACCTTGAGTGGGTGGCGCTCCCAACGAATCCTTCTCCCTCCATGGCAGCCACAACAATGGTTGTAGCCTTGGAAGAAACGCTGCCCAGGCACAACATCACAGCACAGGGGCTGCATCACCAAGACACTGATATGGTTATCTTACCGCACATAACTCACGCCGAAAAGACCACATGGTGCCCATGGCCGAGTAAGGCCGCTTGTTTCTCCCTCTTTGACCCGGACTTGCGTCAAGAGACAAGCCCAGACTGGAGGGAAGGTGGCAGCACCGTCGTCGCCCTTCGAGGGCCAACGGACTTGGTATTTGCCCTAAGACAATCTTCAAAAGATTCTGACTCTGGGGGAAAGTATCCGGAGCGCCTGGAGGTTCGCATTCCTGTCGTGCTTTCTCAAGAACGAGCTCCAAGCGGCGGCAGCGACGAGATCAAGCCGTTGCTCATCATCCCCGGCACAGCAGAAGCCCCCGTGCTTCCGAAGGTGGAGGGGCTCAATGGCAGTGGCTTGTGGTCATACAAGACGAGCCTGGTTGTTGGATCTTTGTTTTGCCCCCCGGCAGATGGCGCGAAGAAAGGAGATGGGCTGCAAGCATGTCCGAACAAGTGTCTCTTGCTCGTCATTACCGCACAGCCACGGTTTGGTAAAGGTCGGATGAAGGACGCCTTCTTTGATGGTTCGTTTATGCTGCACCAGGGAAGAGTCATCCAGCCTGACAACGCGGCCCCTTATGCGACGCAGTTTGACGTTTCGTGGGAGCAGAACGTGGCCTACCCTCGACAAGTCATTGTTGAGCGGGGTGTCATGCTCAAGATAGGCGAGCCGTCGTACCTCGAAATCTTCAATAGGGAAAAGGTGTGCTTGAACCTCACTATGCACACCTCATCCGTCTTAGGGCCAGACGACAAGGTCAAATGGGAAGTAGAGATGCGCACTGCCACCGAGAAAATTCCTATGACATTCTCTCTGTCACCAGGCGATCTTTGTCAGGTTACAACGGACAACCAGAAGAATGATTACAATTTCCAGGAATTGGCAAACAAAGGCCCGGTAACCGTGCAGCTGTATGCGGAGTCAGCCTCCGGCAGGCGGTTGGGGCCGAAGACGCCGCCCATGACGTTTCCACAGATATCTCTTCCAGATTATCCTGGACAGGTTACATTCACCTTCTCCTATGCAGGTATCTACGCCTCATGGGAGACGCCTCCGAATCTGCCCGAGATCAGCGGCACTGACAAGCCGTACAAGGTCCATTTCAACGTTGGCCAGCGGCCCGACTCGAATGACCTTCCTACGATAAGCCTCCCTCTTGACACAGATGTTGAGGCTGACAAGGCCTTTTTGGAGCACGGCGTTCACATCGCGGAATCTGACTTTGCACCGGAGAAGTTAATCCGCATTAAACACCAGCTGAGGATCGAATCCAAGAGATTGAAGGGTGTTGTGGAGGAACGGTTGAATGACTTTGCATTGCTGCACCTCAGCACCAAGGCCCAATTCGCCATCCTTTCTCCTCTCGATCTTTCCACAGCGCCACATGTACATCCACGCAGTCAGTTCGTAACGTGGGCAAAGACCAGCGAGATCTGGTATGTCGCAGACGACAATTCCATCGTCGGTATCCGTTGTCGACGCAAACCGCAGGAGGATACAACGCTCAGTTCGATTGCGACGTTGAGCCAATCCCAGGGACAAGTCAAGTCAGTGGGCACGTTGGCCATGTTCCCCCGGGATAGCTCGTTTTCCAAGCATATGATTGCCTGGGTCCGACCGGACGGCGCACTTGGAGGAGTCGAGCGAACCGTGTCGGATGTCCACGAGACACCCAATCATGACTGGTCCCTGGTAGATTCTTTGTACAGAATGGGGTATATATGGCCTATCGTCCACAGCTTCGGGGCGATGGCCGTTGCGCGCACATATGACCAGTTGCTGCACATGCTCTGGGCGGGACCGAAGGGTGACCTGCGCATGACATTCAGTGAGCTTGACGGTCCATGGGGAGGCAGACCCGAGTGGCCCATTACAATGTTTTCCCAAGCCGGCCACATCCCGAAAAGTATTCGGGGCGAGGGCGAGGTCGCGGTTGACGTGTCTAAGGCCATCTTCGCCTCCGGACACCAGGGAGGCGGTTCACAACAGCATTTCTTCTGGGTAACCAGGGGCGGCGGCCTCCGCTGGATGAGATTCTTTCATTCCACCGAGCCAAAACTCATTGAAGGCTTTAGCGTCTCCGAGCCCGGCGCCATTATAGACACCGAGATCCTGGAAGCAACGGACGACGCGCGGATTGCCGACCACGGCGGCAGCTTCTCCGGCTGTGGTCCGGTCACCGTCTCGACGAGGTTTGCTGGACAGCGGAAGCTGTTCATTTTCTGGGTCGACGGCCAGGAAGGCCGCATCTGGGGTAAATCTGCTCTGGTCGATGATCTCTTGGGGTACAAGAGCTGGACGCCCAAGTTCTGCGTCACGCCCAAGGGCTCGGCCTGGCCTACATCCCCGGCTCATCCGACAGCCTCGCGGCTTACAGTGATTGCAAAGGACAAGGACAGCTTTGGACCGGAGGGTCTTGTTAGCGCTGAGCCGAGAGACGGTGGACATGGCATCTATCTTCTCTGGTTCGATATGGAGGGTCGTCTGCGGGCTGCGCGGATGACTGATGATCACAGGTTCAAGAAGGAGTGGACTGAGTGCATGCTTCCAGATGACGTCGTGAGAGAGGTGCGGACTTGTCCGCCGCCAAAGGAGAATGATACGGAGAGGAAGATGGAAGTGGTCGTGCTACGATCAACGGATGGTGAGAGTCCGAATGCGAACGTGTACGATCTGCTGTGGGTGGACCAGGACAACCGTCTGAGAGACATTGGTGTTGAGATACAGAGTGCATGGAGCCCATGGACGATGGCGATGGAGCCATTGACTAATGCTTAACGTGGATTTAGGGAAGGATGACCGAACTTGTCCGTATAGCAAAGCCCATACTAGCAGTGGAACATAATCACTTGACCCTGGCTTAGCTGCTCATGGCTGTGTCCATACCTTAACGGCATGGGATGTCTGGAATCACAGAATGGATGTTCATCAGGTCAGGCCCCCATCGTGTTTCTCATAGCTTATAACGCGAGCTACCTTATGACAGCTTAATTTGTCGACTGAATTAATACGTTTGTGACTGCCTTCGAACTCTTTTCAATACAGACTTGATCATGACATTAAATTCGTCTATAACTATTGACTCAAGAACTCCCATCTATGCATCAAGGCAGTAGTAAATGCTGAAGCAAGCATACGCATCAGTAGACCGCCACAGCTGCCTGTTGTTGTCCCGGAAGCAAGCAAATTGCCTCTGCTGGTTGTTGCCAGTTCCCGCATACTGGCCAAAGCTGAAGCTTCCGCTGTTGATGTGAGACGTGAAGGTGTTGCCGGTTGCGAAGCTGGCGGTGTGGGCCTGACCCTCCCAGGTAACGACGCCTTCTGGGTTTGAAGCAAAGGCGATGTTCTGCGAGAGCGGTGCGACGTTTGACTGGGAGTCGTCGGGGTAGTAGGCGATGACACTGGTGATGGGCGAGCCGACGTTGGGGCCACAGTTGGCAAGGTGCACACCCCTGGACAATATGTTAGCATTTCTGACGATATGACGAGAGGTTACTTGGTGTCGAGAACGTACTCGCCAGCCAGAGCGCCGGGAACGAGGAGGGCGACGGCCGCCAGGAGAAGAGCAGTGGGCTGGAACATTGTGGAGGTTTGTTGTGTAAGTAACAAGGTTGGATTGCTTCTTGGTGTAGTTGTCTGCCTACGATCAAGAAAAAGGAGATCTTTAAAGAGGCGCCTCCGTGGTCTTTATATAGTCAGCCCTACCTCTATCGTGCATTTACAAGTATATATCAGCCAATTCTATAATTGGGCTTCGGTTCGTGACAACGAGCATGTGGATTCATTGTACAGCTCATCTCCACCAGTGGGCTGTGCGGGCGTCCCCAGTCCTCCTCTTTGTTGCAGGAATAAGCCCTACGATCGTGGGCGCTGCACCAGAGAAAGCAGAGTAAGACTTATAGCTCAGCCGCGTCTATGAGGCGGAAAAATATAGAGGTGGTAGGAAATCCACCAATTGCGTGTGAATACAGAGTCATTCGAGAGAATTGAGCTTATGTTAAGCTTTTCACGTGTAAACGCTGGAAAGAGTCTGCGAAGGCTGCGAAGGCTGCGAAGGCTGCGAATGTCGCGGGAACGCTGTGGCTTGAATAAGGATGAGAGGAGCCAGAGGAACCCATTTCCACCCCAATTCACCGCTACGGTCCGTACCGATGGTGGCGTAGAGAGAACTAGAGCAATGGCATTCCGCCGTCTTCTCAATCATAGCTGAAGCTATAGGCAACTTGACGTCTTAGGTAAACAACAGGATTGCCCTGTATGTGATTTCAATGTTACCGCTCAAGCTTGATATTTGCAAAGTTTGTGATATGGAATCATTGACGAAAGTTCAATGACGGCCTGAGGTGCGAATATATAAGCGTGAGCAAACAGAGCGATGACAGGCAAATCCACCAATTAGGTGTGAGCACATCAGAATGCCCATATATTTGCAGGGGGGGCAGTTAGTTTGCATGGAGGCGACAAACGACTGCTGACGGGATTCTTCACACAGATTGATCGAGTCAGGCCTCTCCAACAGTTCTAGAAGATGTTTCGTACACCAAGCATCGAAATCTACGGTCATGCCCATGCAGATGGGCTCGCTGCATCCTGCGTCCATTCAGCGAAACGGCAGCAATTGAGAGACCCTGAACAATTCTTCAGCTGAAACGTCGTTGTAGCCAAAGATCACTTTTTTTCCCCTGCCAAAATGAGTGTATCTCATTATGTAGGTCTCAATTGAGAGCACCAGGAGGCTGACCAGCATCCACCATCTGATTGGCGATTGCTTTTTGGAATACTACTTGGACAAAAGGGGCATTCTCGCACCCAGGGGCTTCATGGCATGGGCCCTGGCCAATAAGAAGGACAAAAGCGGTTCTTGTCAACTGGGCTGAGCCGAGGCGAGGCAACTGGAGCCCGAAGCCTCGGAATTTCTACCACTCTGAGCACTGCGAACGCTGAAGCCGACCGAAGACTATTCTCCATGGAAAGATAGATACCTTATGTTAATACTAGTCATTTCAACTTCCTATTGGACAGCATATCCAACTATAGGTAAGGAAGAGCGCACTGTATCTTGACTATAGACCTCATCAGTCACGAAGGTTCGCACAGCACGAGGAGTCAGCAAGGAGGCCAGTTCAAAAAGGTCAAGTCAACGCAAACCTACACTGTCCTGAAGTCACACTAAGAGACTTATCACCGACCTGAGTGGCCCAATTAGGCGACGCACATTCTTTGACAACCGCATCCTTCCATACAACTACGAAGTACTACTACTGAGTAGGTATGTAAGACAATATGAATACTCGATAGAACGGCACTGCAAAGATCCAGCAGCCCCCGATCCTAAAGGGAGACTATCTTGTTGAGGTCGGATTCTGCAGCGATGAAACCCGCCTCTTTACCAAGTGCTACAACATCGGAGACTTCATTCCGGGCCTGTCGGGCGTCCGATCTCCTCTCAAAATACCGAAACCCGCGCCATCGCATTGTAAACGGCATCAGATGATGCAAAGGGGGTGGCATTCGCAGCCTTTGGCGCAGCGGAATGGCGGCTGTGGCTTGCAAAAATACCCCTTAGTTCCCGCGCGGCGAAAAGTGGGCCGATTCGTTTACAAACGAAGGGGCTTTACGCAGCAACTGTCGTCGCCATATCGCGGTATGCTGTGCCTGTGCGAGCATCTATATCGAACTTCAAGCGCTCAAGAGCTCTAGATAATTGTCCTCGTAGTAATATGACGTCTGGTCTGACGGCATCCGATGCCTGGCGGAGGGCTTTGCTGTCCGAAACACCGACACTGCCTACGACATACCATGGAGACCTACGGTATGTCTCGCCGCCATGACAATGACCTTTGAATGGCCTTCCGAGTATTATGATTACAGTTTTCATTCTCCAGGAAGTCCTATAGATGCCAAGTTAAAAAATCGAAAATCCCGAGGTAGTACTCCGTACACGGATCGAACTTCCAGAGACAGGGGTTGTCCAGTTCTATTATTGCACAACATGCCAACTGTGGGAACTTGCTCCCAAGCGAGCCAATTCGACGACTGGGTTTAATCAGCAATTCCCAACTATTTCCGTAATTCATGCGCCCCAGCGGACTCTTGTCCGTCGGCCGATCTGACATTGTTTGAGACATGCCAAAAACCTGTACGACTCGTTCCAACCCCGCCTACCGAGGCCCCCGCCGGTTAAAGACGATACGACGTTGTTCTGGGATATGATACACACTTGCGAGCACCGAGGGTCGTAATGCAGATCCATGATATTCAACAGCATCGGGGCTGGCGAGTCCGCGGAGATCGGACTCCGCACGATGGGCTGTCGTATGCCGTTTGCCGTTGCGGCCTGTGCGGCCGAAGATCGACATATAAGAATCCGATCCCCTGAAGGGAGAAAACATCTGTGTTCCAAGCCTCTTAGCAGAGTTGAGAAGCTTGCAGATAGTTACGATGCTCCTGTCTCCTGAGGCTCTTACTTTTTCACTACGACCAGAAGCCGCTGTGGCACTATGGCTCGTCATTCTTGTAAGTTTTCCCTCTTGACTTTCTCGCCGGCCCAACGACAAAAAGCTGCGGTGTCACTGATACGACGCAAATAGGGGGCGGTGTATCTTGTCTCTATACCAATCTATAACATTTGGTTCCATCCTCTTCGAAAGTACCCCGGACCAAGACTATGGGCTGCAACTCAGATTCCCTTTGTCCGCATGATGTTTTCTGGCAATTCCCACCTGAAAATGCTTGAGTTGCACAAAACCTATGGAGACGTTGTGCGAATTGCCCCCGACCAACTGGCATTCAGCGACGGCACTGCTTGGCAAGACATCATGGGTCACCGAAAGCGTGGCCAGGGAGAAAATGGCAAGGATCCCGTCTTCTGGAAGGCCAACAAGCACAGCGTCATTGCCGCCGACCGCGAGAACCACACTCGGATGAGACGAACTTTGGCTCACGGATTCTCGGCTCACTCGATGATGGAGCAGCAACCCCTGATTCAAGGCTACGTCGACCTACTCATTCGGAAGCTACGCGAAAACTGTGCCGATGGCAGCAAGCCCGTGGAGATGACCTCGTGGTATAACTATACGACTTTCGACGTTATCGGTGACCTCGCTTTTGGAGAACCTTTTGGCTGCCTGGAGAACTCTGATTATCATCCCTGGGTCTCTTTGATCTTCGACAGAATCCGCCTGAGCTCTATTTCGACTGCTTTGCGTCGCCTCCCCTTTGGAGAAACGCTTATCCAGCTTATTCTGACGAAAGAGGAGCGCAAACGGTTCCAGGCGCACTTTGAGCTTACCCAGCAAAAGGTCAACAAGAGGCTAGAGCTGCCTAGCCCACGACCAGATTTTATGGAAGTCATGACCAAACGAGAGGGTGATCAGGTATGTTTCTCGTAATATCTCTCCCGGCGGCCATCGCAACTAATCATCTCTACTGTAGAAATTCACCCTTCCTGAGCTCTGGGACAATGCAAGCCTTCTGATCATTGCCGGATCGGAGACAACGGCAACCACTCTGTCAGGCGTTACCTTCTTCTTGCTGACCCATCCTGAAGTCTTGGAGAAAGTGAAGAACGAAGTACGATCGAGCTTCACAAGTGAGGCCGAGATTGACCTCATCAGTGTTAACAAACTGGGCTACATGCTCGCTGTTCTGCAAGAGACGCTTCGGATGTACCCTCCCGTCCCGGGCGCCATCCCGCGTAGGGCACAGCCTGGTGGCGATGTCATTTGCGGAGAATACGTTCCAGAAAACGTAAGTGTTTCTATACTCAGCCCCTTGTTGGGTTTTTGCTGACCCAGAACATAGACTATCCTCGGCATCTGGCAATGGCCCATGTACCATCTGGACACAAACTTTACCCTGCCCGATTCTTTCATCCCGGAACGTTGGCTCGGCGATGCCCGATTCTCCAGTGACCCCAAGGATGTCCTTCAGCCATTCTCTTTCGGACCCAGAAACTGCATCGGAAAGAAGTACGTCATTACCGCACTCTCATATTCATCCCGAGGTATAAACTAACCCTTTGCTTAGCCTTGCCTATGCTGAGATGCGCCTGATCCTCGCAAAGATCATGTGGAACTTTGACCTGAGCCTGCATCCAGACAGTAAGGATTGGATGCAGGGACACCATGCCTTTTCGCTCTGGCAGAAGCCTGACTTGAATGTCTACATCAAGCCGAGGGTAATGCAATAGTGTGATGGTGTGCAAGACCGTTGAAAATGCCAAGGCCGTTGCGAGAAGGGGAGTACTAGATCATATTCAATAGTTTGGAACCGATGGATCTTTTGCTTTAGCTGTAGTATATTGTTATTCTGTAACCAATGAAAACCTCTACATTTCACCGAAATTGAGTACGAAGCTGCGTCACTGTAACCTCCCCTTGACAAGTGTTAGGAGTATTAAAGAAGCTAAGGAAGCCGTCTTCCGCGGCTGTGCTATTGCCGCACGACATCACGATGTCCCCTCCGCTCCCGCTCCCGCTTCCGGTCTCCGTACTCTATTATTATAAACATATTTTCTTGGGCAGCCACGATCGTCAAAGTCCGCGGCGATATACGAAGACGATCACTGGACCAAGGTCTTATGTGATCGGTGTGGAGGATAGGATACGTACATGTACTGTAGTAGAAGCCCCTCCGATCATGGAGTGCCGTGAGCTAATGCAATATGCCGACCAGGGTGTCGTGCTTCCAGACTCGGTTAATCCTTTGCCGACGGCTGCTTCACATCCGTCACTAGCGGCCCCTGTCCATGATCAAAGGCCTCATCCGCATCGCGAGATTAGAAGTGTCGGCGGAGAAAAGTCGGGCATGGTAGGGAGTGTAATACGACCCATTATACGTTATTTGAACCGCAGAGGAGGTTCGATGGAACCCTCTTATTCCTCGTACCGAGGCAAGATCCATGGAAAGCCCCTTTCGGAGCTTTTCCGGTTGCACCACCTACCTGGATAGGTATTACATGCAAAACATCTGCAGCTTTCTCGTATCATGGGCTTGGCTTTGACCAAGCATTGCGTCCGTGGTTAGGATAATATGTGCATACACTCTTAGCCGGTATATTACGATGTAGCTTTTATGTTCTACCAACTTGCTGCAACATTGCTATCCAGCGTGTAACTTATAAGGCCACTTGAGAGGGGGGCGTGATGATGTTATGACATAGACAGGTAATTTCATGTTGGCATGTGATTAATCATACGATGTTGTCCCTCCAGCGTTCGAACTTCTCTCCTGCTGATTAGTGCTTTCAAAGCTTGGCGTCTGTCGGCTCGAGAGGCTTCACCCAGACTCAACCCTTTTGTTTTGCACTCCCAACATATAGCTGGCCGGTTCTTCGTCTGGGTTCTTTGCTTAACACTGACTTATTGCATCATGTTAATGGCGTTCTTGACGCGGAATAACGACAGCCTTTGAACCGAGACATTCAAGCAGGCTACAGACAGGCAGGCCACGTACACTGAGCAGCGTTATATTGAAACCATCGCCTATTCGCATTCATAAAGTTTCCTAAACAGTTCCTATAATAGGAACAATGAACCTGGAATCGATCACGGGCAGACTGATATCCACTGTATTAATCGCAGATGGAGAGAGACCTTGCCGACCTTTGGGACATTTGTCTGCTTTTCTTACGGCTAGCTAGCTTTTGAACCAGGTGCTGTCCTCTCGAATATCCCCTTCATGTACATCGAAAAGCCGTTCAGTCCTGTATGGTGACCCCGAGATATGATTATTGAGACATACCTTGATGAACCACAGTGCCTCCGAGCGGCTGCCACAGCGGAAAGCATAATCAGGCGGAAATACAAACAAAGTCCGCCAGTTTGCTGATGCCGATAGCTGACAACAAAACTCAGAATGGTCAACGCGCGGCGTGATATAAAACCATTGAAATTTCCGTCATAAAATTCCTACTTATCAGAGCCTCAAAATCTTTCCACCATCCTGACTCTCATCTTTTCCTCTTGGACTCAGTCGGTTTATCAGTGATAGCAAGATGGCGACGGCTTGGGCGACCGGTGTCAAGGCGACCTTTTTGGTCACAAAGAAGAAGGGCATGTCGGATGACGACTTTGAACAGCACTACACCAGCGTTCACATCCCAATGGTCGTAGAGATTCTTTCCCGACATAACGTCATTCAATACTCCGTTGTAAGTATTTATAGGAGATGTTCATCTTCACACAAGCGGCTAACAAATGTGCAATAGCAATTCGTTACGAGCGAGAACAAAGAGACGATCCGGGCTCAGTTTGGCGGTGCTATTGATAGCATTGACTGTGACGCTGTCGTCACTACAATCTTCCCAGACATGGACGCCCTGAAGGCAACTTTCTCAGACCCCGAGCTGCCAGCAAAGCTGCATCCTGATGAGAAGAAGTTCACCGAGGACGACCGCCGCATGGTCATTGGGAAAGAGTACTTTGGCATTCGCGAGGGGCAGAGGGTAGTCTGACGTTGGTCATACGGAATTAGCCCCTTGCCAGATATGATTCTCCGCCGTCATAATTCCGACACTACCTGAGGGTAAGCAGAGTGCGTCTAGAATGTGGTTTCGATGACGGAGAGCATTTCAGGAAGTGCAGATAGCAGAGTCAGAAGAGAAGAGAACTTGATGAATTCTTCTTGGACTCTACACACTGGAGACTTCATGCCATCAATAATCGTCAAGCTGCGACTAGAGACAAAGTCCAGCCTTGAATTGTAGTGTATTCGAGACGTGTGAGATGACGGTATATGTATGATTACTCATATCAAGTCGCCTACCTGCCCAACGAAGAGCCGCATTTGTGGAAAATGACAGCGACAATACTACTGTCGGTGTATGTCTTGCAGTTGGTTTTGATGCACAAGTCCATTCTCAGAACTTACTACATAGGGCGGGGCCTTGTACGGCAGTCTTGAGGAAATCGCACATCCTCATTTTGCGATTACTCAGGATACTAAGGTACTATCAGAGCATAAACTGTAATTTTGAGCACCTCAAAACTTGCGGAATTTTCTGTATAAAATGTTTGTGCTTGATGTGAAGATCATATATTGTCTCCGCGTCTGAATGCATGGTTGGGAACACAGCGAAATAGCACATTTTGTAATTCACATGCAGGGTAAGTCAGAAAGACAAGTTTGAGGTTAGGTGAAGTATGTAATTATGAGCATTGCAGATGGTCATTCGCAGTTCGAGTCCAATTGGTTTCACATTTGGCCATAGGAAGATACATATATTGTACACGACGCCGTTTGAGAGTTGTTTAGGTATCTTAGATAGTTCAAGTATGTCGGTCGGGCTCTTGAGCTGAGCTAGGGGAACAGGTTCATTCAGATTAATAGCCGAGGTGTGGCTCTCTATCGATACTACATAGGCAATAGATTTGTAGTGAATTTCCGACGCAAAGCGTATCATGATGCAAGCAGCTCTTGCATACTTTTCCAGTTCCATCTGCTTATTCCCGTCGTAAGTGTGCCTCTCGAGAAGAGGTGCCGACAAGGCTTGAGAAGAGGAACCGTTTAAGAGGAAGAGGAATGCAATGGCGGGGTAATCTTGAGGTCGGATAAGATAAAGATAAGATCTATGCTGTAGTGGGGGTGGCTGGTGAGGGAGCAGTGGCTGGTGCGATGATGATTGATCTTCTGAGTGTTACAACGGCATTGTAGATGGAAAAGGAAATGGAACATACAGCAGGGAGCGATTATACAAGCTTCTTTGAAGTGTAAAGACTCCCATTTACTCAATTCGAGGTTCCTTTGCATCAATTGAGACCGCGGCTGAGGGTGGATGTTATGTAAGCACGGACGACCAGCTGAAGTACACTAAACCTCCTAACAAGCCCGCCGATAGCTGAGTGACGGCAAATTTTTAAATTCTCGCACCGCAACGCACCACCGAGAACGCAAAAGACGCCCAAGATGGCCGATCAAATCACCGACCCCGAGGCCCAGATCCTGGAGCTGCAGAAGCAGATTGAGCAGCTCAAGCTGCAGGGCCCCCAGAAGAGCCCCTACGATGTCTACCAGACGTCCCTGACCAGCCGCTACTGCAGCGCCGAGATGACGGAGCTCTTCAGCCAGCGGTCCAGGCACTCCATCTGGCGCAGGCTCTGGCTGGGCCTTGCCGAGGCCGAGCACGAGCTGGGCATCGATGTCATTACGCCCCAGGCCCTGGCCGAGATGAGGGCTCACCTCACCGTGACCGACGAGGACTTTGAGGCGGCCCGTGTCGAGGAGAAGATTCGACGTCATGTGAGCTCAAGCTGCCATTGCCATGCCTCACTCCTCCCTATGAGCTCTCATGCTAACACGACGATCCATAGGATGTCATGGCTGTAAGCCTTTCGTGATCATGTCAAGCTGTACCCGGTTAACTCTCCGCACAGCACGTCCACGCCTTTGGCCTCGTTGCCCCGGCTGCTGCTGGTGTCATTCACTACGGAGCCACTTCGTGCTACGTCACTGACAATGCCGAGCTCATCATGATGCGTGATGCCCTCGACATCTTGATCAAGAAGCTGTCCAAGGTCATCGCCAACCTCAGGGCCTTTTCTCTTCAGTGGAAGGGTAATGAAGCAACGCCCCTTACCTCAAGGGAGTTGGAAGGCATTGCTAACTGCTGGCATTGCAGCGGAGCCGACTTTGGCCTACACCCATCTGCAGAGCGCTCAGTAAGCCTACTCTTTTCTCCTACTGTCGAAAGACAATTGGACCCTATTTCTCTCAAATGCGGGCTCATTGCTGACATTACTCGTAGGCCTATCACCGTTGGACGTCGCTGTAAGTCTGCAAGGCCAACTATCCGGTTATTACCTAGGTCTAACAAGAGCAGCGTCCCAATGGCTTCAGGACCTGACATTCGACCTGGAGAACCTTGAGAATGTTCGCAAGAACCTCAAGTTCCGAGGTGCTCAGGGTACGTCGAGAACCACCACCACGCCCTTATTAGCACACGCTTTCAGGGATCCCATCATGATCGGTCACTGATGTCGAATAGGCACTACTGGCACCCAGGCCTCCTTCTTGGAGATGTAAGCTTATACGTCCCGCATGCCAGACTGGGGATAGGAATTACGCCGCTAATACCGAGCTCACAGTTTCGGAGGCGATCATGCCAAGTGTGACCAGCTCAACGTCCTGCTCTGCAAGAAGTTTGGCTTCCCCGCATGCTACGTACGTTCCAGTGCTCCAATCTTCTCTTCAGTTCCTACAGAATCACATAGCTGCTGCGTTTCCGCTCTCATTCTGCCTTTTCATAGCAAAAGCGTGCTAACCATCCTCTAGGACATCTCTACCCAGACATAGTGAGTTGTTCATCTCAGGCCAGCTGTTGGCATATTTTGCAGAATAGGCATCATGCTAATTGACCGAAAGCACTCGCAAGGTTGACCTTGTCGTTGCCCAGGCCGTGGCCGGCATCGGAGCCACCGCCCACAAGATTGGTAACGATATCAGGTTGCTCAGCAATTTCAAGGAGGTTGAGGAGCCCATTGAAGCTCGTCAAATCGGTTCCTCCGCAATGGCCTTCAAGCGCAACCCGGTAAGTCTTCTTCTTTCCTGGTCCTCTTGGTATTCAGAGTTGTATGCTCTCTTATGCTGCGAATGCCGCTAACCTTCCCTCGTACAGATGAGAAGCGAGAGAATTTGCTCCTTGTCCCGTGCGCTCATGGCCAAGCCGGCTTCCTTCGCCAACACGCTATCCACTCAGTGGATGGAGAGGACGCTTGATGACTCTGCCATTCGACGTAAGTGCCGTCTTGCTCTCCAGAAGTTTGACAAAAATAGATATCCGAAACAGACTAGATCGGGGTCTTCTTAGCATGCTCAACTGTGGAAGAGCACGGCTGACAGCAACAGGAATGGATATCCCCGAGATGTTCCTCCTCGCCGAGGCCGTCCTCATTGGACTGGACAACGTTACCGATGGTCTCGTTGTCTACCCGGCCCGCATTCGTAGCAGATTCCTCGATGAGTTGCCGTTCATGGTCACTGAGGCTGTAAGTGTCCACTTCACCGATAGCGACGACTCTTTGCTGATAATCTGTAGATCATCATGAAGCTTGTGGCCAAGGGCGCTTCAAGACAAGAGTAAGTGGGATTCACGAGAACCTAAAGGTCGTTACTAATCGAGTTAGGGCACACGAGGAGATTCGAGTCCTCTCGCGCGAAGCTGCCAGCGTGGTCAAATTGGAGGTAAGTTGTCCCGTTCCTTACTTGTATGCGCTCGTAGCTCATCACATGTGGCATTCAGGGCAAGCCGAACGACCTCATCGAGCGCATTCGCAACACCGAGTTCTTCAGGCCCATCTGGGACGAGCTTGACTCCATGATGAAGCCCGAGCTGTACGTCGGCCGCAGCGTCGAGATTGTCGAGAGATACTGCGGTGCCGGCGGTCCCGTCGAGAAGGCGCTTGCGCCGTACGCTCAGTACCTCGCTCACTCCACCACTGCGCAGCTCAACGTTTGAGCTGGCCAGTGGCAAATGGACTCTATTGTAAGTAAGCGATGAAAATGGTGGTTTTGGATTTTGCTTGGGTAAGTAAAAAGAAAAGTAAAAAAATCGAGTGGTGAAGAATGATTGTCATGCCCATGAAGAGATGGACAGGATAGGCTTCCCCGCTACCTCTTATTACTGTTCCAGAGTCAAACTGAAGGCACACAGTGTTGGACCAGTATCCATGTATCAGTTGGTTCTCTCAATCTAGTCAGAATGTGTCTTGATTCAAGAGTTTGTACATGGCTTCGAGCCATAAACATCGTGCACTGTTATCGGTGAATGAGAAGTATGAAGTCACATCGCAATCCTCGTATTAATCCCGGGAGAAGCATCTCAGCTATATATACGTTCCAGTATGATGTCAACTAAAAACCATCACACAATCAAATCCGCAAAGACCCCCTAATATGGTCCAGATAGAGTACAACATATGTGTCCGCGCTTACAGTAATCTCGAGTCTCACGATACCACCAAACAAGCCATATGTGCACGTCAGTACCAACACACATCACCAATACACTTCAACCCAATGACTACCCGGACCCGTGAAAGCAGAAAACACGTCCTCTTCGCGCTCCATCCCCGATCGCGGCAAAGTCCCGTCAATGAACCGCCCCCTTGTCTTCACCCACTGGTAGACTTTCTTCAGAGCCTCCTCGTGGTCAATCTTCCGGTCCTTGACTATAATCAGCTCACGTCCAAAACCGGGCTCATCTTCTTCCTCTCGCCTTCTCTTTCTTTCACCATTTTCTTGAACTCGTTCCGACTTGATAGCTGCAAAGTCACCCACAATAATGAGGCCCTTTGACCCCAAAGTCAGTATGTACTGTGTTGCCGTTAGGCCAATTGAAGTTGATCGACGTAACTTACCGATTGGTGCCGCGACAGCATCACATTCAGCCGGTTCGCATCAAGCATAGCCCCAGGACCATAATTCCTCGATCTCCCCAAAATAGCACAAACAATCTCCTCTTCACAAGCCAGAGACTCCTCAACAGTAGCAGGCGGCGGCATCCCCTGAAGCATAGAATAACACGGCACACTCAGCATCAGTCGCCTCAAGAAGTGAACATTGCCAGCGTCGGCCGTGACAATGCGTATCTGACACGGATCGACCCTGGCAAACATGACAGGCCTACGAAGCATGTGCAGCGCAAGCACGCACTGCTTCGGATTCATGACGGCACGCGGCGCGTAGTTGCGCCAGGTCTTGCTCGCGCGAACATTCACAAACACAGGCCGAAGGTAACCACCAGCCGCGGGGGCGAGAGGGAGCCTATGGGAGGTGGTTGAGCCGTACCACTGCTGAAGCCAGCGCTCGAGCTTGACGCCGTTCAGGCGCAAGTGAGCCAGGGGGTCGCAGAGGGATGAGTAGTTCAGGGCCGGAGCGTCGTCGTAGAAAATGTCGCGGCAGAGGTCGAACATGCCGCGGGCCGTGCGGAGGGGGACGCGAGGGCGGTAGACGGGCCATGAGTTGGCCTTGTAGAATGCGAGTGCTGAGAGCTGCCTGTCGAACGGAGAGTTGCTGATGAGATTGTTATGGGTGCCAGTCGGCAGGAACTGTCTTTCGTCACCGGCAAGCAAGCAGGGAATCATGTTGTTGCCCCTAGAGTAAGGAGAGTCATCGTCAGCCATGACGTCCAAGCACCAGGCAGAAGACTTTGTTTGTAAACATATCACATAAAGTAGAGGTCGGAACGAGTCATGCTGTGTGCGTCGTCGACAGCAATCCCGCCGGCACATGTGATCAGCCACCAGTGGTAAGCACGCTCTCTGGACAGATTCGGCGTGATGCAGACGACATCAGCGAGGATGATGAGGTTGAGGAGCTTGAGGGCGAGAAAGTCGATGGTTCTGGAGATATGTCCCATATTGGCATACTCGGCCCAGGACAGCCGGCCCGTCGCCACATCAACCAATACCGCAGAGTCAGGATGGCTCATCAGCTGCTGACGGAATGACTGGAGTCGTGGGAAGCAAGTGAGGGGAATAGCTGGCACGGCCGGTGATCCAAGTACAATGAGCAACCAGTACGTTGCGGAAAGATACAGTTTCCACCTCGGTCTGCCAATGGAATCGAAGAGCACTATTCTGTCGCCGCCATTGGGACGCTCAAGGAGTTCTAGAAAAGCTTCAATCTCGTCTGTGAATGAATGGCCTCTGACTATCATCTTTGGATTGACAAAGTCCTGGCCTCTAGGTCTCGGGAAGTGTAGCTGGCGAGTTCCAGAGCTCATGTCAAAGTCATTCAGCTTGATCGCGAGCTGGTCGACGGCGGCGGCGGTAGGAGCTGTGGCACAGATGCTGTTGACCCGGTCAGCCAGGCACAAGGTCGCGACGCATATGGCAGCAGTCTTTCCGAAACGAGGGCCCTATGATCAAATAGTCAGATTAATGCAACAAACAACTGCAGGTAGCAAGCCCGAGGAACGTGTGCTTACAGCGCTTATGATACCAAAGCCCAGAGGCAAGTTGCTCATGTACTGAACGAAGCGGCCTCTGTCTGGTGCTGGGATCTCCATCATCAGGCACTTGAGCATAATCTCATCGGAGTGGAGGATATTTGCTGCCGGCAGCGTCCATTTCATCTCCGATGAGCCATCCATTCCATGAAATTCAGGGTTCTGATGAGTCTCCCACAGGTCGAAGAATCCCCGTCCCTTTCGCAGGACGGCATGCATGGTGGCGCGATTTTGTCCCGAAATAAGATGCCGTCGAGTAGGCGGGAAATTGCTTGGAACGTCGTGACTGGCTGGCACCGTCCAGTCTTCCCGGTCCCTTTGCCTCAGGTCTCTGCACTGCTGAATGGACCGTTCCCACAACCTCTTCATCTTCGCAAACTTCTCTTCGACGATGATACGCCACTTCCTCTGCTGAAGAATGTTGACAAACGTCATAGAGCCGGCGACGGTCGAGCCATTGTTGACCCAATCATGAGTCTCATGCCCAGGGTTATTGAAAGGGAGGCCGAAGCCATCCACAGCCACGACGGCATCCTCTCCGACCGAGATCTCAACAGCAGAGAACTCTGCTAATGAAAATCGGTCCCCGAGACTCTCTGGAACGGGCATCACATGACCCGTAAACTTCCTGGCCGGGAATCGAAGCCTTATCTCGAGGAAGGGGGTCGGCTCTAGGCGGAGAGCCTGGGGATTGTCTGTAGGTAAGGTAGAAGTGAATTGTGTCAGACGTTATCAGTCTCAGATGTGTAGTTTGAGAGTCACCTACAGCGGTATACCGCGCCATGCCCCAATTCATCATTCGTCACCCCAAGGGGCAGCCCGAGGTACAGACAAATCTGGTTGTCCCAGTCGCCCCAGTACTGGTGCGCCAACGAACAGCAGATTTCCCCGTTGCCAAGTTCGCGGCCGCCGAAGATTGCACCGTTCTACGGTGACAAGTCGACGGCGGCGGCCTTTCGCCAGACTTGGACGGTCGGCAGTTCCATCTTGACGTGATCTTTTGTGTTGGTGTGAGCGGCAACGGGCAATTGGGAGTCTTGAACCCTTTTGGGACCTCACTTACAAGACTTTGACTCAAAGATGACTTGAAAGAGACATAAAATAAACGGGGGAGGGACAGAAAGAGACGAGGCGACGGCAGAAGAAGAAGATGACAGGATACGACAGGAGACGACAACGGATGGAAGCGGGATGAGAACCTGACATTAGTCGTAAACATAAGATCATAACAAATCCTGAGTGCGGCCAATGGGATGCCTTGCCTACCTCTCTTAGTGATCTCATAGCCATGATTCATGATCGCGTCTACGCTATTGGCGGATTGGACGCGTCTTGATGTTTACAGCTGGCTGCCAGTTGCGAGGGGTGGCAGATGAGACGACATGCCTGTGGAAGCAGGCCATGTGAGGACGGACAGACGAGAGCTCCATATCGAAGAGAACAAAAGACAAATGTGAGAAATGAGTCTCTTGCGCATGCTTCTTAAGCAATGGGAGACACATGTTTCCTGATGTGGACGAAGAGACGCGGTAGGGAGACGAGCGGACGGATGCACCCTGCACAGACGAGATGCTCCAATGGTGGGCAACGGGTCTTTATACACTGTCAAGAGGTATTTGCATTCCGCATTCAATTACTACAAATAACTACCTAGTAGTGAGAAACATTTTCTCATCTGGAAGGAGCCCAGTCAAGCTCTAGATGTGAGGGGAGAGTCACTCCAAAGCTGTGTGGGCATTCACGCGTGCGAGCCCTGCACCAACAACTGCTTGATGGGCAGTTTCCAGTGAGTTCTCATATCCGTATTGCTGTATCAGTGCCCTGCAATCAGATTTCGCATGGATATTTAGAGCTGATACCATCCGGGGTATGATTCCATCAAGCATTCGTCCACTTCTCCCTTCCCATCTCAACGGAGGGTCACGGTGTTGTTGAGGATACACGTCAAACCAAGCTCCTATCTTTCCCTATTTCCTCAACAGACTACGTACCTTAGGTTCTAGTAATTCTCAGTAAGGTATCTGCTAGGTGATGTAGTGAATGTGATTGAAGAAAGCATTTGGTTCCGGCAGCTCACCCGAGTGACAGCCAGGCACTGCCACTGGCATGTAGCTTCACTTCAGCTCAGTTGGTCAGTTCCTCCTGAATGATTGGAATACCGTGGTACTCCCAGGAGTCGTTGTCACCCATCAATCCCCAGCCTCTTCACTTCTTTCACGTCTTTTCAGTTACATGATGGGCATCAACAGACATGTATCAGTGTACTCCGTACCGCAACTCCGAACCCAAGGCAATGTATCCGACCACGATAATGACATCCCTGACGAGCACAGGAACTCTCCATCTGGAATTTGTAACGTAATATGCTTTCATAGTCCATCTAAAGAGATCCAATCCCTTCACATCGTCAAGTTCCGACTGCCTCCGGTCTGGCCAGCGAGTGATGGACCGTGCGCATCGCTCATTTCCGACTGTGCGCGATGAAGCTCGGTACATGTGGTGCGCACATCCCAGCAAAGTGGAACGGTGGCACGTGGTGCCATGCGAAAGTACCTTACCCAAGGGCACGGCCCGCCAATCCCACACTGTGCTGTTCCTCAGCCACTTAACGCGTCCGGGCGCAGTGTAGCGTGACGCCATCACCACCACAACTCCAACTGCAATCCGGCACAGAGACGCAGCGACAAGCCCTCCAGATCTGCCGCCAATTGCCGCGATGCAGACGCACCATGTCCTACTATGACGTTGACGCCATTCTGACCGACGGGGAGGTACCTGGTCTCTTCAATTTCCTCCCAAACCAGGACCCAGACTGATCCAACGCTCGCAGAAAGTTCCCTGCCGGTTCGAGCTCGACGTGCCATATCTTGGCCATCTCGACAACTCCAGCGGCCTCAAAGCAGGCACCCGCCTGAATCTCCCCCTATGGCTCGCCGAAATGTTTGCCCTCGCCTCCGCAGGACAAGATGCCTCGCCGCCACTCACGCTGAGCCTCCCGCCGTGCCTGTCCGAACAGGTCCTTGCCGCGCTCAAGGCCGATCCCCGCGCCGTTGCCCTACGCGACCAGAGTGCATACTTCTACGGCGTGGCAGTCCGGATGCTGGATTTATTTGACGAAAAGGAGCTGAGTGCTGTTCTGCGGAACACGTTTATCACCAGGGCAGCGGACGTGGGACTGCACGCGAGAAAGGCGGAAGAGACTGGGTTGGGGGGACAGGGCGAGGAGTTTCTGCGGGGCCTGGATGAGTGGGAGAGGAAGCTGTTTCGGAGAGGACATGAGGGTGTTAAGGGAGCGAAGGAGTGGACGGATAATGTCAAGAAGTCATGAAGTGGGAATGCTCTCGATGAAAATGATACCCCGGGCAATTATGAGTAGTATACTGCCGTTGAGGATATATAACTCCCTTGATACACTGCTTTTCCGCGTTTTTTCTGTTCATGTAACCCCTCACAAGTCAATGAAGTTGTATTTCGCTCACCATATGCAAACTTGAGCTGCCACGAAGAGAGCCAGCCTCTTGTATGGCAACAGCGAGTTTTGATGGCAGTATCGCAAGCTTGTATTGACGGATGAGCAGCAATAAGCGTCACTTACGGATACAAACCATGATGATCTTATGCTCGCTCAGTGAGCTGGGCAGCTCCCTTGCTACTCTTTTCCTCATGAGATCTTGCAGCTTTTCTTTATGCTTTACACATACAAGTCCCCGCCAGTGCCATGCATCTCACTATTACTCGAGGCTCCAATACGCACAATTCTCGTATATACCAATCCCTGTACGTTTAGTTCGCCGCAAAATTAAAGGGTAATCATATGAACATCACGCCAAATCCTCTCATATCAAGAAGTGCTACTTCATCTCCCCCAAGCCAAGTATCAAGTCATCTTCACTCATCCACCGGCCGAACAAGTTACTCGTAACCCCACCCTTTCCACAGTTATGGAGCAACTGAGGTTCTGCAGAATGACATGCCACTTCGCCGATCATCTCAACAATGATACACCACCGGAAGGTTCTGGAAACTAACCGACGACCCAGAAACTTGAGCATCTGCAAACAAAGCAGCTGTTGCCCTAGACTGAAGTTTTCAGAGACCAGCATGAGCTGTAACGTGCTCTTGAATGGTCCAGAAAGCACAATGAAAGGATCTTTGGCTCATTGGTATAGCCCCTTCCTTCCTTTTGGCTTCTGTGTAACACAATTCTCTCAACAAAGGTCATCTTCGTACAGCTCAGTAAGCAGACAACATGGAACTCGAAGAAAAGCAATAATCACAAGCAAACCGGCGATCTCCTCTCTTCCTTCACAGCTCCTATACCGGACACTTCTACACACTCTAAGCGAGCATCGACTCTACAAGCCACCGCCGTAATGTTGGGAAGCATTACCAGCATCACAAGGAAGGTTTCAAATGTCTCCACGGACAAGCTTGTTGATCTTAAGCGAGGAGATACAATAAGTCTCCGAGAAGAACTCGCTATCTCTGTACAAGAACCTCCGCGACTTCCGAGTCAAAGTATCTGTATACAAAGCCTCCGAGCAAAGTATCGCCGAATCCGCCACTTACACCCATTCCGGAGAGACTTAACAAGCGACGTAAGTCAAATGAGGCTTGAACTGCGCACATAAAACCTGAACAGCAGTGACTCACGATGATGTTCTCACACACCCTCTTAGACCAAGAGGCAGGTAATAAAGTTCCGATACTTCCACACGAAGGAGCAGAATTATGCTTTTGTAATTCCTTGACTTGACTTGTTAATCTCTCCGGACTCGTCAGTCCGGCGGCAAGTAAACCTTAAACGGAGGACATTTCTCGCGCACTAACAACTTCCTCATCTGGATGACTTGATGAGTTGACTTTAGGGCTGATGCCTTGACTTTTGCCTTTTTCGGACATGCGGTTTACACTGTTGGGACTTGTAAGTGAGAGAGCAGAGGGGAAAGCAGAGGGGAAAGCAGAGGGGAAAGCAGAGGGGAGAGCAGAGGGGAGAGAAGAGGGGAGACAGAGGGAACAATGGGATGGGCGAGTAGGAGGACACTTCCAATCAATTTGACGTACTCTCCTTCCCGACTCTGGTAGAAGAGGCCAGGTGTTTGCAGAGATGTGGCCATTGGCTGTACACAGAGGTATATCAATAAAGTACCTACAATTGATACACTCATACTGGTAGTACGACTTTGGCACTCAAATCCCAAGTCTCAGTGTTCTGTTCAACTGTCGAAGCATTGCCAAGATCACAGTAGTCTGCCCATGTGCTCTAATTCTACCGTGGTCTGGAGCTCCTACAATCATTTTACGATTCTCAACACTCGTCAGTCCCAGTGCAATGGTTCGTCTCAAATTTCCATTCGAGTTGAAGTTCTATGACCCGACTTATGCCACTAGATGAGAAGCAAAGCAAAATAAAGGAGAACATGAAACAATTTGCCAAGTCTATCAGTAGAAAATAGAGAAGGAAGAGGAATGATAATGAGAAGTGGACAGACGGAGAAACCGAGTAGAATGATGAAATTAAAGTAGATGATCAAGGAGAATAAGATATAAAATTAGACCCAGAGAGATTCCAAGAGCGGCATCGCAGTGATCTCAACGCTACCATCCTGCAAGTCCGCGAAGAGCCGCCCACTGAGAGAAACATTGCGGTTGCGGCCATTGTGGTTTTTGCTGCTGTCCCACGGCCGACTCAGGGGGAACGTTACCGTTCATGGCTGCGTTGCCGGCCAGGGCAAGTTCGTAGTGGCGAGACTTCCAATGCCCCTGTTGCTCATATCCGCGTCGTTGGTGGACATGCGGTTATGGATTGCCGTTTCGTCAAGGCGCCGATGCCTGAAAACTATGGCTGCTAGATATAATGTCAGCAAGGGCAAGAATAAATGATGATGGAACGGTACATACCGAGCGGATTCAAGTGAATGGGGAGTCGATGTCAGGGCATCTTTCACGAATTGAAACGGAATACAAGAATCGAAGCGAGCAGTTCGGATAGCAGTGACAGTGAAAGAAGGTCCTCTAGAGCTGGATGATGGGGCCCGAAACTGGACCGAATGTTGTACCACAAGTCGGGAAATGGTATGGAGTTGTGGCGGAGAGTGTTGGTGAGAAGAGCAGAGCAGCGCTGCTTGCCATGACAGCCTTCCCCGTGCCAACAATGGAAAGCATTTTGGCATCGTGACTGAGCTTTGCCTTCTCATTCCGTCGCACCCCATCTTTCCATTTGAAGTCGTCCTGGCCGTTGTCGCACCGGTTGCAAATGGTCGGCAGGTTTTTTCATATGCAAAGAAAGGGGGTAGATCAGAATGAAGTCGGCTGTGATAGCATGAACAGCCGCTCCGGTGCCAGCACAAATGCAAACGTTCGCTGCGTATCTCTGCACTGCCAAGCCCGATGGAAAACTGCGAAATCAACTGTTAGCAAAGCCATGTAAGTAGCAGTGGGGCATCATGCCAGGTGGTGATACGGACAAGTGTGTTTTCCATCCACTCAGGCAGGTCCAGAGTCCCTGTGCCTTGTTTGACCTGGTCCATTGTGTTTGAGTCTTGCCAAGCCATCTCGCCGGGGACGATTGTGTGTTCCACCTCGCCCGGGATAAAGCTGATATTACCGGGGTCAAGCACCTTCAAGATCTCTTGGCCTTGTTGGACAGGGTCGATGGGCATGAAGGTGTCTGGGCCCTACTCAGATGAGGCGGACGAGGTTTGGCCTTCGCCGGGTCATATTGCGGCGCAATGCGATGGAGCGGACTCTGGCCGACGCTTGGGTCATCGCCTCAGTATTGTGGGTGTCCGCCGGTGTTGGCAGGCTGGTGGTGGTTGTGGCCATATTTCGGGCAATAGTGATAGTGGCGACAGTGTTGACGGGATTACGGTCCCGGGAAGATGGGTCGATCAACCCGTTGTAATCCATCCTGAAGAAGACAAAATCCGGTTATGGAGTCATCGCCTGAGTATCGCCCGAGGCCGCCGGTGTTCATGCCCACAGCGAGAGCTGCAGGGACGGGGTTGGCTCCGCCCTCAAGCGCGGCAGGAGCAAGGCTCATGGAGAGATGCAGATAGATATTCTCCATGTTAAAAGGGGGAGAAAAAGGGAATTCTAGGTAGAAATAGGGAGTAGGTGATACCGAAGAGTTTAGTTCTGTAGAATCAAGATTGTGTCTGAAATCTGGACCCGCGGGTCGCGGTCGTCGAGCTGG